TTGTTCAACAAAGACGGTTGCCGGGAACGGGGGCTACACACCACCGGCGGTGGCGGTGGCGGCGGCGGTGTAGTATACTAGTACGTAGTTAGTAGGACAACTACGTAGTTACCATGTAGATCATGAACAGATAGACAGCGCCGAGCACGCGATGCGCGGGTGCCCGCGACGAGGAATGCTGACAAGTTCCTTGGTGTGAGTTGAGTTGTTTGTTTCATGATACGACGCCCGCCGACTCTTACTACCACTACCACCAACTACTCTATATCCATATGTACGTAATGGGCCAAAGCCTGTTTTCGCATTGAATTGGCACTGTTAACCGGAAACATGCATGTTTCGGATGGAAGGGGGGCTCTCTCCTACTTGCTATAGGGCCGCATGGAACAAGGTGCGGCTTTGACCAGCACCAACGTCAGTCTTTCATGTGAAAAACGCAGCTTTGTACTATGTGTTGCAAATGCCATTATGCTATACTTGGGTGCAGCCTGCATGGAGGAGAACAGGGACGTGTTCTAGAATGCTTTATATATAGTAAGAAAGATTTGCACAGGGAGTCGGCGGCGGCGGCGCGCGCGCGCATCGGCAAACCCGCTGTGTTTGATTACTTATACTTACGTACAAGCAAACAAGGAGCAAAGTGCATAGGTGCCATGTTGGGCTGATTTGAAACAAAACAGGGCTGGGCCAGAACGTCGGTAACACGTGTTATAGCTGGATATGAGGGCGCTCAGTGCGACTATATGGGCCCGCTGCTTCGTCATGGGTGCCTGGTGGCTCGGCGGTACTTGTTATGTCGAGTAGTCCCGCCCCTTCTGCCGATATTGCAAACAAACAACACTGACATTCCACGTGGAGCGTTTTGCATGCTTCCCCGTTCATATTATAGCCATGTACTGAGCAATTATATGCTACTAATAGTAAAGAAGAAAAAAAGAGACCCACTCTCAGCTCACCTACTCGTGGCGGCTGGGCAAGCCCCGAGAAGCCGGTAGTCCAGGGAAACCAGCAGTGCCTGTAGCCTCATTCATCCTTGGAAAAGAAGCCAACCTCGCCACTCTTCTTGCCCATCTCTACCAGGTTGTCTCGCATCTTCATTGCTAGTTTGGCCACGTCGGGCTCAAATCCCTCAAAGTCGTATTCCTTGGCCCACTTCCCCACGCCATGTTGCAACACATTCCTCGCTCGTTGACTGCCCGACAATGTAGTCCCAATACTACCGTGTAGTGTCATTCTCTCCTTGGTACAATCATAGACGCCGCGGTGAAAAATGTTGTTGTTGTAAAAAGCCACCTCGCCCGCCTTGAGCTTCATGGTAATCTGATCGGGCATGTTCGGTTCGTATGGATCCGCGTTGCGCTCAGTATCTGTACGTGCGCGTTTGTGCGATCCGGGGACGAGTACAAGACTACTATCATCGTACAGTGCAAGGTTCCATTGAGCGTGGTGGCCTGGCTTCTGCAACCGCTCCATTTCTTCCTCTGCAGTGGCTGTCGCAGCGATATCATCCCTATGCCACCGCAGACTAAAGTCCTTGTCAGGCCGTACCAGCATGTTATACAGTTCCATAGTCAGGTCGTCTTGTCCGCATCCTATCAATGCCGCGACGTATTTGAGCAATTCGCGGTCAAAATACGACTTTGCAAATATGACGTGGTCTGGGTTGGACGGATGAAGCAAATGCTGCACGCCCCATATGCCGTCCGAGGGATCTTGTGGCCACGGCGGGAACTGCTTGGGCAAAGTACGCATGTACGGCCACTTGCCTGATCGCGTGGCCTCGGTGATTCGTGAGGCAGCGGCTCGAAGGGCTTCCAAGTCGAATGAAGGGAAGAGAGAGGCCGAGAGAACGACGAAGCCATCCCGATCGAGAGCTTCGCGCGCCGCCGTGTACGGATCACCGCTCGAAGATGTAATATTTGGGGAAGCTGGCAAGTCGTGTGATGGTGGTTTGGCCGCTGGTTGTGCAAATGGCAGCTGTATCTTGGCCTTTGCACTCTCTCTCGCGCCGCCCTTGTCCGGCTGATGTTCGAACATTCTTCTCATCTTGTCTGCAGCGGCTTTTGGTGGGAGAGGAACAGTGTGCAAATGCAGGATCACTGCATGCTCAAAGGTGACGTTATCATCGATACGCTACCCCGCAGATTCCGCCCCACTAAGTATGGCCCTGATCTGGCAGTATTCCTTGGAGGTTCTTTCCGTGCATATGCAACTCGGCTGCTGACACTTGCCTGCTGCGATATTTCATTCTGCCTATTCCACCCCTGGCATTTCCCTGTACAGGGGTCTTTACCACATCAAGCCGTAATTATGTACATGGCCTCACGATATTTCTTCAACCAAACCAACGCCTCACGATTTTGTAATGCTTAGCTTTTGACCGCCAGCCACAGTTCACCAGAATCACCCAAAAAATGCACCATCACACGTCTTCTTTCCCCTTGATATTACTCTGCTCCAACCTGGCCTCTCTTTCTCTCTCCTCTTGCTCCTTCTCCTTCTTTTGCTTCAAATACTGACAAAACTTACTCTTGCTTCTCATTTTATCACCCCACTGGACAAATACAAACGACACAACACACAGTGCCAACGAAAAAAAGCCCAACAGGCTTGTCGCCCACGCCACTCCCATGGTCTTATACATTGGCTTCGCTGCGAACGGCAGTGCCGCACCAAATATTGACCGAGACAGAGACGCAGCCGCCATGGCAGAAGCAGCAAAGATATCGTAAGCGTCGACGAGATAGTTGAGGAGAGCAATGAAAATGCACAGATATCCAATGCCAAAAGGTACCACAGCAAGCACAGGCACTATCCAATGTATGTCCTTTCTTACCGACCAGCCTAGCCAGAAAGCACTGATGACGAAAAAGGGGCCGGCAATGCATGCCAGTGGAAGACGACGCATCTCTTCTCGTTGGGACCAGGGACGCCCAAGATGTTGCGCGCGTTCTAGGTACGAGTCCCAGTAGAGGTAAATGGCGGCGGAGATTAGAGATCCGACACCAATAGATAGGAAGACCAGGCCCGTTTCTCCAGGATTGAAGCCATAGATCCCTCCGAAGATTATGGGGAAGGATTGCAAGAACATGTAAAATATGGCATCTGACGTTGGCATTAGTTGTGAGTTCATCAAGTACGTGCATGGCTGACTTACATCCGTAGCTCAAGTACAGACATGTGAAGAGTACGAGTGGCTCGAAGATTATCATGCGCAGTGGCCTTGTCAAGACGACCGTGAGAACGTGGTTCAGGTCCCTCTTCTCCAGCTCGATTGGCGCAACAATGCTATCATCACCCGTCTCCTTGCGCAGTCGCTCAGCGCGGCGCTTCAAGATTACCGGGCCATATGTTTCCTCCAAGAAGTAAAAGAGGGGCCAAGTAGCTCCCGCGAAGATGGCTCCAACCCAGAAAGCCCAGCTCCAGGAGACCACGGAGATGAAGCCGGCTACCGGAGGTCCCATGATAGGACCTAAAGTCGTCGCAACCTTTGCTGCATGATTAGGATGGAGCACGTACAGTTCGAAACGCAAAGACTCACCATATACGCCGCCACAGCCCTTCCCCGGGACTTTGGATCGTGATAAACATCTGCGCAGACACCACCCACAACACTGATTGCACAGCTTCCTCCTACGCCAACCAGGAACCTGAAGACGACCAGTGCACCAAAGTTGGGCGCAACAGCAGACGCAATGCAGAATATTGCCAGGATAGCAAAAGACCATATCATGGTCCCTTTGCGGCCATGAGTCTCGGAAAGAGGGCCCCAGACCAGCGGCCCGCAAGCATAGCCAATTAGGTACATGGATGTAGGAAGGATGAGCAGATATTGGTTGTGCTCGTTGAAATGGCGCGATATAGGGCCTGCAGCTCCACCTATTATACTAGAGTTGATGGTGCTGTTCATGACTAGGTACGCTTAGCTGGTGGAAGACGGTGAAATGGACTTGGTTACGTACCACTCATGATGGCAACGAAGAGAGCGAAAACCTTCTTCCACTACACCAACTATCAGCCTCATGCTGCCGGAAAAACAGCCCATTCTACTCACATGGCCCCAGTTGTTTGGATTCTCGGGATCTCCGTCTTCAACGCATATGCCGACTTCGGGCTTCAGACTTCGGAATCGGCATTCGTAATGCACGTTCTCGGACTGACTGCCACCTTCTCATGCAGCACCCCCCCCCCTCTCCCCTCAACATCCAGACGGTATGATCTGTTCTTGGCTAGCCTATGGGAAATGTGCAATTGTACCCCTGGAGTCACGCAAGCAGTGATGTTCCATGTTTCTATTACTCACGCGCGCACTACGACGAACGCTTTACACCCATGGAGGCATGCAAGCAGGAGGTGGGGTTTTCTAGCCGCCATGAGCATACATATATGAGGGTGGGACCTCACCGCTTCCTCTGTCTCTGTGTCTCTGTCTGTCTCTTTACTGTATAGCACTAGGCTGCATGCTCATGCAGTCATTACTGAATCATTGAAACCACATCGGCCACCTCGGGTCCCAGCGTATATATACCTCGGAAGCTTAACTAGAAGCAGGCGGGGTTATAAGCAAAAGTCCCCACTCTCTCTCACTAACCCCAACAACCACCCCAGCCCATGTTTTGGAGCTTGGCATCATAGTGTTCGGAATTTCCGTCATTGTGCCCGGAGGTTCCGTATTATACCTGGAAACAGTCCTGCTCTTATTTTTTTTCTTTGATTCTGTTTTTTTTCTGGCTCGTCTTGTTACAAGGTCCTTTTGGAGATGTGCGTGCGCGCGTGTTACGAGTCACATGGTTGTTTATAAAACAAGTTGGGTATTGTTAAGTATCAGAAAAGATGGAGAGCGCCGATCTGGAACGAAGTTATTCCCTGGAACAGCAAGGCTTGGGTCCTGGACACGAAGCGATTGCCTCGCCGGTCGCGCTCGTACGGAGTTTCACATCGAAAAGTCGATCTAGTTCGCGGAGTCGCCAGAGCTCGAGAAATCGCAGTATGTTTTTACTTACTTGACTTTGTTATCATGGTAGTGCCTATGGAAAGTCTGACTTTGCTTTTGCTGACGGTAAAGCGTAGCCCGGATCGAGAGCTCGCGTGCCACGCGATTGAGAGAACTTGAAAAAGACGTCCAAGACTGTTCTGAAGCGGAGAAGAATAGTGCCGATCCGATTGAAAAGGCTGTGTCGCGGACGCCGTCGACACTGACGTCGCATAATGGGACAAATGTACCTTCTGAGGCGTCGAGCGGGCAGGACGAACATGTTCGTGGACAACGCGTGATTCGGTGGTAATTGTGTAGCGGGCGTATATTATTTTTCTTTTCTTCTTCTTCTTTTTTTTTCCTTTACTGCTGATTTCTTTGCACATACACACACACATGTGTCGGAGTTCGGAGTGCCCCGGAAGACATATAGGGCATGGATTGAATGAATGAACATGATTCAAGTCTCCAGGTTGATGCTGCGGCCAAAGCGTCCGTATAGGGCCTTCTTGAGCTCTCCCATCTCTTCCTGGATGCCCTCCAGCTTCGTCTTGAGCGAGTCCACCTCGGCTTCCAGCGTCTCTGTCGATGAGCCCAGGAGCTCGAGGACCTGGGGCTGCGGCAACGACACAAAGCAGTCGCCGATCTTGTATCTGTTTAACGTGAGCAAACCAGTTCGTCATAAACTTCAACATAAAATGATCGTTGCGTCGAATATGGGGCGGCTACTCACGGTACTTTCTCTTCCTCATCCACGAGTTCGAGTTCGCCAGAGATTTCTTCAAGATCCTCCTTCTCCTTCTGTATATGTGTACACGTTTGTCAGTGGTGCAAGTCAGAAAATTTGGCAAGGTGATACAAATAGCGATTTCGTGAGCCGTACAATCTTTGCCCGCAGTTCTTCTTCAAGCATCTCTTCTTTTTGGTGTAGAGAGCTGAACCGGTTGATCTTCTCTTGATCCTCGCGGCGCACCTCTAGGTCCTCGCTCTGCGCTGAGGCCTCATCGTCTTTGGTGAGCTGCCCACCGCCGCCGCGTTAGCGCCACTGAGCCGAACACGACGTGAAAAATTGTGCTTTGCTTACCATGCGGCGCTGCATTGTGGGCGTGATTGGATGTTTGTGAAAACAGGAATGATGGTATGAGGTTGAAGTGAGTTTGTTTCGGGCCCAGCTGTGGCTGGCGTTTGAAGCGTCGGGTGCTTTTACTCGATTGCTGCTCGTGCCTTCGGGTGCAAATGCCAAGACCTGGTGAAGCACGCGTGAGCTCAGCACAGCACATGAGCACGTCTTGAAATTTTGCTCTAGAATGCCACACATATTGTTTAAATACAGGCTTTGTAGGTGAGTAGCATGACTATGGTGGCTTGAATTTGCTACATATGATCAATTCACTTGTGCTCTTAATACGCATGTACGTACATCCCGGCCTAAGCAACCCTCTCAAATGTAGCGCCTAGCTCGTCACGCTTTTCGACCAATTCACTGCTCATTTGGCTGTTCTGAGCATCACTGAGCGCCCTCAGGATCTCACTCTCTGCCTTGTCTCTAACCAACTTGCGTAAAGCCTGTATCAAGAACCCAGAAAACGCACCAACCGACCATTCGTCGGGCACAATGGCCAACACATCAGCGACATCGAGCCAGCCTCCGAAGCGCTCAAGAAGCTCACTTGTACGTTCGACACGCTGAGAGAGGTCTTCAATCTTCAAGAACTCCTGCAAGAGGAAGCCGAACATGCGAGATTGCTCGGCCCGCGTGGGTATCTGGTTGCGCGAAACAGGTGGAGCGCCAATTGTTACCGGGCGGTGGATGGAAGAGTAGCCATAGAGACAGTAGTTTATAGCCGTGTTGTAGTCACCCAGTCCATGCGTGAGTAACTTCAATGCTTCTTCGTGTCTTTCCTGCCGACCATTCAAAATGATCATTTCAGAGACAAGCTCTTGTTCGTAAGGTTGCAGACGTGATAACACTGCATCGACGTCGTATGACGATGTCTCGCCGAGTAATTGAAGCAAGCGGAGTCTGGCATGCCACCACTCTACATCCAAAGCATTATCGCTTATGAATGAGTAGTAGGTAGGCTTGGGTGGCTCTAGGATACGGTACGTCTCGTAACTTTGCGTCAGCGTGGCGCGCGACTCTTGATTCCTCTCAAGTTCGGTGATGACTGTATCAAGATAGAAAGCAATCAGCTCGTTCACGTATTGTGGATGCTACAAGCAATGTTAGTGAATATCAGCAACGAATGACCGCTTGACATACTTTCTTGCTTCCAAATACGAGATACTCGAGGTACTCCTTCACAGCACCCGGTGCCTTCTCCCTCAGTAAAGCAACAGCTCGCGCAGGGTCAAATTTAACCCTACTCTGGTCGTCCGCGAACACTTGAACACCCAGCTTGGGATTCCGGTTTGCGAGCCACGCGCCGTATTCTTCTACCAGGCTCTGATCTCTAATCTTGCCCAGGTATTCTCGAACTTTTAGCTCGCCATCTATGAGTTCACCACCCTTGTCTTCTTCGCCTTCCACGATACGCCGCCAGGTCGCGAGCACCTTTGATGCCTTGACAGAAGCTTTACAATTGCCTTGATATAGTCGACTGAGAACGAAGAGACGCTTGAATTGCTCGAGCAACTCGACTGCTCTGTCAAAACACTCAACTTCTCTATCGACAAGTTCGTAAAGCTCGGCTCGGTGGGTCCCTGGGCTCGAGGTTCCTTTGGAAGTTCCTTGGTCCAAGAGCAGAAGGATATGCAGCAGTGCTGCATCAATAGTCTTGAACACATAAGGGTCATTCGTCACACTCGCCATTCCTTTCCGCCTCTTCCAGAATTGAAGATAGCGCTTTACGAAATGCAGCAGGTTGTCTCCAAATGGCCCACTGACGTTGGTGGATATAGAAGAGAAATCAACCTGGTGTAGGAACTGTTCTACCAGTGTTGTGATCCCGCCATATATTTGTATGCCCTCTGATCCTTGAACAACTTCCTTGTTGAGAATTGGCATTAGACTCAGGACCACTCGCGGGTCCATCTCGCCCTCGATGAGCGCCTGCTCGGTGATGCGCTTTTCATTTTCGAATATGATAATGTTTGTCTTTGTGCGTAGAACTACGTCCATGAAAAGCATGAGCGAGGCCTTTTGGCGGACGTAGATGAGACTGAGATACTCAGACTCGTTGCGTGGCTCCTGCCCACGTATGTCGCCGAGTATGGTCTCCAACAATGCTCGGTTTGGTTGTATGCGTGTCTTTTCCCCGTGAGTGGCGTATTGGGCCTCTTCGATTCGAGCATCTAAACGAGTCACTAAGGGGTTGCGTACTGCCCACCAAATCTGATCTCCAGCCCAAACAACAGTCTGCGACTGCAGTTTAGACAGCCGCTCGACGAAGTCCCGATCAGCCTTTGTATCGGCCTTTGGTCTTTCGGCAGTCCCTTCTAAAGCACTTTTAGACTCAAGTAGCAATGGCTGTACGGTAAGCTTTGCGCCTACTTCTCGGATAACCAAGTCGTAGGGTTGAACCACAGTACGCATGCCGATTGGAACCGAAATATGAGAGCCGCTATTGTCTCCTTGGATGCCCAATGGGCCAAAGTTTAGCCAATGTTTTTCGACTTCACCATCACTTGGGTCCACATCCCACCGTTGAATCTCAACACCATAGGCCAGGTTACCCTCATGTTCTCGATGCACAACAGCCAACACGTACCCCTCTTCGGCGTCCATGTTTGCACTCATGGATGTGGACAAATCCATTCCCGATCCGTCTACAACAATGGCGTCAGGATAACTGCTGAACTGAATGCTGCCTCGACACATATCTCCATCAAGATTTACAAACATACCAACACCTTGATCAGAAGGCGTGGTACCCACTGTGAGCAGAAACTCGTTTGGATTTGGTGATGCAACATGAGGTTTTAGGGGAACAAACGGCGGTGGTTGCGGTAGGGGTGGCTCTTCCTGGGGCACGGCATCTTGTGGGGGGTGAGGTAGAGGTTTGTCAGGCGAAGTTGCGCCGCCACGAGGGTGGCTAGATGCTCTTTCCGATCCGTCGCCTGCCGAGGGTCGTGTTGGGACTGGCGACATGTCACGAGACAATGACTCTGGCACATCGAAACCATATCGGTGTGGTGGAGGACGTGGGCTTGCAGTCCGAGACGAAGGAGCGCCCAAGCCTAAGACATTCAGACTTGTGCTCCTTGAGTGGCCGTGCCGCTCGTCTGGACGTGGATGCGGGCTTGCAGAGGATATGCTTCTCGAAGGCGCATTCGGCACGGTCGCAAGATGCTCAGCAGCTCCACCAACATCGCCAGCGTCTGGGTCCAGAGATGATATTGGAAAAAGACCAATCTTTTGCTGATGGACGACATCCAAGAGCGCGTAGGAGTGCGCATCGGCAGCGCATGAGAAAGTGTCGCGGCGCACCGAAACCAAGCAGCCTCCATACTCGATCGCTTTGAGGGCTTTCGGGGGAGAGTTCTCGGATATCTGCACCAGGCGCAGTCGCTTCTTCAGCCCGATGACGACGACGACGCCATCTTCAGGCGACGCATACACATCCTGGTTCAAGTCAACCCCTCCGACCCAAAGGCATCCTATTGGCTTGAAGGTGGAGTCAGGGCTCAGCTCGGGGAGCGAGTACAGCGAGAGGGTGTTGTTGCAGAGTACGCAGGCCTTGTTGATGTTGGGAAGCAGCAGGATCTGCTGGACACCGGGGCCATTGGCATCGTTGTGCGGCGGCTCCAGTCGTGAGGCGATAATGGCCGTGGGCTCATCTGAAGCGTCGTCGGACTCGGGTGGCAGGAGGACAAAGTGAAGGATCTCGGCGGCAGAGGTGCCGACGTAGAGATTGCCGTCTGCACACGTCAGGAATCAGCCGGGCGGCAGCAGAGGACTGGCGATACAAACCCGATACTTCGACGCACGTTATGCGGACATTGTCGGAGTCGCCATCAGCGGACAATGGCAGGTTGGCGACCAGCTTGCGGAGCATGTAGGGGCCATGTTGCGGGGGCGGTCGCCAGGCGGGCTGTGACGGGGAGGATGGATTTGCCATGGTTGTCGAGCATCACACGCGCCATGACTGGCTACAGCCGCGATGTGTAGGAGGCGCGCATGGTGGGTGGATTGGCATCATCATGTCATGGCGCTGCCTGGCGAGCTCTCCTGCTGCGCTGCGTGCCGCCCACCAATTAGGGCCGCCTAACGCCGCACCTTCCGCGCCCTCAATGGAGCTGCTGCTGCTGCGTACGTAACCCACTCCACCTGTGCGATCCTCCACGCGCCCCCACGACGACTCAGCAACATTCCCAGCCGGATAGACGACCAACTCGGGGCGGAGCGCTGCGCTGCACGGCACGGCACGGCATCATCTACACGTCCAGCCATGGAGGGCGGCATTGATATGGAGCAGACCATCGGCACACCACCAGACACCAGCGAGCAAGCGCCTGCCGCCCAAGACACCCCCGAGGAAGGCAACAAGTTTCAGACTGCCATCGGCGCATGGAGAAGTACGACTGCCTAGCACAGCATCTCCCGTGTGTGCATATGTGTGCGTGTTGGACTGACGGCGCGCCAGATATCGATCTTACTTCACTCATCCCCCAGCTCGACACCGTCGCCTCGGATCTCGTGACGCACCAAAGAGACACACTTACACAGCGAAAAGACCTTGCGCAAAAGACAAAAGACTTTAGAAAACTCGACGACGCAAGCAAACTCAATGACATCAAAGGCCTCTTGAAGTGTAAGCACCTGGCGACACACCGAGTCGAGTTGGGCTAAGCCAAGATTGATAGCATACCAAAACTTCATTGACCTCATATCCAATCAGTCCAAGACCGTCCAGGCTGCCTTCTTCCAGGTCTACTCGCCGCTTTCGGAGGCACCCGACCCGTATCCTCTGCTCGAAGCCTCCGTCGACTCCCTCGTAACGTCCGAGGAGCTTGTGCCAAAACTCACGTCTGAGAACGAGCGCTTGCAAAAGACCGTAGCCAGCCTCACATCACAACTCGATGAATCAGAAAAGAAGCTGCAAGAGGAGCGCACGGCACGCAAGGCTCTTGAGGATAGCCGCGACAGCAAGATCAAGGAGGTCGAGGCGTCATGGTCGGCTGTCCTGACGGAGAAGCAGGACAACTGGGAATCCAAGGAAAAGGCTTTGGAAGAAAAGGTCGAAAACCAGGAGCGCTTGCTGAAAGAGCTCAAGGCCAGTTACGAAGTCTCGCAGCGACTGGGTCAGGGTGAAGCAGCTGAAGAAGAGGGGGGTCGTGGCGCCACAGCTGCGGAGCTTGAGATTGTCAGCTCGGAACTTGAGCGAACCAGCCACCGTCTGGCCGAGATTACAGCGCGAAACGAGCAACTGCGTCTAGAATTGGCTCAGTCTGCATCTGCGCCGGCTCAACAGGTCGCAGTCGAAGACGACCCTGCCTTCCTCCGCTTGCGATCCGAGAACTCGTCGCTCTTGCGGAAGCTTGAAAATGCGCGCTTTGAAAAGGACTCGGACAGGACGCGCCTGGAGACGGAGATGCGCAGTTTGGAACGGGAGATCAAATCTTTGAAGAGCGAGAAGGAAGCGCTCCGCGAGAAGGTGCAGAAGTGGAGCGACTACGAGAACGTGAAGCAAGAGCTTGAAGTGTTAAAGGTGCGCCTCGTAAAGGATAGCTTATGGATGCACGCTAACATGCAGTAGTCCATTGAATTCGCAACCGGCGACGACGATGACGAAGCCACCGAGATTGCGCTTTCACAGAACGGTGGATCCGGCAAAGGCAAGGGAGAGACATTGGAGCAACTCCTCCTTGCTCGCAACAAGAAGCTCAGCAACGAACTTACAGTCATGCGTGTGTCGCACCAGGATCTCCAGAGCAGGCTGGAGGCGCTTCAAGAGGAGCTGTCAAACACGAATATGGAGTTGGAGAAGTCACGACAACTCAACGAAACTCTAGAGGCTGATCTGGAAAAGATTCAGCAAGAGGCTACAAATGCCTTTGACCCCTCGGGCATGTCAGTCGCGGGCACCTATGTCTCGCGATTCCCACAATCCTCGTTTGGCGGTCGAAAAGGCCGCTCGTCACCAACATCTTCCATCATCTCAGGTTTCGACAATTCATCACAGGCTCCGACGCTTGCATCCCTTCGCGCAGGTGGCGGCGGTGAGCCTGGAGGCTCGGGTATCCTGCCCATGGTGACGGCACAAAGGGACCGCTTCAAGAAGCGCAACTCTGAACTCGAAGCCGAGCTTCAGAAAAGCTATCAGACAATATCTTCTCTGCGGAGTGAGATTGGTGCGCTGCAGAAGGATAATCTGGATCTCTACGAAAAGACACGGTATGTGAGCAGCTACAACGCAGTCAACCGGGGTATAGCATCGAGCGCATCGAGCCTGGCTGCAAATCCTAACCCCTCTGCCATTAACATTGGAGACGGAGGGCCTTCAGCAGTGGATACAAAGTATCGCTCAGCATACGAATCCAGTATCAGCCCCTTTGCCGCCTTCAGGGGTCGGGAAAGTGCAAGAGCCATGAAGCGCATGTCCATCTTTGAGCGCATGATATTACGCGTCACCAAATTCGTACTCCAGACACGCACAAGCAGAAACGTGTTTGCTGGGTATCTGCTGGCGTTACATTTCATGGTATTCTATTTCCTATTCAGTGCCGAGGCGGGTGCTAGTGCAGCGGTTGTCGCAGCAGGGCCCAGTGTTCCTGGGGTCAAAGATACAACTTCATGGCACAAGGCCGACGAGAGCAAGCCATGATAGGACGAGAGAGGAGGGGGCAGAAGAGGTTTGTGCGAAAGTGTACTATATTAGTTTTCATCAGGATGGAGCATGTGCTATCCAAGCAATGGAGTCAAGTGCATTTCGGTCGCGCACATAGGCGCCTGGTAATTTCAATCAGATACCAAGTCCCTTTGCCTTCAATTTCCCTTTTCTTGTCGACGTGGATTGCAGAATGTGACTAGTCCGTTTGCTTGGATTGGCATTATCACATGGAAAGAGAAAAGAACGGCGTCAAAGAGTAGGACTAAGTCATTCCAGTAGCCATTGGAGTGTCACGGCAACCATGAATGCCGTGATACCACATGTCAGTTTCCTGTCTTCCTTGCCTTTGTACGTACGTACTATACCGTATTCGCGTATTGGCAGCGCAGCACAGCGCGTCGGTATCTTGCCTTGCCGGCGGCTGGTCTCGCCTTGAATGCTTGGGAGGCGCTAAACACGCGACGAATCGTTTTTGCATATTGACCTGGTGCACTTGTTCCAGCTGGCGTGTTTTTTTCGCTCTCGATACACACCCTTGCACAGTTCATTTCCTTTCGCTAGCCTGGTCCAAGAGCAGGAAAAAAAAAAGTACGTGTGGATGTGGTGGGTGTGGTGGTGTAGAATCGAGGAACCAGTCAAAGCTGCGAAATGCAACATCCAAGACCAATCCCAAGCCTTCTCAGCAGGTGTAGGAACTCGTTTTTCCCTTTTTGGTTCCAAACACGGCTACTGGATAAATAACTAACAAGGCGTCATGGGCCCCCATGTTGTTGCGAAAACACCCACCCCACTCGCCCAATATCCACTCTGCTCATTTGCTTCCTTCCCTTTCCTCCCCACACACACGCACACAAATAGCCGCTAGCTAGAGGCAGCGCGGCCATGGAAACAATCTAGAACAACAAGAAAGCAAGAAAAAAAGTGGTACCATTTTTCTTCACTTCTGCTTCTGCTTCTACTGTATGCCGAAATTTTTTCTTTTTCTCAAAAACATGTGTTGGACTACTTGCTTACCGCTTGTACTGTACGTATCTCCATATTTTTTTTTATTTTTTTTGCTTTGCTATACCCTCACCCCGCACATATATGTGTATGTATGTATACGGACCAAGACCAAGACCAAGAACCGACGGAAAAAAAAAGAGAGAGAATGCCGTTTTACCGAGATGCCTAGTCCTTAGGTAGCTAGCTAGCTAACTACGTAGTGTACATATGTGTGAATGAGTGAGTGACACTGGGGTAAGAGCCAGCGGGTAAGTATGGACTGTACATCAAGGCGTAAATGTGTGTATGTATGCATGTGGTACCAGGAAGGCTAGTCAAAGTACAAGAACAGGCCAAGGTATCCCCCCACCCACCCATCTACCTACACACATACATACATACATACATAGACACATGCATTACATACACATATACACCTACACCTTACGTACTAGGATCCATACGTAAACATGCCCAGATCCAGCTAGCCCCGGCGCGTCTACGGACCCTGTTATCCAGGCGCCCGCCCCCCTCCCCCCACTCACATCTGATTGGCTGCAGGCAAGCCCGCGCTTAGCCCAGGTAGGATGTATTAGCTTGCAATCTTGTTTGCTTCCCCACTCTGCCGGGCTATATTAAGGCGCTTTTCAATTTCTCAGGTGTGTGTGTGTGGCGCTTTTTTGGAGTCTTTGCGACCTTCTACTTGTGGTTTAGTATACATGTGGCTGCGAGACTAGCTGAGCTGTTGGTGGGGAACATGGGCGAGTGGGTTGTTTTTGTGATTGTGCTTGACTAGGTAGCGTGGTGGTACGGGCGGCTCTGCGGGTGGTGGATACGTGGGAGTAGCAGTGGTGGTTGGATTTGTTGTAATGTATGGCGCAAGAGGGCATGGAAGGGGGTGAGATGTGAGGGTTCTCCACCTAGTGATCTTCCAGTGCTGGGCTGGATACTAGATATGGTCACGTTCCTCGTGTGTGCCGCTATTCCCGGTTTTTTTCTTTCACGCTGCAAGTAATTGCTGTTGTCAGACGGGAGCTTTGTGTTACTAGAGCTTTCTTCTGTATGTCTGTCTGTACGTAGGTGAGGATTGCAGCATCAGGCTTACTTGAAAGTCAGCATTCACCACCACCATTTTGGTTCCTCAGCATCAGCATCAGCATCAGCATCGTTCAACAAGCTTCTTCTGCAACTTGCCTACATACTGCTAGACCAGCCCACAGGATCATCTGATGTCGACATTTCAAGATGCATCCTCCTCCCCCAAAATAGCCCACGTTCCCCCCGCCCCCCTCCCTCAGGCGTTCGCGCCAACACCCAAAGCAGACTAGCGGCCGTCCGTCGAGGCTTTGGGCGGCTCCACCAACTCGCAAACCCCATCTGCCCAGCATGCAGCGCACGGGCCCGCAGCCGCCCGGTCTCGAGGCCTCTGAGCCAATGGAGCCCCAGCCGGCTATATTTGGGGTCTTTTTTTCTTCTTCCCTTTCTTCCCAGGTTGCTTTACCCGAGGCGGGGCGGCGGGTGTGGGACAGGGCGGTAAACGTCAACGGGCCATGGGCCTGTCGTGCTAAACTACTGGGTTGCAAGCCTTGCGCGAGAGTGGGTACCCGACTACTACGCGCTGTGCTAGGGGGGATTGGAGCAGGAAGCATGCACAGAAAACAACGCTGGCTTGTGTCGTGTCGCCTGGGTGCCTTTTGTGTATATAGGAAGGCCGGTTGAGAGTTGTTTCGTTTCTACCCTCCCTACTACTACTACTCCTACTACACCCACACACACTTCCTCCTCTCTTCCACACATACAGACAAAAAAGAAACGCCTGCTAGTCAGTGTGTCCGTCTCGTCAGCACTCGCCCTTTTTATTCTCGGGTTTTTTACGCCCTGCTTTCCCTGCTGGATCCGGTTATTATTTTTCCATTCTCGGACTCTTATTACGCATCATCCCCCGGAGGGAGGAAAAAGAAAAGCAATCTATTACTAGAAAAACCGTCAGCATCATCAGCGCCACACAACGACAAACACCCACGTCTATTCCGAGAAACAGAAATCATCAAGCAGTCCGCTTTGTTCTATTTCCAATCCGGGGACAGTCGCGGTATATAACTTTTGGATTTACCGTCGCGGCTTCAGAAGATCGTCTGTTACACACATACACAAACACCATAACACAACACAATAATCCATCTTCGCCCCCAAGTCGACCACTCAAAATGCTCTTCACGGCCCCGCTCAGCCTCATCTTGGCACTTGCGCCTAGCGCTCTGCTGGCTGCTCCAACACAACACATGGATTCGATAGCAGCGCTCATCCCCCGCCAGAACCTGCCCGCTGGCGTGTGGGAGCAGCTGCGAAAGACAGATTCCCTCTGCGACTTGTCCAATGTGAAGCTTCCTATTGGTGAGTAAACCACCTCCATGCAAGACTCCAAAATAAAACAACCACTAACAGTATCGTCAGCACCAACACCGCTCGGTAGCCCCGCTGAGGGCCTTTCCCTCCGCCACATTGCCATTGGCCGTGGAACCCAGAACTACACGTGCGCGTCTGCATCGGCAATGGAGGTCCCCAAGGCCACGGGTGCAATTGCCTCGCTCTTCAACGCTACGTGTGATGCTGCCCGCCTCAACACCGATGTGCTCGCTCAGGTGACGACGCTCGCGCTCAACTACGCCATCCCCACGTCGCCCGAGGCCGACAACCGCCTGTCGGGCCACCACCAGTTTACGGCTGCCGGCGTGCCTCTGTTCAATCTCCAGACGGAGAATGCCGACTACGGCCGTGTCGAGTGCGCCGTCAACGCAAAAAGCCCTGCGCCCAAGGCCGCTGCCCTCGGCAAAAACGAACTCGGCAGTGTCCCGTGGCTCAAGCTCAATGCTACCGTCGGCGACGACAAGCAGTGGGCGTACAAGGAGGTTTACCGGGTCCACACTGCTGGAGGCTCGGCGCCCAAGACATGTGAGGGCATTGAGGGTAGCTTTACTGTCGAGTACAGTGCGGAATACTGGTTTTACGCTTAAGCGAAGACTTTTTTCTGTTCTCCTCTTTTTTTCTCTTCCTCCTTTCTTGTACAGCAGCATTTACCGGCGTTTGGGGGAGTACCGGTTCAGCGTTCCGGTATGGCATATAGCCTACGGGCTTACGTAGATAGCATTACTTTCGTCGCGATTCTCTGTCCAGCCCATGAGTAGGCGACAGTAATCGTAATATTTCAATACCAAAAACCCTTTTTATACCATTTACGTCTCTTCATTAGCCTTGGTCTCCAGTTCTACCCGCATTGATCAACTATCTTCCAGCACATCTCTTTTCTGCTTGCGATACCTGGTGCTCCTTTTTCTCATTATTCCTGTTTCCTCGTCCGTGTTATCCCCGTATCGCCTGCTGAGCTCTGGTTTTGGCTGAATCGGCTTCTTGGGCCAATCCTTGCAGATATCGATTCTTGACCTGGGTGCAAAAGTTTCCAACACGAGGAAAATTAGATAGTCGACAATGACACAAATGCAGAAGAGCTTGCCAGCCCAGATTCCGCACCCGAAATATCTCTTTAAGCGCTCGATGAGTGCAAAGCTTTGCACTCCAGCTCGACCTCTGGTGGCACTCCATGCTCCAGCTGCTCCAGCGCCCTGGTAGAATTCGCTGTGGCTGATGACGCCACTGATGCCGTCGTATACCCTTTCTGTTCGTTGGGCAATGTCGGTCCAAGAGTACATTTGCTTGACCTGATTGTGGAACAGCTCCGTCCTGACTTTTCCAGCCCGTAATTTGGCGATCGCACGTCCAGTCGCTTCGACAAGCTCATCCTCTTCTGGCGCTGCGAATTCTACCATGTGCGTGGGCAAAACTTCAGGGATACCACCGACTCTTGTGGCTACGACATAGAGACCGCAGGATGCGGCTTCTACAATGACCGTACCAAACGCCTCGGTCAAAGATGGACAGAGGTAGATGTGGCCGCGTACCATGACGTCGCGGACTTCCTCGTGACGGACAGGGCCAATCATGAGAACTTTGTCCTGTAGAACATTCCGCTCAATCATCTGCTCGAGATCAATGGCCTTTGGCCCATTACCAGCAATTATGAAACGGACATTTGGGTTTGCTGCAATGATATGAGGGATGGCGGCTACTAACAAGTCGGTGCCTTTGTTGTAGTAGAGTCGCTGGATGACAATCACGGTAATGATTTCGTCTGGATCCATGGGCTGCCGAGGCCCGGGCGCCCTGTGCTGCACTGTATCTTGCGAGTTATGCGAAAGAGGGCGGAAGTTCTCAGCGACGACTGCGTTGGGGATTACCGAAACCATGAGAGGGTCTAGTGAGGCTCTGAGGACAGTGTTCTCCTTACTGCTGTTGGTTAGCAGATGACGATAATGCAGAGTGAAGACGTACCAAGTATGGCTGACACAGATGACATGATCAACGTCGCTCAGAGTGAACTTGAGCAGCTTGTTGGTGAGAATACTCCCAGCATCTGCAAAGCCAAACAGACTGTGATCTGTAAAGACGGTTCTCAATCCCATTGTACGTGCATGCAGGATGGCCTCGTGACACAGGCTGCTGAGACTGGCGTGCCCATGGACAATCTCAATGCGCTCGCGGATGACAATGTTGCGGAAGATAGGGAAGAAGGAGAAGACGGTGGGAAAGGTCGTTTCGCGGTAGATGACCAAGAAGGGAACGTAGTAGACCTTGAGCCCATTGGTCAGGTAGCGTACGCCCTTTCGGCCGGCATAGGCGTGTGTAATGACTATGACTTTATGTCCGCGGTCGATGAGTTTCTGGTCTTGTTCAGGAGACACGACAGGCTACCGGGTCGAGGACGCTTACGCTTGAGAGTTGGTACATGTGACTCTCCACTCCTCCTGCAAGATATGAGAAGACGGCTCACCACCTCTGGGCGCTGTTCATACCGGGCTGGGGATAGAAGTTGTCGCTGACCATGCTGCTGGGTGTTAGTCGGCAAGGGGGCATTGGGGGCATTGGGGACGAACGCGATGTTGTACGGCATGATGGTGGTATGCGAGGACAGACTCCTCGATTCCAGTCAAGGAGAGAATACATGACAGCTCACTAAAGCATTGGGGGCGGAGACCAAGGGGAATTGCTCCTGTCGCAGTCGCCGGTGTCGAGGTTGACAAGCGCAGGCGCGTCACTGTCGGCGTTTGGCGTCGCGGACCTCCGACCAAATTTCGAGGGTCCAGAATTCCTGCCGACTTCTTCGACGCCAACAGTCGCAAAGCGTCGCGAAGCTTTCAGGCCATTGCTTGGATTTTGTCTACCCTAGAATCGCATTGAATACCGCACGCGATGCCTGGCCCTCTGTTCAAACGATTCGCGCCGCCTGCGCCTGCGCCCCAAAAGCAGCCTTCGCCCGCTGAGGTACACACCGAGGGCGCAGAAGCCTCCAGTCCTGTTCATACCGCTACCGAGCCTGTCGCCTCTTCGATTTCTACCCATATAGAAGAGAATTCTACAGAAGATACCCCAAAGTCTATCAAGAAACCTAAAAAGAGGAAGCGCGACGCCGACAACGCAAACGACGAGAACGATGAAGTTTCGAAGAAGCACAAGAACATTCTTTCCAAGTTCGAAAAGGCCTCGAAGCTAGCCGAGGCAAAGAGCCAGCAAAATGAAGACAACGAGATGCCAAAAGACGAGGAGCAAGAGGAGCTCCACGATCTGGAGCCCATGCCACAGCCGGCACCCGTTCCCGAGCCTATATACGAGCCCACCTTCTCTACCCTACCCACATGGCTCGCCCAGCCAACCACGGTCGAGGCGTCCAAGACAGTCCCATTTGCGGAGCTAGGCGTTGATCCGATATATGTGAAGAAACTAGAAAAGCAAGGCTTCAAGGACGCTTTGGCCGTGCAAACTGCATTGCTGCCAATGCTACACCCTGGCTTTGACCAGCATCTCGGCGACATATGTGTCTCGGCAAAAACAGGATCCGGCAAGACGTTGGCCTACCTACTGCCTATTATTGAAGCACTCCGTGACCGAGCTGTGCCCATACTCTCCGCGATCATAGTCGTTCCAAGCCGACAGCTGGTCAACCAGGCTCTCCAGGTCGCCGAGGAGCTATGCGCTGGCACAAGGGTCAAAGTAGGAACGGCATTGGGCAATGTAGCATTCGCTACCGAGCAGAAGCAACTCGTCAAGATGAGGGCGCAGTATGACCCAAAGAGGGCGGAAGAGCTGAAGGAAAAGGCATCACAGCAGCACCAGACAGGTTTTATGAAAGGAAGAGGAATATACGACGATTTGAGGAGCATGCCTCTGGGCCATGTCCCGCAGTACGACTCGGGCGTAGACATTCTCATATGTACACCAGGTCGACTTGTCGAGCACATTGAACATACGACAGGTTTTCTGCTCAATGCCGTCAGATGGCTTGTCATTGACGAAGCTGACCAGCTGTTGAACCAAGATTTCCAGGGCTGGGCCAACGTGCTAATGGACGCCATCCACGGTGAAACTCCAACTGAGTTTATGAATGCTCGCGAACGAATTGGTACACGGGAACGCGATGCCAACTCTACTTGGTCGGTGGCATTACCAGCACGAAGACAGCTTACGAAAGTAGTGCTTTCGGCGACCATGGAGAAGGATCTCACCAAACTCGGCACTTTGAGACTAAAGCGCCCAAAGCTGGTTGTTGTACAAGACGCGAGCGTGGAGCAGCAACCACTCGAAAATGAAGACAACGCTTTCGAGCTGCCGTCACGACTCGACGAGTTTGCCGTGCACGTAGGCGATGGCTCCAACAAGCCTTTGCACCTAGTGTACGTGCTACTCAACTATGTCTTCACCGAAAAGCAGCAAGAAGCAGACTCGTCCTCGGATTCATCCTCGTCAGACTCGTCTTCAGATTCATCGTCAGACCCTGACTCTGACTCGGACTCCGGCAACGCCAACCAAGCATCAGTCTCGCAACAACCAGGCCGCGTTTTGATCTTTACAAAGAGCACCGAGAGCGCATCTCGACTATCGCATCTGCTAAGCGTTCTCATGCCCACCTTCAAGCACCACATGAAAACAATGACCCGCGCGCTAACAGCAGACGCATCCCGCAAACTGCTCAAAGCCTTCAGCTCCGGCGCAATCAAAATCCTGATTGCCTCGGACGCCGCGTCTCGCGGCCTGGACATCCCAGACATCACACACGTCATCAACTACGACTTGCCCACGAGCATCACGAGCTACGTCCACCGCGTGGGCCGTACCGCCCGCGCGGGGAAACCTGGAAACGCCTGGACCCTGTTTACCCGCACAGAGGCAGCTTGGTTCCTCAAGCAGGTCGCCAAGGGCGACGCTATCAAGCGCGGAAATAAGAGGGTTAGGCGCATGGAGTGGAAGGAGAGTACCGTTACGGCGGACGGAAAGAAGAAGGCGTATCGTGCTGCGCTGAAGCAGTTGGAGAGTGCTGTTACGGGTAATAGCGAGACGGGATAGTTGGAGTTGTCAATGCAAGAAAAAAGCCTTGTTAGTTGGTTGAGCAATACCCATTGAAATTGTTGATTGCGGTATATGTCGTTTGGTCTCTTCATCAATAATCAGTACAGGGTATAACAGCCTCTGCTCCTGACGCCTGGCTATGCATGTCCACTTTGTATAGTCCGCTGAAATAATCGAGATTGCCTGTGTATACACTTGTACATTCGTCACAGCACGGAAATCAACAGGAACATCCAACCCAGCAAGCTCTTGATATTCACGCTGATTACGATTCTTGCCCAGCTATCTGAAGCACAAAAGACAGTATAGCCCTTACGAGGACTTACGTACAATACATAACATTCTGCAACAAATGATACCACTCATACCATTTCCAACGCGTCTTGAATGACTCTCCCTTTTGTTGCTGCTACAAACGTACCTGGGCAAGCCACAAACGCAAACCCCACAGTCCCAGCCTATCACCACGCTCGTTGTACTGCACCGCACACCTCGAGGCACCACGTGGGTGTGGCCTTGGCAGCAAACAAAAGAAAAAGAACAAGGCTGTAGGAGTACGCCTGTGTGCAGGACAGCTGAGATAAACAAGGCAACCCGCGACGGCGCCTTGCTGCATGACAAGGGGTGAGCCTCGGGACTTTGGCTGACGGACATGGACATGTGATATGAAGGCTGTATATTTGGGCTGCTGCATGTGGGACAGCCGTCAGCCTTGCAGGTGGGCTCCGCCTCGCCTCGGCCTTCTCATTTTTCCTCGTACTATATGTATGTACATATGCAGATGCAGTAGCAGTAGTGAGCAGTGCGACGGAGACGGGTCATAACGCCGAGGGGGCGAGGAACGTGATTCGAGAAGAGCCAGCTTGAGTTTAGCTATTGCGGCTGGGCGTTTCCTCCTCCCTTACTTACTTGAGCCGCCTTCGCGGTCAGTGGCTTTTGGATGCTCCGATATATCGCCCGAAAAGCGGCCATGAGACACGTTGTGCGTCGAGGGTGCGGCAGTGGCAGTGAGAAGCAAGCGAAAGGCTAGACGGGATGAAGTAGCCATCCGACGAAGCGCCGGGGCTTCTGATCGGTGAGCTGCGTGTGTGGCGAGTGCGATTAGTGGAGCGTGTCGGCTAAAGTTGACTGTTGGCTGTTCTGTAGCCTTGGAGGACATCTTTGTAGTGTCCTGATCAAAGGTAAACGCTAGTGAACACGGGTTGTGGATATGGCATTACTCGGGCCGTAGGGCTATTTTTCTTGGGCCGGTGTATGTAATGTGGGTCTGTTGCTGTCCTAGTCTAGGTTTGACGCGGAGACTGGCCTCCACGGCTTGACTGTGGCCTAGTGAACAACAAGTGTCACAGAGAAATACAAGCTGATAGATGGCCAGATGTTGGCCTATCGACAACACGACGTCTCTGGCTAAGAGTCCCACTAATCCCTGCATCATTGTATGCAAGGAATCATCCTGGTCCGGTGCCTCTAACTTGATGTAATGACCTGCATGTACTTGTGCAATGTCAACCGACATGGAGTCTTCCATCCCATATTGCTGGGGCAATGGAGCCCGTAAACCGTCTTTCTCATCATGAGATTTGTTTCGCTTGGTTTGGATACGCGAAATCAAAGGGCCATGGCCAGAAGGTGTACTGGCTCTGACTGCTAGCATGACTATGCACCCATCCTCTGTGCTGGCCGGACCGAAGGATGAAAAGGATCACATTATCCGCTGCAAGTAATACAGGTCGGTAGAAGTAGTGCAAAAGATTATTGTAGAAAGATTGCGAAGTTCAAAGAATGCAATCCTACCTCGGCTCTCGTAAATGATAGATCGATCCGTGTGAGTCTCAGGCCAGCCCTCTATTTTGAGAATATTTATCCTAATAAAAAAATATCTCATTTTTTTTATAGAATGATAGTAAAATAATGCTATAAGAAAGTTATTTAAACATTGGCTTTTTTAAGTAGCTTCCTTAAAGGCTATATCAGAGTGGCGAATAGGTCTCGATCTTAGATAGGTTAAAGCGAGATAGGTACGCTATAGTGCTATACAACTGCTAAATACTCTATTAGAAAAAGAGTTCTGGTAATTTAATAAATAAGTAAATATAATTAATTCTAAGATAAAATAACTAGTATTAATTTATATAAGAGATGAACTAGTGAAAAGTTAGCTATAATAAGTGTAATAACGAGATCTATCCTGTTCTTATACCTATTGCTTCTAGTCCTAGTATTAGACATCCCTCCTAAAGTCACTGACTCCAGGCCCTGCCTGTGAGGCCATGTCCTCACATGAACGGGGTGGCATCACTGATGCTATGGTCTTGGCGTGATGCCATCCACGTGATCGCCGCCCTGCGGTGATCATTACCTTTTGACGTGGCGCCCAATGGTCTCTAACCTGCGGCCCTCGTCCAGGAGAGATCCTTCGTTGTTACTTGCAACACCCACCCTGACAAGGAGTCTTCTATAGATCGGTAGGATTTCGGTAGGATTTCGGTAGTAATCGAGAACTCTTGTCTTTCTGTAGCGGCAATGACTTTTACGTAAAAGCGTCCTTTGTATACTAAGCACTATAATTTCAGTCTTATTCTCTATAAGAACATAGATTTACGCTCAAATGTTAGCATGGTAGGTTGTTAGATTGTAATGGTTGTGAAAGATGGTGTGGAAAGCCTGGAGCTGTGATAAAGAACTGTGATAATTGTATTCTTCTGATCTGCTATAATCGTGTTCTATGTTGTTGTTCTATTGTCTAATTAGCCTCCTTTTTATTATGCGTACACTAATCTAACTACTTTAAATTAGTTGTATTACGGTGGATCGTGCTTGCTAACTCATACAGAACCCGGGTGCTCCAGAGCACTAGGATTCTATCTACCACCCTAAATATGGCTAGTTATTATCTAACATAGGTAGTATATAAACATACACTACTTCCTAATCATTTCTTAACATGCTAGTTAAAAGATTTATTTTATAACAGACTTGATTGAGCTTACGTTAGGCAATCGAATTTCACCCTATAACTATCCACTGTAAGAGGCTACGCCTAAGTGTGTGTGATCGAGTATATCTATACGACTACCTGGACTTCAAGAAGCTTGAAGTCTTGTTACTGCCTTTTTGGCTATGGATGGCGTAAGTAGTCGTACGCTCGGCCCGTTGGGCCCGCCCATTACATCCACTATCATGCAGCTTATCTACATAAGTATTTTCGCTATTGTTCTTAATACTGTCCCTATCTTAGGACAGTGTACTAGATCTTATGGAGAGTATAATGTACAAAACCCTTTGCCTTCTCAAGAGCGATTGTTAATTTGAAGACAGGCTTGTAGTAAAGATGGGACGCGAATAGTAAGTGGATTCAAAAGCATAATATGTTTTTGTGTCAAGTTGCTTAATAAATTAGATCCGGTGCAATGGATATTATGGAAGAACCCTCCTGAACTGCGACGCATCTACAGGGTGCGCGTATAACACCCGTAAACAAGTTTGGCAGTGCGCCTAAGTGTATATTTGTTAGATTGTCATGGTTTATCAAAGACAGGAGTAAAAAACTGTGATGTATAGCTATCTTGTTAAACTCTTGGATCTCTGCAACAGGTGACTAATTGTGTGGCTCTCGATCCCTGACTTCAACCAGCCCTAGTTGGCTTAGAAATCCCCGCTACTGGTTTACTAGGAGTACTTTGGTGAGGCTAGTAGCTATCATCTCAGAAGATCTTGTGTATACCACTTCGATCTGTTGGTTGGTCACTTCCTGTCAGAGCTAATAGTTGTGGATATCCACGTGTCTAAGCTTTGTAGTCAGTCTCAATACTGTTTGAGCTACAAGACGGATTATCTTCTAATTATCGCATTAAATAGTGATCGTAGGACTCAGTAGCTTGACCTTGAGTTCACTAATTAATCGTGAGGTAAAAATGGCTTCTTTAGCTACCTGTGAGAGAGCCAAGAGCTGCGTAGAGGAGGGAGCCAACTTTTCGTTAGTATTTAGTTAATCTTAGTTAGGCTAGCTAGTCCCTCTCTTAGCATAAGTTCGCTAGTTGCTATAGGAGTATTGTGGCGGATTATCCAATCGTCGACTAGTTTGTTGATGTTTTTATAGTAGGCAACTTAAGAGAGATAGATTAGCTATTTGTGTTAATCCTTAATCACCTTGATTCAAAGGAACTACTAGAGGTTGTCTCCACTAGTAATGGAGTATCGTTGTTTAAGCTAATCTATTGTTTCTTAAGCTTTCTTAGCTCAATCCTTATAATAGGCTAGGATTATGTCGTCTATATAATAGAAGATAATAATCCTATGTATCTTTAATTATATAGTAGGGCTTGTAGGGTACAATCTAGAGCCCAAGTTAATTAAGCGTCGCTATGAAATTCTCCTACTAGAGGAATGGGGATATCCTTAGCCTATATAGAGCTTTCTTAATCTGTAGGATAGTGCCTAGTTCCTACTAGCTTTAAAAAATATTTAGTTAACTATAGTAAAGAAATAAGTAGTAAAGTAATAATAGTAGAGTTTTAATAATAGCAGGGTCTTAGCATAACTGTAACGATGTTACAACTTCGCCAAGTATTGAGCCAATCCCAGAGCCGGATCGGAGGAAGTACCTGCCGCCCTTCATCAGCCATTCGCCCGAGGTCGGATCCGAATTCGGACCCGACTAGGATAGGTATATATTGAGACACTCCCTGTAGCTAGCTCTGTAGACTTTTGATATCCTTTCGTACAAGGCCTATAGGTGGCTTGTTGAATCTAGGCTCTTTGTGATCCCACGCACTCCCATATGCCTCTGAGTGATCCTACGACCGAAACAGATCCGACCTGCCTTACCTGCGCCGTTACAATAACAAGGGAAACTTTTTGCCTAGTACTGTATTGTGGTGAGCGAAGGAAGACAGCCCCCACGCCTGACCAGGGCGTACTCGCAGCACAAGGATGTCCTTCAGAATTGTGATATTATTGCTTCGAGTAGCAGTTGGCACCGACCTAATACTGGTTTCACGTCGGTCGTTTTTTGAAGCAATTGTTTTGCGCAAAGTCCTGCAGGGGATCTGTTTTCGCTTTTCAATAAGTATCTCTTTTTAAGACTCGCTGCTGTTTCTGCGCTAGTTAGCTTGAGCAAAATGCGCAATCCGCTCTGCTAGCTGTTTTCTATTTCTCTTGCATGTAAATGGCAGACCTAACCGAAGCTAGAAGTTGGCCACCTAAACTTTTCAGCGCAAGGTCCTCAGGTTAATGGGCTACTGTACCCACGGCAGCCGATAGGAGGTTCCGACGTTTTAGCGCGAAAGAGGACGCGAAAGTGCTCTGACGATTGCGGGTATGTGTGTACAACTGATTGGCGTCTGCGGAAGTGGATCAGCAGACGCCCGCTGAAGCTAAGCCGGAGACTGCGGGTTGTACGATATGTGCGGGTGAGCAAGGATACGGGCTGCTTGGATGTAAACGGATCCGGGTTAGCGCAACAATGATCGGTAGTCAAACATGACGGTAGCCGTTCCCCGACGTTGGCCAGCTTGGCATTGCGTGTTGCAGAATCTGTTCGCATGCTGTTCATGCTGCACTACCCTAGCACGCTTACGGTGCCGAAATGTCAATTGGGATAGGCCGGGTGACACAGCATTACCAACGGCTGCACATGGCAGCGAAGAGCCATTCAGCGCAGCTGGAGCAGGCAATGTAACACGGCACGGCAGAAGTTAGGCGTGTGGGGTACAGGCCCGTAGCTTGAGCCTGGACGATGGCCTGATTGTTTGAGCGTGGAGGAACGGACACGGAGTACGGCAAAAGCACTGAACACCTAAGCGGTCAGCAAAGAAGCCCTTGCTCGAGACCATGGTGTACACGGGACCGGTGTGCTTTCCTCTTGGACACTGTTTGTGGGGCCAAAGGTTGTGTTGCTTGTGATATGTAATCTGCAAGTGAGGCGTATGCATCCAAGCTTCTCTGGATGCGAATTGGACGGCACAGCCTGTCTTGTGTGCATGCTGCATCTTCTTCCAAAGCCAATCGTAGGGATCGGAAGGGGGTTGACGAAATTCGAACGTCGTTGGTGTTTGCCATGCTCAGCCCGACATGGCGGTCATAGGATGAAACGACATGAATACCCAGATGGCGGCCATTCGCCACGAAGCACACCCACGCATGCTCCGAGTCCGACTCTTGATGTGGATGCGTAGATGTGGATGTGGTGTGACCCACCTCGACAAAAGCGATGATCAAACAAGACACAAAGCGTAGAAAATCGTTATAGGCTAGCAGAATAAGAGCCATTGCCGTTAAGAAACGCTGGCGCATGGTAGGCAGGGATAGATGCAGGTCAACCTTAGTCCCGAATGATGATGATGATGATCGGCCCGCGGAGAGTGCATTCGGCGTTGGAGCATTTGGCTTGGAGGTACAGCTCACAGCGTCTGATGCTCACGTGACGACATACGCATGCATATGAATGTGACGCAAAATCACGGATCCAGCGCTACACTCACCTGCGAATTGACATCAGAGCATCCGGTTGGCAATATAATGTATGCAGAAGCTGGCGATCAGGAGAAATTCCAGTAGCCGGCCTGAGTACTGCGCTAGTCTCGTCGATCAAGCGCATGCAGCGAGAAGCTGGAAAGACAGTGGTGAGTATCCCTGCTTCTCGCTTTTTGAAACATGCAGAGCCCTCAAAGCAGCGGTGTGCTTCTTGAACAGTGTCAAATCACATCCAGCTCAATATTGGAAAGGGTGCCTCGAGGTGCAGAATCGGGAAAAGTCAGACGAGTGCACAGCTGGGTTTGGTCAACGAGGCGCTGGACTGGCAAAGCAGAAAAGTAACAGAGACACTGCAGCGTAGTATTGCTGTGCTATTGAAGATGCTGGTATATCGCAGATGTCACCATGCAAGGCCTTGGCGATGCATGCTGTGAGTTCTAAACGTGTGGCTGAGGTACCTGTCGTCGGGTGTGACAGCACCAACGCTGCATGGCGGCGGCGTGGCCTCGTAGAACTGTTGCCGGTCCACTGATGTGGGGGACTGGCGACGGACGCCATGGCGTCTAGGTGACAATTGCCGCGCGCGGGTGATCATTTTTTCTTTTTGTCCTTGATCTTCTTTTTCGTTTCTGCCCCGCTGCTTGCCCCGCTGCCGCCAGCCTCGCCGGCCATTTCTGCCATCATGTCCTGCAAGAAGTTCTCGCTGATGCCGCCTCCCGTCAGGGCGGGGGAGTGCAGGGGAAGGATCTTGTTCAGCTTCCAGCCCTTGGGTATCGCCGGCTCTGGCATCTCCTTGGGCATGGGCAGGCCTGCAATGGGCAACCGGAAGGGCGTGTTCTTCTGGGTCGGGTTCGCCTTGAGGGCCTGGGACATGAGGATATAGAGGTGGTGCTTGTTCTTGACCAATTGGCTCATCGTCTTGCCCTCGTGCTTGAGGAGGACGCGCACCCTTCCAGGATTGCTCCAGTCCTTGGGATGTGTTTTGTCGGGCTCAAAAACGGTGCGCAGGCCGAGGTCGGCGGCGGCGTCGGCCATCTCGCGCGCCAGAGGATTCTCGACGGCAAGGCTCTTGCCCACGCGGCGGCCCTCGGCCCTGGTGCGCGATATGTCAAAGTATATGGGGTACAGACACTGGTAGTGCTTGGACTGCTCGCGGTCCGTCGTCGTCTTGATCGAGGGCCCCTGCGGCTGCAGCATCTGCGTGGGCATGGACGAGCTGGCGGCGGCGGGCATGTTGCTGGCGTTGATCAGAGCGGGCACGTCGTCAATGTCCATCTCGGCCGGCTCGCTGTCCGAGTCGCTGACCTCTTCGACGCACGGATTCATCGTGTCGGTGCTGTGCATGCGCCGGTCAGCCTCGGGGTGTGCACGGCGTCGTCCGCGGCGGCGCCACTCACCTCGCTGCTGCTGTCTCGTCCAGGCGTCGTGGACGTGGTTCACGTCGTGGGCTGGCGGACGTGGGGAAGCTAGAGGGGCGGGGCTTGGCGGCCACAGACAGAGGCACAGACATACAGTAGTCATAATAGGCACCGGCACCAGCACCAGCACCAGCACCAGCACCAGCACGCGCACACGCACGCGCACAGGCGCTGCCCGGGCCGGATCAGTATCGTCTGCGCGGCGCACTACGGCCCGGCCACCTGCCTCTCTGCTCTGCTCGTTTCAGCGCCCGAACGACTGCCCTCCTCTGCGCCGCCCGGCCAGCCCTCAACCATGCCCTTCTTCACCGCAACTTGTCGCCTGCCAAAAACCACCCTCGACGGCCGTGCTGGTCACGATGCAACTCGCCTGCCGGCACACCAAGGGGCTGGCTGTTGTGGCCTGCGCCCGCCACCTCAGGCTGCGGTTCGCTTCACTTAGCGGACGCTCCTCTGCACGACCCCTTCTCAATGGCTGTCCCAGAACCGAGCCCGGCACATGCACGCTTGCTTTTCCCGCTGTCGCCTCGTACCGCCCTGTTATCTCGGTGCCACGCATGCGCAGGTGGATGGGCGTCGAGCGCGCAGCCAGTCAGTCTGCACCCACCCGCCACCTCGTGGACCTTCCAACCTGGGGACCGCCCGGCGATTCGACTCAAACCGCGTCCAGGGAAGCCATGGCGCCGCCTGCCATGGCGCCGCTCTGCCAAATCACTGTCCGACGGCAAACCTCCGCGTCTAGGAACTCGCTGGACCCTCGACACCCAACTGTGGTTGCCTCCTCGTGCGGCTATGGAGCCAGTCTAGCCATCACACCACCTCATCATAAGAAATCGAACAGTCTCTAACTGTATTCGGCCTAGCACTGTTCGATTTCTTTTGATGAGGAGGTGATCACAGGGAGTCATGTCAAGTCATCATGCACTTGCAAGGCTACTAGCCTTCCACCGAACCCCCCCCCCTGCGAGGGCGCCTGGAGCAGTATGCCTAACGTCATCTGGATTCTCTGGCCCTCTGGCAGGCCACCTCCGGTCTCTCATGGCGAGCATTCTTGTCGTCTGCCAATCACTGCACTGCCCGTTGGTATTTTATGGGCAATTCATCCCCACGTTTATGCTCCCATGTAGCCTGGTTACACAAGATAAACGGTATGTTCCGATCCGATCGTCCTAGTAGCACTGGCACGCATGGCAGCCGCAGCAACAACCTTGTCGATCTTACCAGACAGGGATCCATACGAAACCCCACACAGCCATGTGGCCGTAATGCATTATCGTCGGCGTTTGTGGGTTCACCAACGCGAGGCAATTTTTACTTTGTTTGGTACCTGTGTTTCATGCTACCGAAATGTCTTTGATTGATGCTCTGATGCCAGGAAACGACCCATGTCCACAGCTTTCTGCGTTGATCTGGCCAGCCATTGTTTCCTCTCTCCGGAATGTTCGGCACCTGGCCCTGACATGGCCGCAGGCAGCTGTGCCGCCCTGGTCTTACTTAGACACGACATGTTCCATCACACAGGGCTGACTGGCCTCGGGCAACCCTGGAAAGCATATATTACCTGCAAAAGTGCCATAGCCTGAATTGATTGGCTCACCGGATATACCTCGAGTAAGCAGTTGACCGTTGAGTTTTCACAAGAAATGAATAAGCCCACGACTTTCCAAGGCCTTCCGTGCGCAAGCAAGGCCTTTGCAACTTTTTAGCTAGTCCAAGCTAAAGCATCTTTTTCGGGGAAAACCCCCCCGACCTCGTCTTTCCCGACGGCTCGGAAGATCCAGCTATAATCGGGTTGCCGAAGGCTTCAAGTATGGTACTAGTGACCTGGGCCCTGATTACGCGATAGACGCTCCGTCCCAAGCAAGCGCCTTACCGGTCACGTCGCAACACGATCCCATGAATAGCCCTGGCTAGTATAAAGTCGGGGGCGTTTCATCCCAGGCTTCGTCATTTGTTCCATTCCTTCCCTAATCATTGAGCGACTCGACCCTCAACCACACATTGTCTCTTGTCGTACACACGAGTTTGGTCTTTGGGGTGCACAGCTACCATTGACTCTGTCAGTGCTTCTCGGTTATGGCGCCAGGCTTGTTGGTCGATGAGAGCAGCAGCCCCTGCGCGGCTCCTGATATGGGCGTCTCACCACCAATGAGCAATCCAACACCAATTGCAACGACTAATGGCGGCCGCCGGAGTCGCCGGAGCCCACTTCTCAAACGCAGCGTCAGAAGTCTCCCGCTTTGGCTGAAGAGCGCAAAGGGAAGCTGGCTAGTGGTCACAGATGGTGTCAAAACGTGGAGGGTGTTTGATGCTTCTGGGGGAGCTGCAGTATCCAACATTGGTCATGGCGACAGGCGGGTTCACGACGCAATTAGGGCACAGGAACAGACGGGCGTCGCCTATGCGGCCTCGATGAGCTTCGACACGGAGGTGGTATGGCAGTTTGCAGACCACCTCCTCGAATCTACAGGGGACGAAATGGCAGAAGTCGTCTTCTACAGCTCAGGTACTGTGGTCTGTACAAGTATTGGACCTACCCACTGACATGCAGCGTAGGATCCGAAGCTGCAGAGGCCGCCCAGAAACTGGCCTATCAGTATCAGTCGAGGTTGAAGCGGGAACCGCAGCCTGGACGCCGCTGGTTCATCGCTCGTGACCGATCGTATCACGGAGCGACTCTAGGTGCTCTTGCAGTTGGCGGGCACAAGGGACGAAAAGACATGTACAAGCAGATTCTGCCTAGCAATACACAGTTCATCTCTCCCTGCAATCCATACCGGGATATGGACGAGGGGGAGACTGTAGTACAGTATATAGACCGACTAGCGGATGAGCTGGACCGCAAGATTTGTGAGCTAGGCCCTGAGACGGTGGCAGGCTTCTTTATGGAGCCTGTTGTAGGAGCAGTAAGTTGTGCACATGTATTGCAGGTTACGCATAGCTGTTCACTGACGCACTCGTGCAGGCACTCGGATGCGTTCCGGCGCTGCCTGGCTATCTCGCAGCCATGAAGAAGGTGTGCAAAAAGTACGGAGTGCTTCTCATCCTGGACGAAATCATGTGTGGAATGGGCCGGACCGGGTACATGCACGCTTGGCAAGAGGAGGGGGTGGTACCGGATATTCAAATGGTGGGCAAGGGACTGGCGGGTGGCTACGCTCCTATGTCGGCGCTACTTGTCGGGCCAGAGGTGGTGAACGCTCTTGGGGATGACTGCTTCGCCCACGGGCATACGTTCCAGAACTTCCCCGCGGGATGTGCTGCAGGCCTTGCCGTGCAAAAGATTGTCGAGGAAGACAAGCTGCTGGACAATGTCAAGGACAAAGGGGACAAGCTGATGAAGAAACTGGTGGCGCGTCTTGGGGATCATGCTCATGTTGGAAACATTCGAGGAGCAGGTCTTTTCCGAGGAGTGAGTGCTGGGCATGGTTGGGACGGTGTTGAGTGGTTGCTGACAAGGACAGATTGAGTTTGTACGCGACAAGGCGACCAAGACACCCTTTGACTCGGAGGCAGCGGTAGCGTGGAGAATCCATGAGCAAGGTAGGCAGCTGCCATGAGTATGCAAGATTTGTCAGAGGCTAATGCGCGGTACAGGTCTGAAGGACGGTTACAATCTCTACGTGTACCCAGGCTCGGGAACAGTGGATGGAGAGCGCGGAGACCACATCATCATTGCCCCAGCGTTCAACATTACGGATGCCGACGTCGACATGATTGTGGAGAGGGTGCGGAAGCTCGTGGTTGACTTTTTTGAGGATTTCAACAAGACGGCCAAATTGTAGTCGCTCAGGCTATATCGACGTCGGGCACGTTTGGCGCAGGGTTGCTCGGGACTAGACTGGACGATTTTGTTTGGCCTGTTTGTTTCCATGGCAACAAGTCATGAGCATCATGTGGGCGAGGATTTTTTGCCTTGGTGTTTTCTTTGTTTTCTCTCGTTGCGTTGCGGTTTGGCCTCCTGGAAGAGAGGGGGATTTTTGCAAGCGTTCACGAGGCATTGGGGCAAAATACGGTGCATGGGAATGGCTGTTTGAACACGTCGTGGCGCATGGACGGGTGGTTTGAGTCGCGTAATAGTTATGCTTGGTGGCGCCATGGTTTCCTGGGGTGAAGGGGATAGATAGGGCACAAATTGACGAGGCGTCGTGTACAGATTGCGTGAAGCCAGGCGGGCTGTATGCGTGCGAGAGTCGGAGCATTGTCGCAGAGGCAGAGGTGGTCGGGCTTGGGGGGGCTCCACCAATCAGGGACGGGGCTGGGCACGTGCCAAGAGGCAAGTGTGCCGCAGCCACGACTACCGACGCAGCGAGGCAGGACTCGGGCTTGGCGGCTGGGGCGGCGCTAGGCCGCAAGAGGGAGGCGCAGAGGATCGAGGGTGAAGGGCAGCTGACGGGCGGCGGCGATGCAGCGAGGGGGTGCTGGGCCTAGTGCAGGCATGCGTACGTACGTACCGAGACTGCAGACTGCAAGGCGCAGTGCTGTGTGTGTGTGTGTGTGTGCGCGTGTGTGTGTGTGCGGGTGGGGAGTGGGTTAGGCGGTGGGCAATGACGTTATTGGCAGCAGCGCGGTGGAGAGGGTGTAGAGAGGATGCAAAAGCCCCATCGGTGGGCTGAGTAATGGCTGACCCAACGACTGTAAGAGAAGCGTCGTGGTGCGCAGTGCAGCGCGTCTCACCTCAGCCTATACTCGGGAATCTTGCCACACACACACACACACACACACGGCGCACGCGCGGTTCCTGGCCCCAGGACAGTCAACGAGAGACGCTGGCTGCGTCATGGCCGCCATGATGATGAATTGCGCGTTTGGCTTGGCGCCCTTTTTTTTTCTCTCTCTCTTGCTCGCTCGTCCATAGCCCGACTACATGTGGGAGATGGTATAATACGGCAGGAACCGCCGCTGGATGCCTCGTATCCAAAGAGCTGCCGACGCGCGCACCGAGAGCAGAAGCGCTAGCCGCCGAATGGGCGGAAAGACCCTGGCCCAAGACAGCCATTTCCCCTCTTCCCTCCGGCCGTCCATCCGCAGGCGAGAGAGCGGCGGGCGAGGGTGAGATGGAGCGTGAGCGTGAGCCTGAGTGAGAGAAGGGCCAGAGGTACGTAGCTGTGTGACGAGGCCATGGTGAGGGGGGGGGCGGAACGGGATATAATATGGTTGGCCTGGGCCATGTGCCGCCGCCGCCGTTCCTCAACAAAAAACGCAAAGAGAGACAGACACAGACGCAGACGGAGATTGGAGAGACGGAGAGCTGGCCTTGCAAGGCAGATGACATGTTTTGGGCGCGCGCACGCAGACGGACGGCTTCCCGTGACCCATGCATGCCGTCGAGTGGCTTGGGCGCTTGCTTCACTTTGGCCGCACACACACACACGCCCCAAGCGGCCGTAAGTACTTAGTCGTCGTCGTTTGGCGCGGATGCATCCATCCATGTGCGGTATCGAGATTGAGATTGCTAGGTGGATATTATAGTACGGCATGTAGGGAGCCCGCGCCACGGCCCGGGGCAGCCACTGACTGTGCATGTGTGTGTGATGCTTGGGGCTTTTTCTCTTTCTTTTCCTTCTGGACTGGCCAAATGTCTACTACTTAGTTGTATATGCGGCGGTTTCACGCCCACAGCCTGCGACGTGGTGGGCCCTTTGCAGGGCCGACCCAGGCGAACGGGTGCAGCAGATGCCGTCGATGAACGTACATGGTGCATGTATATATATACGGGCAGGCGGGTGTCTGTGTCGAGTGTAGGTGTGCACAGAGGGACGGAGAGGCGTGGATACGTGCATGTGAATGTGTCCATGTAGTAATAGTACTGAGTAGTAGCGGTAGTAGTGTCGAGACGGATAATATCACCATGGCAATGCAGGCCATGGCTCGCTCGACACGCCATGGCAACGAGCAGCGGCGGCGTCTCCGTCGGTCGCCCGGCTAGGCGTGTGCCCATGGCCGAATTGCACACTTGGGGCGCGCAGGTGATGCACCGTCTAGTGCCGTCGCCGCGAAGGAAAGGCGGTTGCAGCGCAGGCGAATGACGAGCAGGTGGACCGCACAGGCCCGGCTTCTCACCACAGACTCCGCAGGTGTGATCTCAACCTCGCCTGCCCTCTGCCTGGGCGAACCACGACGCCTCTCGCATCCTTCTGGCATGTGTGACACCCGCCATTCTTCCCCCCGAGCCCTCGCCCATCGCCCACGCCGCTGTCATCGCCCTGCCCGCCGTCCCACGCCCACGCCGACGCCGCTGCAGCGCCCCGTCCCGTGTGTGTGAAGGCCCTTTCTTTCTCCGCACCCCAGGCCTCGTCCAGGGCCAGGCCTGCGATAACACACGCTCGCCCTCCAGCGCCCCCCTGCAGCACGCCGACGGGGCTGCTCGACGGGGGGGCGCTGGCGGGCAGCGAGATGGAAGCCAGAGGGCGTGTCGTTGGGGGGGGGGGGATGCGAGGGGATGCAGCAGCGTCGGGGGGTTCCTGCGTGCTTGTGGGCGTGTCGTCGGGGGAGGGTCCGCTAGCCGGTGAGGAGCGAAGCAGCAGCGCAGCAGCGTCACGACAGCCGCTTCTCGAATGCCCCGAGACGACGGCCCAACCATGTCTACGCCCTCGACCGCCACGGCCACGCTCCCGCCCCATCACCAGTTCTACTCGCACCACCAGACATACCAGCCAAACATCGCCAATGCCCCGATTGCCAACGGCTCTGCTCGGATAGGCAATTCGCTCTACAACGGCTACGCTAGCGCCTCGTCGTCGTCCACCAACAACGCTGACCTGCGCCGGACCGCAACTGCCCACACCAGACAGCCTCCCCAGCTGCCGCCCATCTCGCACTCGCCTGCGATCGACATGAGCGCGACCGACTCGGGCTCGGCCCACCGCCGGCGGAATCCTGACTGGGCCGACTTCTACAAGAACGGCATCCCGAGGGAGGTGATTGTTATTGACGACGACGACGACGACGACGATGACACCCACGACACCCACCAGGGCCCGCACCCGCCCCCGTCGCGCACCCACGATGCTGCACGCACCGCGACAAATGCAGCCGCGCGCCACGCTGACAAGAAGCGCAAAACGGCCGCGTCGACGGCCTACGACCCTGTTTACAACCAGCACACGTCCTACTCGACCACGCAGACGCCCTACTACGACTCGCCCAACCACTCGCTGTCCACCGACAGGACCACATCGGCTCTTACCACGACGGCGCCCACGTCGTTGGGCTCCCAGGCCAGCAACGGCCACAACATCTCGCCCCACGACGGCAGCGCTGCGGGCCAGAAGCGGAAGCGCACACGCGCCGTGGTGCAGGACGAAGCAAAGCAGGCCAAGCGGCGAGAGCTGGACCAAAACGACGACCCTTTTAGCCTCTACCAGCCGCCCCCCAACCCGCCCATCAAGGCCAAGGACGTCTACGTGCAGGTCATCCAAGATGTAAGACACACGCTTGCCTCTCTGCTACTACTACTACTACTACTACTACTACTACGACGACGACGACGAGCAACCTCTGGTACTGACGTGCACTCCCTAGAAATCTTACAGCAAGGACCAAAAGGTCGATGACGAAGACGGCCATTACATTGTCGTGCCCGATGCCGATCTCACTGAGCGATGTGCGTTTCTTTCTCATGGTGCTTTTCTCCTTGCAGCTGAGCCACTAACACTTGACCAACAGATCAAATTACCAAGCTGCTCGGCCAGGGCACCTTTGGCAAAGTCGTGCAGGCCTACGACAGACGGAAAGGCACCAACTGCGCCATCAAGGTGATTCGATCGGTGCCCAAATACAGAGATGCCAGCCGCATTGAACTGAGAGTGCTGTCGACACTGGCGTCCAACGACAAGCACAACATCAACCGATGCATACACCTGCGAGACTGCTTCGACTACCGGAACCACATCTGCATCGTTACTGATCTCTACGGCCAGAGTGTGTTTGACTTTCTCAAGTCCAACGGCTTTGTGCCTTTTCCCAGCTCCCACATCCAAAAGTTTGCCAAGCAGTTGTTCACCAGTGTTGCCTTTCTGCACGACCTCAACCTCATTCATACCGATTTGAAGCCGGAAAACATTCTGCTTGTTAACAACAACTATCAGACTTTTACGTACAATAGAACTGTGCCGTCGTCGTCGACTACTGTAAACCGGACAGCACGCCATCGCAAGGTCCTTCTCGACCCTGAAATCCGACTCATCGACTTTGGATCGGCTACGTTCAACGATGAGTACCACTCTTCGGTGGTGTCCACGCGTCACTACCGTGCGCCTGAGATTATCCTCAACCTGGGCTGGAGCTTCCCTTGCGACATCTGGAGCATCGGCTGCATTCTGGTTGAGTTTTTTACGGGCGACGCCTTGTTCCAGACGCACGATAATCTCGAGCATCTGGCCATGATGGAGGCTGTGTGCAGCGGCAAGATTGACCGGGACATTGTTCGAGCCGTGTACAAGCAAGATCGAGGATCGTCGCGCAACTCAGCAAGCTCGTAAGTATTATGCACGCTGTATCTCGGTCGTTGCTGACATGTCTAGTGCTGCGAGATATTTCAAAAACTACAAGCTCGACTATCCCAACGCCGAAACCAACAAGGCGTCTAAGAAATATGTAAAGGCGATGAAGAAGCTTCCTGTAGGTTTAGTCTACGTAACACTTGATCCCCATTAACGCGTACAGGAAACCATTCCTGCTCACACGGACTTCAACCGGCAATTCCTCGACCTGCTACGACGCATCTTTGTGTACGACCCCAAGAAACGCATCACGGCCAAGGAAGCGCTGCAGCATCCTTGGTTCAAGGAGTCGCTCATGGACGATGGAACCGAGGCCCACAAGATCCGGTTGGAGCGGGAAAAGAAGGCCCGTCGGGTGGAAGAAGAGCGCCGATTCCGTGAACAGCAGCGACCGTACTGAGCGGCCTGGACTCTGACGTTCGTGGACATGGACGTCTTGTATAGATATCGAGCTCCGCCGCTCAGGTGACGGATACCCTTCTGGTGGTGGTTTTGTCTTTTTGCTTCACATCTACCGCATTTACGACAGCGACATGACGCATGCAGAGAGAGAGAGGTTACTCTAGGTCTCACACCGGACTTTTTGGCGTTATGTGTCTGTGTTATCTTGGATTACCAAATTATTCTCGTCTTTCCTTTGGCTTCCCCGCGACCATGGAAAAAGTATTGTTTGTCTTGCGCGCTTAGCATAAGAACAAAAACTGTATACCACAATTTCTGCATGTACAGCTTTGGGAGGGTGGCAGGGCAAGCCATGTACTGAGAGGTGGCTTGGCTCGTTTTTTTTTAGGGTGCGCCATGTTGTAAGCACAGCAAGATCTGTGCTGTGCATCTGGTAGCGTTTGTATAATAGGATTCACGGTCAAGTGCTTGAGGCACTGTATTGTATTGGGAGTCGGACATTGTGGTCAGGTGCCATGATGTGCATCATTAATGAATGTCTGTTGCTCGCTTTGTTAGAATGGCATAGAGTAATACTGCTGGAGATTGATTACTCTTCATTTCGCCCCCTCATTCTGTCTCACACGTCCACGTCCACACTTCCACATGCAGTTGTTCCCGCGTGCAAGGGGCCCAAAGCGGCAGTCTAAGCGAGGCATGTGGCTAGCGCGTGTTGGGTCACCCTTGTCATCCGTCGTGCCGTCCAGTCAGATGCCGGTTTGGGGTAAACACGTCCCCCTCGTCGGGCGGCGCGTCGCAAACAACCCCAGTTGAGCGTTTGCGACAACCGCACCAACGACACGACGGGACATGATGGCGAGCGCAAAACAGCAGGAGAATATGCTCCTGACCGAGCACTTTTCTTGGCCTCCGATTGTATGTATAATCGCACACTTGGGGAGTGACGGACGGCCCCGACACTGTCCCATGTCCCCGCCAAACACCCTCCATACCATAGTCATGATAGCCCATCTCGCGCCCCCACCACGTCCTGCAGCGCCTCTATACCCCCTCTCATAGCCCCCAACCCCTATCTAACACCCCCTCACAGTCCCTCATCGACGACATCATCAACGCCGTCAACGAAGTCCTCTACCGCTGCACCGACTCCTTCGAAGCCGGCCTCACATCCGCGGACCCAGCACTCCTCGGCTTCGCGGACCTGTACGCCTCGCAAAAGCGCACGCCCGCCACGGACGAAGACGGCCAGAATGCGTATCCAGAGGCGGCCCTCGAAATCGAGGAGGGCGTGCTCAAGCTCGAGACGCTCATGGAAAACGCAGTCGATAAGAATTTCGACAAGTTGGAGATTTGGACGCTGAGAAATGTTTTTGCGCTGGGACGCGGGAAGGGCGAGGATGAGGGCTTGGGGGATTGGGTCAGGTTGCTGCATTATGAGGTATGTTTGAGTTTGTAGTCTCTATCCATATGCAGAGAGAGATGGACGGGAAGAATGTGCGCATGTGAGAGAGAGAGATGGCTAACAAGGAGATATTCAAACAAAAAAACAGAACCTCCAAGCGCCCCCCAAAGACTCCAACCTCACCCCGGAAGCCCTCTACGCACTCCGCCGCAAATTAGTCGAAACGCAAAAACTGCATGCTGCACTCGTTGCGGAAAAAACTCGGAATGAAGCGCAGATTGCTCGTTTAAAAGCTTTGCTTGAACCGCCCCGTTCGTCTGCAACTGCAACTGCAACTGCAACAGTGGTGGTACCTACCAAGCGCGAAACAAGAAGCTCGACTTTGTTATCGGCAGAAGTGCAGAATGGAACTGGCAAGATACAGCAAGAAGGAGGAGAAGAAGAAGAAGAAGAAGAAGAAGGAGAAGGTGCTTTTGCCTTTTTGGTGAATACGCCTGCGGCTCAGGCGTTGGGGATCCAGGTCCCTTCTTCTTCTTCTTCTTCTACGGGTACTAGTATTACTGCGGCCACAGCTACAAGCGCGAATACAAAAGAAGAACCATCAGCATCAGCATCAACACCAGCAAAACCCCTAGCCACACACACCGCCTTCACAACAACCCAACTGCCCTACCTCCGCCACCTCCTCGCATCGCTGAAACCGCATCTATCCACGACGGCGTTGCCCCATAACAGCAATAGTAGCACCAGCACCAGCACCAGCGACGCAAAAGACACTAGTACCCAGCGCAAACTCTACGTCGAAAGCCAGACCAAGCGCGTGCTCGAGCGCCGTGGAATCGACACTAGAGATGGCGTCGAGGGCGTGTGGCATGGCGAGAGGGTTGCAGCCGATGAGGTTAGGGCGTTGGAGGCCTTGGTCGCCGGCTTTGGGAGGGGGGGCAATGCGAATGCGAATGGGAAGGGGAAGGCTGGCGGTGGGAAGCGGGGTAACGAGGAGAAGGAGGGGGAAGGGGATGTACAAATGGATATGGATATGGAAATGGAAATGGAAGATGAGGGGGGTGAGGGGGATGAGCCTGAGCCGGAGGCTATGGATACCACTTGATGAATTGAATTGAATTGAATCGACTTGAACAGAGCAGAAGTCTGATATACGAACTTTTTCTTTCTTTTTTGTCGCAGCGTTGTCATGTATGCGAGATATATATATATATATATAGAGAGAGAGAGAGAGAGAGAGAGACAGTATCTATGCATGTGTTTTACGGTGTTGACTTGTCCCTGTCCCTGTTCTTATCCTTATCCTTGTCCTTGTACGTATAGGGGAGGGGGACCAAGTATCTTGAGGGAAAAAAAATATATTACATATATTCACAGCAACGACTCACAGTCTGACTACTCTTTCCACAGTCATGTTCTCTCTCTCAGTCTCTCGATTTAATTCATCTTTTCACTGCGAAGTTGGATGTTGATGGTATCAGGGCATACGAGAAATTTACATAGATACATAGATACATAAATACATACATGATTCCATTGGCTCCACAGCACCCCTCGATATACCTATGCAGCTTCCTTTCCTTCCACGATTCAACCAATGTACATGCTGAAAACTTAATATTCGACGAGCTTGACACGCTGCAGCAACTCCGGAGGCAAGTCGCTTGAACTGACGATGCCCATTCTAAGGGCGTCGCCCCAGACAAACATGGCTCGGTCATTGGCATAGGTCAGGTAGTCGAATTCTTCCTCGTCCTGCGGCTTGAAAAGGTCAGCATGCTTGTCGATATGCGCCTGTGCTTGTGTTTGTTCTGCCGTTTCTTGACTCACGATCCCGGCGGCGGTGCCTTTGTGGTCGGCCTGTGCGGCAGCCTGCATCTCTGCTGTGGCGCTGTCGAGCGTTGCTGCTTCGACACTGGGGTTGCTGTTGGCCTTTTCTTGGTCGTCAAAGTCCGGGAGACCGGGTATGTGTGCTTGGACAATGCCCCAGGCAACCCACATGGCCGAGTTGGCGAGCCGCCATAGTTTCGTCTCTGCGAGCAGACGGCGCGCCTCCTCTTCAATCTGTGCCTCGTATTGCGCTTCCTGCTCCTGGTACTTCTCACCAGGGGGAGCTCGTGAGTCGAGCATAAAGGCTGAGATGGTGCTTGGAGCGGCAGTCGCAGTCAGCGCAGTCGTGCTACCAGTCGAGGGAAGCGGCCCGAGATGAGGAGTAGCAGGATTGGACGTGTATCCGCCGGGGGCCTTGTATGACGGGTTGTGCATCAAGTATGCCCGGATAAAGCGATGTTGCTCTTCAATTGTCGGATAATGCTTGGTATTGCAGCGCCACGGGGCTTCTGCGTCGTGATAGTTGTACGCCCATTCCGTCTGCAAAGCCATGTCAGTTATTCTTGCCTCAAAACTCCAAACAGAAAAAATGTAGCTTACAAAGTGGTTGGCAAACTCTAGGCCAGGAAGATTTGCGTTTGCGTACTCAAAATCAATAACCACCAGCTGCTTGTGTTGGTTTGCTGGGAGCATCAGTGGCGACTCGCCTTCTGGCATCATACGAAGGATGTTGCCATATTGCGTCTAGAAATGTTAGCTCACATGACTTTATTTTGCACGCAACTCACATCATTATGAGCAAAGACCATGCGCTCGTTGATCTTTTCGATGCCGCCATACTGATCCTCTAGCCACTTGCGATATTTGTCAATCATCTGCTTGAATACGGGCCACTCAACACCGCACACATATCCACGTTTCTTCATTTTCTCAGAGGCTTTGGATGGATCCTGATTGCTCTCTCGGACCCGTTGGTCCAGCCAGTTGACAACATGTTCGCAGCGATCAACCCACTTGTCCCAGTTTTGCCAGACGAACGGGCCAGCCTCTCGCTCTTTCTTCAGTAAGTCAATGCCCTCGTGGAGCTCACGCATACGCTTTGCAATCTGTACCGAGGTTTCTGGGTTACGTAACTCCTTGGAAGTAAGCGGTTGGGCGTGGAGGAACTCCTCGAATCTTCCGTTGCTGAAAGTTCCCAGCAGACGTGGACCAATGCGCTTGCGAGCAAGTCGTGTCAAGATTTGAAGCTCAGAGTCTCGGTCGATGAGGTAATCTACTTGCGGGCCATAGATGCGAAGTAGAAGCTTACTGGGTATGGTTAGACAAGAATACAGGAGATAAGAGTAACTTACGGTGGAGGGTTCCTGGGCTTTGGTGTGCCATCTTCACTAGGCTCTGGAGGGGGCAGGTTCTTTGGAGGAGAGACGACATAAACAGCGTTTGTAAGTGCACCGCTCAGCCTCTGCACACTAATCTCGTTGCTGAGCTCGCTAGGCACCTTGCGCCATCCTTTCAACTTCAGTGTGTGAGTTAGACGGAGAATCTCAGCCCGGAACTTGGCCCAGGCCTCTCTCTCTTTGGACGCTTCCCTCTCACCAAGCTCGCGATTAGACGCGGCCCCTGGCTCATCTACGTTGTAAGCCATGGTCTTGGAATTGTCCAAGATGGCTTCACAGCTTGGAACCAGCTGGTCTACCGATTCAAAGTAGTCCGATTCGGCGGAAATGGCAGAGTGTCGCTTCAGACCTATCGATGACCTGCGGAAGCGGTCGGTTCTTCTCTTTGCTTCAGAAAGCTTCAAAGACAAGTTCCTTTCGAGAATGTTTGCCAGTTGTGCGAGCGAGTCCTCGCCATGAGACGACTCGGAATCGCTTCTGTGATGAGCGCTGGGCTGTTCAGTCGCCTCTGTAGCAGCGCCCTCTGACGGCTCTTGGCCAGCAAGACCAGCTTTGGCAGCCTTGCGCCTCGCCTTTCGCGCATGGCGTCTGCTTCTTTCCTGTTTGAGCCATGTGCCAACCTGCTTCAGCAGATTGTCGTGGGCTTGCTGGCTTTGAGCACCCCCATCCACCGAGACTTCGGAGAGTAGAGAGGTCAAAGAGGGGTTACCTTCAGCTGGTGTAGACTTGGATGAGACGTCGCGTTCATGCGAAGGACGTGCAGACAGCCTTTTTCTACTGACACTTGCTGGAAAGTGTCTGGGGTGCTTATCAAGATCCAAGTAGTCTTTCTGGTCCAGCTCTTTGTTCTTGCCGATTAGTAGCGGGGATATGGTACTATCATCAGGGAACGATACAGCTGTAACAGTAATAGTAAGCAGCTGCGCTGAAGTTGAAGTGCATGTAAAGTGGTTGTCGAGGAGATGTCGCAGTCTGACGTCAGGCTATATGGATTTCAAGTAGATAGACGATGAGCTAGACTACAGCCACAGACAGTGGAACAACAGCAACGACTAACCTTTGTTTGAGCGCGGCGATGCACCGTCGTCCAATGTACTGTTGCGCGAGAGTGCTAGAGAGTCGCTTGACTGTGGGCCGGGCTGGTGCTGGGCCTGCCAATTGGAAGAAGAAGAAGCCATGCCAATGGCTGAGGTCGGTCGGAGGGCGATGCAGCCAGACAAAGTAAGCGGCGGATCGGCGTGGTGATGATATAGGTGTAGCAGGCGGCGGTCGGGTTACCCTGCTGGTGGGTAGTATGTAGATTCAGCTGCTTGGTGGGCTGTTTGGTGGGCTGGGGTGTTATCGATAATACCCAAGCACTGCGCAGCAAAAAAGGGAGCAGGCTCAGGTGCACAGGGTCCACGTGCCAAGCTGATTGGCAGTCGGGGATGCCACTGATAAGGAGCGCCGCGAGTGCGACGACTGGCGAAAAGGCAAAAACAAGAGGCGAAAAGAGGGCGTGGCACGGCATCTTGCACCTACACCTACGCAGGCCGGGAGCATCATCATCATCATCATCATCATCATCATCATAGCTGAAAGCGCCCCCAAGCCACGGACTGCGCTCCGTTCTCTCACGTCGTCAGCCGTGCGCCCAGCCGTGCGCGATACGCCACTCGCCGTCGGCTTGGCACTTTACATCAGGGCCTAAACCGCATGTCACCACGCACCCACACACGACCCAAAACCTGCAATCCGCACTCGCACTCTTGATTTGACGAAGCCAGTTGCGCAGTGCACACGTGGCCCCCGTCACTGTCCCGGTCGCCTTTGCGTCCTCCTCGCGCACGCAGCATGAGCAACAACATGGATATTCTTGAAATTATGTACAAGCCATCCCAGACGCCGCCGCCGCTGTGTCCGGACAGGGCAGCCCCAAAGCCTATATCACAATACAACGCGTAGCACATGCCCAACCCAGCCCAGAAACGCCTCGCTTTTGACCCACAAATCACTGCCCACGCAACCCCATGGCCGTCCAAGGCCAGCCTGTAGCACAACACTGCCTCACGTCGCCCATTCAACCGTCTCCAGTGCCAGCATGACCAGCAACAGAGTAGACGGCAGGATCCACACAACGTAGCTCTGAAACAGGATCCTCGACATTGCCCCCATGTACACGTTGTTGATCTGACATATCTGCGCCAATTGGAGCGCGCTGGGCGCGCCACTGAGCAGGAAGCAGACAATGATGAAAATGGGGTCGTCCAAGATGCTCACGGGCACGTACTTGGCAGTCAAGGCCAGCATCGGAGCCATGAGCAGTGTTGGGATAAGCATGCGACTGACCAGTGACGCAATCACTAGCTTCTTCTCCACGCTGGGGTCTTCGATCGAGTGCTGGTCTTCCTTGGGCAGCGTGTTGCGCGCCAGGTTGGCGCCCAAAACAACCAGAATAAGCGGCACCGCCACTTGGCCGCTTTGGTTGACTGCGCGAGTGACCGAGTTGTTGATGAACGTGCCAGGCGTGAAGAAGAGGTGCTGCAGCGGCGGGATCGAGGCCACGAGAATGGCAATCAGCATGGCCCACAGGGGCGGGTTCATAAAGTCCCATACGCCGCTGAGGAACCTCGACAAGCCCCTGCCCACCTTGCGAAGCACCCGCTGTAGCCACATGGGTAGCACCTTGAAGATGCGGTTGCCAACACGCGTCGTCGACATGGATACCGAGCTTGCCGAGCGCTGCAGAGCCATGCGCGTTCGCTTCGGGATTCCCTTGAAGCCCTTGGGCGCGTCCTGCTTCTTGTGGGCTGCGAGCACACCGTTGAGATGTCCGTTTGCGCTGCCGTTGGAAGCAGTCGTCATGTCGCCGGCTCCGCGGACCGTGGCGTTGCCATTAGTAGGCGTGATGAAGTTGGCGGCTGCTTGGGCCTCTCCGCGGTGGAAGATGGAATCCGAGTCGGAATCGCTGCAGTCGGCCGACGTGGCATAGCTCGTAACGTTGCCAGACTCGTAGTCGGAATGCGAGTCGTCGAGGAGGTTCTGGGCCTCGTCATCGCTGTACTCGCCGCTCTCAATCGCGTTGTTCACGCCGCCATCGTCGTCCTTGTATGCGCTGGCGGGAGCGAGGAGCACATTGAAGCCCCAGGTCCAGCGCACGAGCTGGCCGAGCTGCTGGAAGATGAGGAGGTACAGGATGCCGCGTGCACCGACTTCGTTGTCGTTATCGCCGGGGATCCTGTCCCAGTGCAGGCCCTTGAGCGTCTTGGAGAGCGAGATGACGAGCGAGATGGGCAGCGAATTGGAGTTTCCAAAAACCTGGTCTTGTCAGCTCCGGAACGCGCAGAGGGGATGGGGGACGCCATACGGCCATGGCCACGACAAAGTTGGAGGCCCTCTTGTTGAACCTGCATATCCGCGACACCGTCAGGGCGGCAATGTACGAGACGAGTGTTTGTACGACGAAGATGACGGGAATGACGGCAAGCTCGGCCAGCTTCTCGGCCGTCAATTGGGAGGCGAGCTTGGTAAAGACTAGGCGCGATGGATCGTCAGCGGGTGTGCGGCCAGCGTAGTAGTAGCCATGGTGGTGGTGGTGTCACTCACTCAGGCAGGGTGTAAACAGCTGCGTGTTGAGGTTTGCGAGAAACTTTTGGCTTTCTGCATCGAATTGGCCCATACGAGCGACAATGTAGCCGGGCGCGCTGACGCAGACGACTTCCATGACGGCCTCGAAGACGAGCAGGGTGAGGTTGGCGAAATCGGGGTGCGAGGCGTGGGTGTTGAGGGCGCCGGCCATGGCGCTGTTGGCGTAGTCGGCCGCGTTGGATTGCGAGGCCATGGCGATGTATGGGGAAGATGGAGAGAGGAAAGAGCGCAGGCGTACAGCCTGGGGCGCCGAGAAGAAAGACATGGCGGAATGGCGGAGAGGAGCGATGCAGGCGCGAGGCCTCGATGGAGACGGAAACGCTCGCAGGTTTATCGTGAAGCGTAGGGTGTCTTGGCTGCGGACGCGCTATGGGCGGCGATCGACGTCACGGCGCCGCGTCGTGCAAGTGCAGCCGAAAGACGGCGGCTTGGGCGTGTCTGAAGGGGCAATCGTTGGAGCGAGCGGCGAGGTGAAACGGCGAGAGGAAGGAGGAGCGCGGGTGCGATAAGAGCAGAGAGAGAGGCGGCGGCGGCCTGCGCCACACGGGCAGCACGCAAGCAGCGCAGCGGGCACAGGCATGATAATCGCCCGGGAATGACAGGTGCAGATTGAAAGTTAGTGGCCGGTGGCCGGGGCGGCATTCGAAAGTTGCTGGGGATGCCTCCAGGATTGCCGCCTGGAGGGGACAAGGGATTGCGGCCATCGGGAGAAGGGCCAGGGCTGTGGGGGGCACCAGGGCCTCGCGCCGACAAACCAGTGGGCGGAGCGCCCTTGCGCCCCAGGTGTACTGCTTGTATCCTGGCGAGGATGTCTTGCGAAACATTGAGCCCGCTGCCTCTGCTGGAGATGGTGGGGGGGTTTGACGGGCGGGGGTTTCTGGCAGCATTGATGTTGCCGAGGGGCGTCGACGACGAAGTCATGTTGGACGTGGCGGCTGTTGTGGACGCTTTTCGCGGCGCGGGGCGTTCGGCGGCGGCCGTGGCGGCGGCGGCGGCGTCGTCAGGCAACGAGGCATCTGCAGTGGGGCTGGCGGGCACAGGAGAGGGCGATGGGCTGTCAAAGACGGTGTCCGAGTCGGCGTCGACGTCCGGGGTCGAGGGATTGGAGTCAGCCATGGCGAGCGTGTGTGAGGGCAGTGGTTGGCGGGGTAGGGGAAAACGAAGGAATATAACCAGAGGGCGGAGTCGATGTCAATGTCCAGGGGAGCGGCGACTGCACCGCAAGGGAGGGCGTGGCGGCAGATGCAGCGGAGGAGCAGTGGCAGTGGCAGAGGCAGAGGCAGAGGCAGAGGCAGTCGTATGGTGGAGCAGTCGAGGTTGTGGGATGTGGGCTGGAGCTGTAGCGTAGCGTGCAGGTTCGCGCGCAGTGACGTGATGGCGCAGCGACCAAGGACGGCGGCGCCAGTGCCAGTGCCAGTGCCAGTGCCAGAGCGCGAGCCCGTGTGGAGGCGGCGAAAGCGACAGCAAACGGGAGGCAGGGCAGGGCAGGGCAGGGCGATGACTTCACGATGATGGGGCTGGGGGCGCTCGGCACGGCGCGCAGAGACTGGGAGCAGGCGGCGATGGATGGATGTACGTAGGTGTAGCGTGTGGTAGTATGTAGCACGGTAGTATGGGTGGGCGCACAACGATAGCAGCGCAGCCGGCGGCGTCTGTTTGGCGGGCGGGCGGGCAGCCAAGACGCCCACCATGGCTGCGCTCGGCGACACCAGTGCCAGCACCGCGTCTGCCTATCGCGTAGCTATGGGCGAACCCAAGAAATCCATGGCAGAGCGACGGGGTATGCAACTGCCGGGCGGACTGCCCGGCGCATCCAACAGCAGCCCGGCTCCTCCTGCTGGCAGGAGGAAGCCGGGCTTGACGCTCTCGCAAATGAACGGCGGCGACAAGTCGCAGCCCGACGGAGAGCCCCGCAAGCAAGAGACGCAGTTTGACCAGTTCTCGCGCTTCATTGACACCAAGACGGGCAGCCTCAAGTTTGCAGGCAAGGCCATTCTCAACTCGGATGGCGTGCAATTCGCCAGCGGCTCCACCTTCAACATCTCGCTCGACGAAGTCGACACGCTCGACGAGCTGGGCAAGGGAAACTACGGCACAGTGTACAAGGTCAGACATAGCAGGCCCCGGATGCGAAAGCCGGGGCAGGGCTTGGCAGGAAACAAGGCTGCGCCGGGCTCGCCGTCCCGCAAGACCTTTGACGAAGAATCAAGCCCCTCGGGCGCAAAGCCCGCTACAGGCACTGGTGTCGTCATGGCAATGAAGGAAATGAGGCTCGAATTGGATGACTCAAAATTCGCTACCATCATCATGGAGCTCGATGTTCTCCACCGCTGTAGATCACCGTACATTGTCGATTTCTACGGCGCCTTCTTCCAGGAAGGTGCCGTGTACATTTGCATGGAGTTCATGGACGGAGGTTCCATAGATAAGCTGTACGCCGACGGTGTGCCCGAAGGCGTGCTGAGGAAGATTACTTTGGCAACGACCATGGGCCTGAAATCACTAAAGGATGAACACAACATTATCCACCGCGACGTCAAGCCCACCAACATCCTCGTTAACACCAGGGGCGCAATCAAAATCTGTGACTTTGGTGTGAGCGGCAACCTCGTGGCTAGCATTGCCAAGACCAACATTGGATGCCAAAGCTACATGGCTCCAGAGAGGATATCCTCGGGTGGCATTGCACAGGCTGGTGCCAATCCTGGAGGCGGCACATACAGCGTGCAGAGCGATATTTGGAGTCTGGGTTTGACCATTATCGAGTGCGCTCTAGGCCAGTACCCTTATCCGCCAGAGACATACAACAACATCTTCAGTCAGCTCAGTGTAAGCATACCACGCCGTTTTTTTGTCGTTGCTCTTCTCAGGCTGGACGCTAATTTCCCTAGGCCATTGTTGACGGCGAGCCACCGGATCTGCCTGATGAAGGATACTCTGATGCGGCCAAGAACTTTGTACGGGGCTGTCTGAACAAAATCCCCAACCTGCGACCAACATATGCAATGCTGCTCCAACACGCATGGCTTGCGCCTCTTATCAAGCCCGACACCATTGCAGAAGAGGAAGAGGAAGAGGTCCAGGCTGCACAAGAAGCGGGCGCTGACGAAGCTGCTGGCGACAAAGGGCCCGCCGAGGCGATTGAGCCAGTCGAGGACCAAGAAGTTGCAGACTGGGTCAAGGCTGCCATTGAAAAGAGAAGAAGCGGCAAGATGAAGGGCGTCGAAAAGCCCGCACTGCATGCCGCACCCCTTGATGCAGGGGTACAGAGCCCTTCTCACAATGGTACCAATGGCCCAGGCCTGGCGGAATCGACAGAAGTTGCAGCGTAGATGGTGAGCCGTCGCGCATGAATACATCGCCGGCGAATTCCCTCCAACAACCAAGCCAGACCACCAAGAATACCAAGGCCCTGTATTTCTCACTGGGCCGCTGTTGGCTCCTATGCCTTGGTCAAGAAAAGGATGCCATTACAAGATGCGGTCCCGTATGCTTTCGGCGTTGTATCGGCGTATGACTGGAAATGATTGACGTGAAGCATGGAAGCCGGGGCATTGAGCGTACAAAAGACGTGCATATTGCAAGAGATCGAATAAAAGAAACGGCGGAGTGGCGTCGAGGTGGAACCAGCAGGAAGAGGGAGACGGAACCTAGGCCTGTGGCATTACGAAGAAGGCGGGGGGGGGGGGGGGGCGGCGTCCGAAAGAAAGTCGTGGCCACTTCTTGAAGATGTTCCGACCACTGTGTTCTTTCCCGCACCACGACACAGGACCGCCCGCAACGGCGCTTGGCTAAGCAGGGGTCTTGCCGTCACGTGTCAGCGCGCACCGCATGTACGTCACCACCAAAACAGACACAGCATGTGCAAGCCTTGTTGACGCGTCAGAGCGGGACGTCGGAATAGGCCAGCACAAGGCCATTTCAGTTTACTTGAGATACAACATGCATCACACACATGCATCCAGCGTGGCGAGCCATCACTCTGTACTACAGCAGCGCCTGCAATGTGGCCAGAAGTGCCGCACGACGAAACAGGTTTGTCATTAGACTGTGCTCACAGAGACTACATCTTTGGCCAAGAGGGAAAAAAATGTCGCTATCAATCCATCTGGATAGGGTGTTTACCATGCTAGATCTCCACTTGTCCCTAGGGACAGACATTCAAGATGTCCGGAACCGACTACACCTACGATGAGCAGGTAAGGCTGCACATGCGCACCAGCGAACACGCCGCCTCTAACCAGTCTGCAGGGCCAGTTCTTTCCCTACTTCATCCTCACGGTCACCACACTCGTCACCGTCCCCACTACAATTTCCTTTTTAAGGCCGAGTAAAGGTGCGCATCGTGCTTGCATGCCGCCACCATTGCCATACTGACATGCGCCTGCAGAACTTGAAAACACTGGAACGCGAATCGAATCCGACTTCGCTCCTGAACATGCCGATCTCATCCAAGGACAGCGTAAGAAGCAGAAGCGCATGGAGAGGAGAATCAAGCGCGGTCTCGTCATGCTGGGCGGCTGGGCCATGAATGCCGCCATGGTGTACCTCATACTGGTCACTGCGCGCACGTCGCCCGACATCTGGGATCCATATGCGGTTCTGGGCGTATCCAAGGTAAGAGGGCTGTGCTCAGTTGTTTGCTCTCTACACAACCATGCTAACTTGCAGGACAGAATGCAGATGAAAAGGCGATCAAGAAACATTACCGAAAGCTCTCCCTTACTATGCACCCTGACAAAGCCCGCGAGGACCCCGAAAGGAACATTACCGTGCAAAGTATCAACGACCACTGGGTAGATGTCACCAAGGCGTTCAAGGCTCTCACCGACGAGGAGATCCGCAACAACTTTCTTCAGTATGGCCACCCAGACGGCAAGCAGAGTTTTAGTATCGGAATTGCGCTACCCCAGTGGTTGGTCACGGATGGTGCTGGCAAGTACGTCTTGCTCATCTATGCGCTCGCGCTTGGTGTCATTCTCCCCTACACAGTCGGAAAGTGGTGGTACGGAACTCAGAGGTTGACAAAGGAAAAAGTGCTTGTCGCAAGTGCCGGCAACATTTTCCGCGACTATGACAACGACCAGGGCGACACCGGGGTTGTATATGCGCTGAGCAGTGGAGAAGAGTTCTCTGAACTTCTCGCTGGTCACAAGGCGGAAAAAGGCTTGTCGAAACTTGAGCAGACGGTTCTTTCTGAAAACTCCCCCGTTTCCCAAACACTCACGATTAAAGACCGTCAAAACCTCGACAATCTAGAAGACAGCCGGAGACGCAAGGTGCTGACCTTGCTGTGGGCATATCTCGGCCGTGTCGAACTGGAGGATGAGACGCTGAACGAGGAAAAGTTTGCTGTAGCACCCATTGCATTTCGCCTGAACGAAGCTTATTCGACTATTGCTCTGGCATACGGCAACACCAAGGCAGTGCTATCAGCATACAGGACATCGCAAAACATCATCCAGGCTCTGCGGCCAGGAGCTTCTCCGTTGGAACAACTGCCTTACTTCACACCTGCTGTCGCAAGCGCAGCCGAGGCCGAACGATCCAGGACACATCTGACCATCCAAGAATTGATGCAACTCCCGGACGCTCAGCGCAAAGCACGCATTGTACAGTCTGGCCTTCTTTCTCAAGACCAGTACAACACAGCCATGTCTGTAGCCTCGCAGATTCCGATTTTCCAGCTCGACAAGGCCTTTTTCAAAGTCGTTGGCGAGCGTTTCGTTACACCCAGCAGCTTAGTCCAGTTCGTCCTCAAGGGTCGCTTCATCCCTCCAGGTGCCAGCAAAATTCCCGAGGTGAACCCGAAAGATCTTCTCGACATTGATCCTGCGGAAGGCGATGTCGCAGCGATTACCGGACGCAAGAACGACCGCTCAGGTGACAAGCCGATTCAACCACCTTTGGCACACGCCCCATACTTTGCTCGCGACCACGCACCAAGATGGCATATATTCCTTGCAGACAGCAAACAAGGACGCATCGCAGTGCCTCCGTTCACATTTTCCACGTTTGACAAGCCTATTCTTGACGAGAGCGGTAAACCCACGTTCAACGTGCAAACACTCAAGATGCAGTTTGGTGCCCCGCCACAGCCTGGCAGTTACACTTTTGTCATGCACATGATCTGTGACAGCTACATTGGCATGGACACTAAGATGGAAGTCACATTGGTTGTTGAAGACGCCAGCAAAGCCGAGCAGGTGGAAGAGGAGGAGGAAATCAGTGAACCAGACGAGGGTAAGTTTGTTGGAATCGCCGACCACGTACAAGACGGCTTACCATTTTTAGACTCTCTTGCCGGACAAATGCGCCAAATGAAGACTGGCGTGCCACCCAAGAAGCGGAAACAGGCGAATGATGACTCGAGCGGCAGCGACACTGAAGGCGACGTGGAGTCTGAGAGCGAGACTGACACGGACACGGACTCTGACGAAGAGTAGGCCGTTCGGCCTCCTTCGATGGATTGTAATTGGCAGGGTTCATCATGTTTAGAATGACGCAAGAAGATGTAAGTAGTGCATACAGGCGGGCGAAGACCAGTGGCTGGCATTGATTGCTGCTCTCCCACTTGTGCAAGCGCCATTGCAGGCATTTCCAGGCGTTTTGGAGACAGGGGACAGTTGGTGACTAGGGACTACCATTTATGCTTTTCAGATGAAGTGTCTATTCGATTGCTGCGAGCAGCTGAGAGAGCAGGTGTGTAAAAGATGTGTACATAAGACGGCGCTAAGCAAATTCTCCAAGCACGACTATCACAAGCCTTGGTGTGTGCCTGCATCAGGTACGAGCGTCATGTGAGACTGTCATGAGGGCAGGATGAGATGTTACAAGAGTGGTCGAGTGTTGTATTGCAAGAGATGGAAGGCGTCGGACGTACTTATGCAAGCAACATGACTCTGCCGCCAGGGGCCAAGTGTCTGGACAAGGTGACAGCAGTGACACGGCAGCCCGCGTGTAGGACCCTTGGAGGCGTGAGGCCTTCAGGCCTTGTTTAAATTATCCGACCAACCCCGTGATGCCCATGCCTTAGGAACACGTTGCATCCGAGGATCGACACAAGCTTAACGCATAGTGGTATAACAGCGGTTCCAACGCTGTTGCGACTTGGTCTGTGGCTGCAGGTGTTCGCCAAAGGTTCGGCCCCACACTCATGGGGTTTCAGCAACGTCTCGCCTCCTTTGCGCCACAGGCATTTTTCGAACCACTGTCATTCCGTGATACGTTAGTATGGCAGCCTTCACACGTTCTGGCAGCAGTCACTTGTGTCGTAGTCGATGGGCTGATATATTTTAGGCGCTCGACTTACAGGTCTGGCAGCTAGGCGCGCATTGACGTCGTCACTCGACGTGATGATGATGATGATGATGATGATGATGACGATAATGACAGGGTCAACTTCAAAAGCCGTGTTTGGTGTCGCGCATGCGATGAACTGGGAGCACGAAGAAAGAGAGGGAGATTGCAATCTTGCACGAACATGAACACCAGGGAAGGTCCCGGATGCCCCCCCTCATGGCGATCGCATGCCCATACCACCAGGCACAAGCGCCCTCTCCCCACGTGCAGGGCGTCTCCGCATCCGACCTGGTCTCCCTTTACCAATCTTAAAACGGACAGCAAATGTACCGAAGGATGCCTGCCTCACCATAGCTAAGGCATGACCCACCGTCCCAAGATGAGTGCCAGCTTCTTGGCCCACGATCGGGATATCAAGGCTCCGCTGTCCTCAGGCCCTTCAGTAGGCCTCAGACAGTAAGGCAAAACCGGCAAGCATCTCTTGGCGGCATGATAGTTACACATTTTCTACCTCTTGGCAGCTGCGGCTGTACTGTTCGCCGGTAGCAAAGTAACAATCACACTACGTGTGTCACACTCGGTGGCATACAGGGGGTCTGATGACACTGACAACCACCCGGGTGGCCGCAGTGGAGAGAAATGGATAAAAGCTCCTGTAGTCGCACAGCAACTATTCCTCATCTCACACTCTCTCTCTCACAGCCTTTCAGTCCTTTCTTCCTTCCTTACTTCGTTTATTCGATTCTTCAGCGGCTTTGATAGTCAGCTCCAACACTCTCTTTGCAATAATTTTATCAACACGTCTGCGACGTTTATAATCTTTTTTAACACACTATCTTTAATTCGTCAACTACTAGTTCCCTCCCCAGTCGAATTCACTCCCTGACAGTAAACCACAATAACAAACATGTCTCTCAAGGCCATTGCTACTTTTGTCCTCGCGGCCAGCCTTGCTGGTAAGCACTGACTACCCCGGCGTCAAGCTTGAATCATGGATACTAACGAGCCGCAGTCGCAAAGCCCATTGCCCCTGTCGAGGCTGCTCCCGGTGTGACCAAGCGCCAGTTCGACTTCAACTCTGTTGTCAATGGTTTCAACTCCAACAACGGCGGCTTCAACTTCATCAACGGCTTCAACAACTTCAACCAGCAGCGCCGCGTCATCCAAGTCCAAGAGCAGAGCCTCCAGATCATTGACAATGGCGGACGGCAGCAAATCGTCCAGCAGGTCGAGCAGGTTCTTGTCGTGGACCGTGTCAACAACGGCTTCAACAGCGACCTCAACGACCTCTTCCGCAAGAGCAACTTCCGCAACCAATTCCGCAACGTCGCCACCGTTGTGCTCGTCGTCCAGGAGATTCAGGTCATCATTGACGACCGCCGCCGCGGCCGCATCCAGCAGAACCTGTTCGCGCAGCGCGCCATTGTGGCCAACCGGGGCGCGCGCCAAACGCAAACCGTCATGATCTTCGACAGCCGCAAGCTGATCGCCCAGGATATTCTGGGCAACAACGCCTTCAACAACATTGGCCGATTCGGCGGCATCGCCGGCGCAACCGGCGTGATCAACGCGAACCTTCCCGTCAAGACGGATGGCGTCCAGGTCTTCGACGTCAAGCCTACCTGGACGGCTATGGCCCAGGACCCTGCTGAGACGCTCGGCTCCATCTGGCAGGATGCTCTCCAGGACCAGCAGAAGGCCGATGCCGACAAGGCGGACAACCAGCTCAACCAGCAGATTGCTCAGCAGGAAATGAAGGCCATGCAGCAGGCCATGCAGAAGCAGAACCAGACTCAGACGGCTGATAATGCTCAGCAGAAGGCGGATGCGCAGAAGCAGGCGGATGCGCAGAAGCAGGCCGATGATGCTAAGAAGGCTGCTGATGCTCAGAAGAAGGCCGATGATGCTAAGAAGGCTGATGACGCGAAGATGGCCGCCGATGCTCAAAAGGCCGATGCTAAGAAGGCGGCTGATGCTCAAAAGGCGGCTGATGCCCAGAAAGCCGATGACGCAAAGAAGGCCGCCGATGCTCAAAAGGCCGATGCTCAAATGGCCGATTCTCAAAAGGCCGATGCCCAGAAAGCCGATGCTCAAAAGGCCGATGCCCAAAAAGCCGATGCTCAAATGGCAGCTGACGCCGCAAAGGCCTCTGCTCCCGCTGCCGCTGCCGATGCTGCCCCTCCAGCTGCCAGCAAGCGAGCAGAGTAAAACGGCTTCACGATATAGCTTGATTACCGCTCTTCATCATCATCATCTTCTTCTTCGTCTTCTTCTTCTTCTTCTTCTTCTAGCATCTCCCTCTCATCAGCATTCGAGTTGGGAATCGTTGCTCGCAACCACACACACACACGAAGTAGTACCACCCCCCTTTGTGTATCAGGAGAAAAGGAAAACGAAAAGGGTTCTTAAAAGACAGAGAGAGAGACAGAGAGAGAGACAGAGAGAGAGAGAGAGAGATGCATTTTTTTCTTTTCCCACGGGCATCATCATTATGATTATTGTGTGTGTGTGTGTGTGTGTGTGTGTGTGTTTTTATCGATTTGGCGGGTTCATGCAAGGACATGATTCAACGCCAAGGCATTGGAAGGAAGCAAGGAAGGAAAGGGCAAGCAAGAAAGCCAGGCCTCTAACTTTTTTTTTTGGAAGGCTAGTCAAACAGAGAGAGAGAGAGAGAGACAGAGTTTTTTTTTACGACTTAGCCATTTAGCTTCTTTAGCTTCCTTATTTTAGCTGCAAAATATACTACAATTTATAGTATCACACATAGCGTATTCTCATTTTTTCTTTATTCCAAGTGGGGGTTTTTTATTGAAACTATGTGCATAGTTTGCAGGACGTGGCTGGGTTGCATGGTAAGGATGGATTGTGTGAGTGATACTATGGAGTCCAAGGTAATTAAATTAGCAAAGAGCGGGGGGGGGGGTTTCGTTTACCTTGTTAGTGGTGGGTAAAGGCATTAAGTACTGGACTGGGTTTCTGGGAAGAAAGTCGATTAGGTTGATTGCCCTATAGAGTTTGAGTGGCGAGGGAGGATGATATATGCTTTCGGCAAGAGTGAACGATGAAGTCACTCATGCTACTGCTACTTTAACGCTAGGTCTTGATCCTGGATCCTAATATCTATGCAAACGTTATGATCTTCTGTTCTTTTTTTTTGCGTGTCACATCTGAAGAAAAAATGTGGATAAAGTCAAACGGGCTCCTATCACCCGGCAGGTTCACATATAATGCAGTCGTCATTCGCAAGTCGTATGACTAATACGTGAGAAATATAGACTTTACATAGTACGCTTACTGTGCCGCGATATATAAATATAGCTGATAGGTGGATAGGGTGCTGCACAGACTTATACTCAACTCAGAAATGAAGACCAAGCTCCTTCGTAGTCATACATAAGGGAGTGCCGGAGGAAAGAAACAGAGGTGCTTCGTCTTACTCTATATTTACTTGTCAACACAGTCACAGCAGCAACTGCGTTGCAGCATGCGCTACTATTCTATCACGCAGAGTGTTCTAGTACTCGGTGCTTTAACAGTTCAAGGTACGCTGTACTAGTCTATCATATCTTGTATACGAATCAGAATTGACTAATATGATCTCTAGCAATGGGTGCATTCCACTTGCACCCGAACCGTGTGTCATGCCAAGTCGGCAAGACCTGCCCACAAAAAGCGAACGACCATTACGATGCATGCAAAGATGGGGGTAACGAACGTGGCGGCTACACTGGACCCAACACATCTGGGTGCCAGATAATTCCTGTTGGACTGCAAAACTACCAGCACATCAGCATCAACGGATTTACACTGGCTCGGGGTGACGACTCGTACGAGGCCCTCTACTGGATTGCCAATACCGAGCGGCCAGGTCTAGGCGCTACCAATATCAATGTGGCGCTTGGATACAGACCAGCCTCGGGGGTTGAGAATTGGAATTTATTTTCTTTGCCGCCTGGTGTTATATGTAATCCTCCTCCAAGTCAAGGTAATGAAATTTTCGCGATTCAGTTCACTTGTGCAGGAAAGCCTAAAGGACAGTAGATGGCACTTTAGACCGCGATTGGGACAAATAGTTTGAGAGAATAGTACAAACACGTTTCTGCAGTAATATGCCTGTTGCACACAGCACGGCAACAGAGAAGGGTTGCATGGGATTGTGAGTGTGACGGACTCAAGGCCCTTTGGTAGAGTTCCGCGACGGGGATGTCGGTGTGCACAGTCACAAAATCAAGGAACGGGACCTGGCATTCGAATTCTGCTTATCTGAACTGTGCGCCGACGCGACGCTCAGATCAATACGAGAGCATATCTATTTTTCCAACTCGTACGCTGATATAAGCGCGCGGGTAGGTGGTTCTTAGCTCTCTATCATATCTACTGCACCCAACCGCGCCCTTGGGGTAGCGCTCTGCTTAAGCCCAGCCTCTTTGGGATAAGCCTAAGAGTAGTTTTACCATTCTCGGGTATACAGTGTGCAACTATTCCCCCAAAACCTTTACTAGTAGAAAAATAATCGGGACTTATTACAGAGACTTGAGTAAGTAAGCAGCGTTGAATTCGCCCAATATGCAAAGCTTAAAATCTGTTCAAAGTTAGCCGAATCACTATAAGTACTTAACCAAACTATGTACTCAGTCATTATTGCTATCGCTTGAAAAAATAAAAACACTATCACAACCTTATTGTAAAAAAAATACCCCCCGCCAGGCGCTAAACAAAGAATGATTAAAGCTTCACTGTACTCTCAGCGTTCTCGTTCGGTTTCTCATCCTGAGGTGGTGCCATATGTAGAAAGCGCCTTTATGAGTCAATAGTAGTGTGTGTGTTATTAAAGACCACGGAAAGTTTTGGCAGGTAGGGGTTTTACCACCCGAGGGTAATTTCTGTTGTCTCTTTTTAGGAAGAGAGAGAGAGAGAGAGAGAGAGAGAGAGAGAGAAAGGCTTCTTTAGGTTCTTCTTCTTTTTTATTGATTTTATAGTGTTCGTGTAGCCTGGGTTAGCAAGAACAACTACAACTACAACTACAGCCGCGAATTGGTCATGACTTCTTATAAGACAGCACCCAAAAGAAGAGGGATGCAAACACAGGAGCAAAATGACATTTCATGAAGCAAGCAAGCAAGCAAAGTACGAATCAAACTCAGATAGCTTCTTCTTTAGCCAGCATAGCTAGCATGAACATCTTTTCCAGATTCACGCTTCCTTTTCCTCATCCTCATTCTCCGCTCTTTCTCACCATTCTACCTTGAATTTCCCCCCTTTCTCCCACTCTCTCCATCTCCCTCGCACTCAAAAACCTTACAGTCTTGAAACACCACATACTTTCCCCCCTTGCCCAGCCCGTCACGCGACACAAGCGCTTACCACCCCGCTCCCCCCCCCCTTCCTAGTAAGAGAGGAAAAAAATAATTCTACGCGCAAAGTATCATCCGGCTACTCGCTTTTCCGATCGGCGCAATACACCACATTCCAAAACACCGTTTGTCGCCGGGTGAGGAGGGGGAGGGGGAAGAAGTGGCGATATAATCAATAACGCAGATCTTATGATATAGTTAGCAGTATGATATCACACGTTTGTACTCGATACTTAACTTGACGCGAGAGGAGGGAAGGGGGGGGGGATGTTAAGTTCCAAACGTGACATGTACAGGGTCTTCTTGACTAGTGTGTCGTGATTCCCTCTGTTTCTCTTTCTCACACACACACATATATATCAACATATGGTTAGTCGTGCATCCCCCGTACCTGACTGGACTGCATGCGCACGAAACGCCAAAGGTCAAAATCTTGTTTTTCTTGTATTTCGACACGTTGATAATGGGTTGGTTATGGCCATGGTTCGGAGGATGGTGAGGCACACTTGCGAGTCAGAGGTACGGTGACTACATACTTTATCCGCGTCTTCGGCTAGCGGTAGATGTGTGGACAGAACTAGGTATCAGCACAAAACAAAACGGGCACGCACATACATGGAAGTGATAGAACGAGGGAGACAGAAGGAGGAAAAGTAGAAAAGGAGTCACATCCACACGCACACGCAGACGCAGATTTAGGCCACCCTCCTTTCACAATCCGCGGCCGAAAACGAAAGAGAATGGCTACATGATTGCATGGTGAAGAACCATGTGACGAGACTGTATGCGAGAAGAGCAAGGCAATGCCCCAAATGTGTAGGTAAAAGACGTAATACATAGCTACACAGCTGTGCTATGTCTGATGCGTCGAACATCCACCGTGAATCCTTCATTGCGCTTCCAATCACGATGTAGAATCCCGGGTAACACGGCTGAGAATGCGAGGTAGCATGTCATTTTCAGTTTTGCTTTGTCTCCGCGTACGTACCAAATGCATGTACCGTCATTACTTATTCGGCAAGATGTCGCGTGTCTGGAGCGATTTGTCGAAAAGGGTGCAATTGCGCGATAAATACTTTTTGTATATCTGCAGCCCACGGTCATCAATCCCATGGCATCGCCGGCGGAAACCAACGACATGTACGTTTCGGTAGCGGGCGCAAGCTCGTCTGCAGAGCGAGACCCCAAGTCGAGAAAAGATAATCAAACGAGTATTACACCCGCTATCCGAAGAGAAGAGGCATACTCTGTTTTCCCAAAATCTATGCGCACACAGCTTACTTATGTGCTCGGGGTTGTGCAACTCATTTCCACACTGACGACGACGATTTACTTTCCGTTGATACCGGCGTTAAGCACGCATTTTGGCGTCTCAGTGCAGAAGATCAACTTGACTGTTACTGCGTACGCTGTGTGTCAGGCACTGTCGCCCGGCGTTTTTGGCTCGTTGGCCGATTCCTTTGGGAGAAGACCGGTGCTTCTTGCGCTGGTCACGACGTATACGCTCGCGAGTCTGGGTCTAGCACTCAATCGAGACAGCTATCCTGCACTCATCACGCTGCGCGCATTCCAGAGTATCGGCGGATCAGCAACAGTTCCCATTGCATATGGGATTGTAGCGGATGTTGCGACATTGTCGGAAAGAGGAAGCATGCTTGGCCCAATGCTCTCTACATGTAATGGCGTTTCGGCGTTTGGCCCGGTAATTGGAGGTGCGCTGGCTATGAAAAGTACGGGCCCCATGGGCGTGTTCATGGCATTGCTGGGGATAGCAATTCTGTGTCTGTGCCTGGTAGGCTTCGTACTCCCGGAAACGTCGCGAGGCATTGTTGGGAACGGGTCAAGACCTGCGACGGGTATCTGGCGGACTTGGTTATCATTCCTACCATGTCACAAGAACCGTTCGTCCTCGGATGTCCTTTCGATGCAGACTCAGTCGTCGACGCCAAAACCCAGACAGATTTTTCGCAGGATCTTCGATTCAATACGCATGGTTCGACATCCAGATGCGGCAGCTATTCTCTGCATGGTTGCCTCGTCGTACGGCATCTACTACACCTTCCAAGTCGCCCATTCAGTCATTTTTGAAGAACGGTACCATTTCAACGAACTGCAAATCGGTCTGTCTTTTCTCCCTGGCCTTGGCGGAATGACGGTAGGCGGGACAATAGCAGGAAAGCTCCTCGATATCAATTACGCTTATCAAGCGCGTGAAAGCGAGATTTCTGATACAGCCAACGCTATGGATTTTCCCATCGAAAGGGCCCGATATAGGAATGCGGTGCCGTTGATATGTGTGGAGACAACACTTGTGGTCGGCTATGGCTGGACTGTACAACAGCACACGCATCCTGCAGTAGTCCTCACACTCGAGTTGTTCATCTGCGCCTTGTCCACGCTACTCAGCCACACGGCTAATGCATTGCTCGTAGATGTCTTCCCCCAAGCCCCCAGCACAGCGTACGCATCGGGCCAGGTTGCACGAGGCGGGTTCAGCGCTGCGTCTGCTGCCATTATCGATCCATTGGTGCGTTCCCTAGGATATGGATGGTATTTTACCATATTTGCAGCATTCACCGGGACTGCGTGTTTGTCCTGCGTCAGTTTGAGCCGGCGGGCGGGTATGCGATGGCGGCGCAAGAGATATCTGAACGCTAGCCGTGGGCCAGGGGAGGAGTAGCCGCCTAGTCTCGCACGTGGCATATCGGGTAGTATACATCTGACTGTGAACTGGCAATACAAGGTTGGTTAGAGGTGGAGACGTCGATGCTTGATGTAGCTGCAGCTGTATTTGCTTTTGCCCAGAGCAGGCCCCTGTGCGATAACCATCTTGAAGCAAAGCCAGATTCCGCGGTGTGAGATAGAACAGCGAGGCCGGGCTATTTTCGAATTTATCCAGTGCAGACGTATACATAGTTTGAGGCTACTGAAATGAGTGGATATGGCTGCACGTAAGACCTCCTCAGAGACAATCGACGTGGACGTGTCTTGGATGGAAAGCAAGGCGTCCTTTTGTGGCTGTGACGTGTCGATGAGCCCCCTGGCGGGTGTCGATGGAAACGAGGCGACTAGCTTTGAACAGTCATGCCTGGCCACGCTGTCCGTTGGCCTATCCGGAGTCGAGGCGTGCTTATTGAACCACGAGTGCTGCAAGGACAGTGTTGGGCAGAGGTGTCGAGGTGCCTGGGTCGACATGTGCACGCCAAGCTGCTTTGGGCAAGGCGTGCCAAGCGGTGACGTAACGGCGATTGGCGGGGCGCGCTGCGAATGACCGGAAAGTGGCAGCAGGCGTCCAGAAGCTTCCACGGCCAGGGTTGGAAGGCACGACTGGTTTCGAGACATGGCGAGAAATCACTCGATCTCACTGGCCATCTCCTGATGTTTCCCCATTTCCTGCCTGCAAATTGCATCGACGTGTATATATTGGCCCCCAGTCTTGCCCAGGTCCAACCTTTCCTCTCCCCAAGAGATACCCATCAACCGTAATAGTGCAACACACGAAACCTGACTGCAGGTTCACAACACGCGATTTTCACTCTGGCTTCAGGCCACACACAGGCTAGTCACAAACCACAATGACTTCATTCGACGCCTACACCGATCGAGCTGCCAAGGCCCTGGCAGACAGCTTTGACCTTGCCAAGGGCTATGCACACTCACAACTCACACCTCTACACCTCGCCGTGTCGCTGATAGATCCGCCCAAGGACCTCGCAAACACAGTCGACGTACCACCGCCACCGCTATTCAAGCAGGTCCTCGAACGTGCCAATGGCGACCCTCAACTCTTCGAGCGCAACCTCAAGAAGGCCATGGTCCGGTTACCAAGCCAAGATCCTCCACCAGAGCGCACTTCACCGTCGCCCGCCATGGCCAAGGTCCTGCGCTCTGCCGAAGAGCTGAGCAAAACCCAAAAAGATAGCTTCATCGCCGTCGACCATCTCATCATGTCGCTTTGCCAGGATCCGCAAATACAGCGCATCCTCGCCGAATCAAACGTACCCAACACAAAGCAGATCGACAACGCTATCCAAGCACTTCGAGGCACAAAACGGGTGGACTCGAAGACGGCAGACGCAGAGGAGGAGAATGAGAACCTGAAAAAGTTCACCATCGACATGACGGCCATGGCACGAGAGGGCAAAATTGACCCAGTCATCGGCCGTGAAGACGAAACACGGCGAGTCATTCGTATCCTTACCAGGCGAACCAAGAACAACCCAGTTCTCATTGGAGAGCCTGGTGTCGGTAAGACTACAGTCGTCGAAGGTCTTGCCCGCCGAATTGTCGATGCAGATGTACCTGCCAACCTTGCAGCGTGCAAGCTGCTCTCTCTCGACGTCGGTGCTCTAGTTGCTGGCAGCAAGTACCGCGGAGAGTTTGAAGACCGTATGAAGGGTGTTTTGAAGGAGATTGAAGAGTCCAAGGAGATGATAGTACTGTTTGTTGACGAAATCCATCTCCTCATGGGCGCTGGATCTTCCGGAGAGGGTGGTATGGATGCTGCCAACTTGCTGAAGCCCATGCTGGCTCGTGGACAACTTCACTGCATTGGCGCGACCACCCTGGGCGAATACCGCAAATACATCGAAAAGGACGCCGCATTCGAGCGTCGATTCCAGCAGGTCCTCGTCAAGGAGCCTTCTATCCCTGAAACCATTTCCATTCTGCGAGGACTGAAGGAGCGGTATGAGACTCACCACGGTGTCACCATCATGGATGGTGCCATTGTCGCAGCAGCTACCCTTGCCGCCCGCTACCTCACCCAACGGCGGCTGCCAGATTCCGCTGTCGACCTGATCGATGAAGCTGCTGCGGCCGTCCGTGTCACGCGAGAGTCGCAGCCCGAAGCTCTGGACAACCTCGAGCGACGCCACCGACAACTTCAGATTGAGATTCATGCTCTCTCCCGGGAGAAGGATGAAGCCTCACAGACGCGTCTGAAGGAGGCCCGAGCGGAGGCCGCCAACATCGAGGAAGAGCTGAGGCCGCTTCGCGAAATGTACGAACGTGAAAAGGGCCGCAGCAAGGAGATCCAGGACCAGAAGCTCAAGCTCGAGGGTCTCAAGACCAAGCTCGCCGAAGCTGAGCGTATGCGCGACATCCAAACTGCCTCCGATCTCAAGTACTACGCTATTCCTGATGTCGAGCAACGCATCAGCCAGCTGGAGAGTGAGAAGGCTCGTGCGGATGCCGAGATGTACGCAAGCCAGGGGGGCGGAGGTGGCGACTCTCTCCTGAGCGATGCCGTCGGCCCAGATCAGATCAACGAGATTGTCGCTCGCTGGACCGGTATCCCAGTCACCCGTCTCAAGACCACCGAAAAGGACAAGCTACTCAACATGGAGCGTCACCTGCAACAAGTCGTTGTTGGTCAGAAGGAGGCTGTCACATCAGTCTCCAACGCCATCCGACTTCAGCGCTCTGGTCTCGCTAACCCCAACCAGCCACCAAGTTTCCTCTTCTGTGGTCCTTCTGGTACCGGAAAGACGCTACTCACCAAGGCTCTTGCCGAGTTCCTGTTTGACGATCCAAAGGCCATGATCCGATTTGACATGTCTGAGTACCAGGAGCGACACTCTCTCAGCAGGATGATTGGTGCACCACCCGGATACGTTGGTCACGACGCAGGAGGTCAACTTACCGAATCCTTGCGCCGGAAGCCCTTCTCTATCCTCCTCTTCGATGAAGTGGAGAAGGCTGCCAAGGAAGTCCTCACCGTTCTCCTGCAGCTCATGGACGACGGTCGTATCACGGACGGTCAAGGCAGAATCGTTGACGCAAAGAACTGCATTGTCGTCATGACTTCCAACTTGGGTGCCGAGCACCTGTCGCGCCCCAACGCACCAGACGGCAAGATCGACCCTACGACCAAGGAGATGGTGATGAATGCTCTGCGCAACTGGTTCCTGCCCGAATTCCTCAACCGTATCTCATCCATTGTCATCTTCAACCGTCTCACCAAGCGCGAGATCCGCAGCATCGTCGACGTGAGAATGGACGAGATCCAGAAGCGACTCAACCAGAACGGAAGGAACGTGCGCATCGAAATGACGCCCGAAGTGCGCGACTACCTAGGTTCTGCAGGATACTCGCCCGCCTACGGTGCCAGACCGCTGGCGCGACTCATCGAGAAGGAAGTGCTCAACCGTCTTGCTGTACTCATCCTCCGTGGCGCCATCAAGGACGGCGAGACAGCCAGAGTGGTGCTCGATGAGGGACACGTTGTTGTCCTGCCCAACCACACGGACAGCGAAGACGATTCAGAAATGTACGATGAGTCTGATGCTATTGCCGAGCTGGACGATGAGGGCGCCGACATGGATTTGTACGACTAAATGCATAAAAAAGATGATGAGAGAAGTTGAGAGTTGGTGATTAGAGAGAGCGACATTTTGAGCACTGGCATTGCAAAGCATAGGCGGACTTCTTCTTCTTTTTTTGGTTTGAGAAATCAGATGCTGGATCAAACAGGCAACTGTCATCATGAGGGGTCTAATGAGTTATGAAAACACGGTGTTTTTTTTAATTCAAAAGTACAAGTACTTTTGACTGGTGTTTGGGAAACATGGGTTTACGAAAGCAGTCTTGTATACTGTGTTCCACTAGTAAGCTGCGCACCCCAGTAAGCTGCGCACCCCACCAAATCCTCACAACTCTATCTGCGCCAACGACCATGACTCAACAACCACGGCCTAAGGTGACATCTCGTGAAGGTAGACTAAGTCTCGCGATAGTCTCCTATTAGAATAAACTATACTAATTAATCTAAGCCCTCGCGAGAGCGTATGACGTACTAGAATCTACTCTCTAGACGCGTCTCTGTGGTGTCCACCCGCGATTAGAGATAGTCTCTGTCAACCGAAAGCTATCAACTACTAAAGAGCAGTCTCTTGTGTAGTGGATCCTAGACCTTAATTAACGAGGCTTTCTACCCTATATAATTAATGTACGACGCATGGCAGACGCTCTACTCGCAGCCCGCGGCCAAGATCCACCTCCTCCACCTGTAGGCAAGAACTGGGTGTCGCGCTTTGTCAACAGCTAGTCTGAGCTTCAGACTAAGTGGAACAGGAAGGTCTATAGCCAGCGCGCTCTCTGTGAGGATCCTGTCGCAATCTCAGCGTGGTTCAACCTAGTAGAGGAGACGCGCCAGGCCTATGGGATACTAGACACAGACACGTACAACTTTGATAAGACTAGCTTTATGATAGGCGTCGCAGCGACGTCTAAGGTAGTCACTAGCTCTGACACTGTAGGTTGGGCAGCCACAGTACAACTAGGGAACAGAGACTAGGTCACGACAATCGAGTGTATTAACGCGTCTAGCTGGTGTCTTCCACCGTTCGTGATCCTGTCTAGTAAGCAGCACCAGGCTAGCTGGTACTACCACATCCCTATAGACTAGGTGCTCGCTGTATCAGACAACGGCTGGACGACAGATGAGCTCGGCGTAGAGTGGGTAAAGCACTTTAATAGATATACAGCGCCTCGTACGCATGGAGTCTACCAGCTTCTTATCCTAGATGGCTATAGCAGCCACGCCACGCCTGAGTTCGACCAGTACTGCACAGAGAACAAGATCATCACTCTCTGTATGCCAGCCCATACCTCCCACCTGCTCCAGCCACTTAATATGGGCTGCTTTTCCCCGCTTAAGCGAGCGTATAGTCACGAGATCCAGGAGCTAGCTCGCTAAGGCGTCTACTATATTGACAAGATAGACTTCCTTACCGCCTATACACGGATCTAGCTAGCAGTACTTACGTAGCAGAACATCTAGGCAGGCTTCTAGGCGATAGGGCTTATCCCTCCTTGTCTAGAACGCGTCCTATCGTCGCTTACTGTCGTCTGTACGCCGTCTCTACTAGGGACAATAGCAAACAACAACGTTGTATAGACTGTAGAGACACCACGTACGATAGCGTAGCTTAAAAAGCAGGCTTAACACGTAAAGGACCTCCTTTACTGCTAGTTGTAGAGCCTAACAAGCTAAGCTATACGCTAGCTTATTAAAGGTTATTAGCTTGCGATAAACTTAGCGACTATACTTGCAGAGGAGAATAGGAAGCTTCGTACAGCTAGTTAGCGCCAGCGACGTAGGAGAGACCAGCGACGTTAATATATAGCTCGTGGAGGAGCGCTATAGGCCTAGTAAGGCCAGCAGCTCGCTATAGAGGCAGAAAGGGTAGTCGCGGAGGTAGAACAAGCTTAGGCTACTTAGGGACGTTAGCGCGCACTACTAACGTGTACGAAGTGCTATATCTAAGGACACACTAGGACTTAATATAGATAGTAATAGACTAGCTATGTACAAGATTGTATTCTATTATCTTATGTTGTTGTAGAGCTATCGCGTAGAGAGTCGCGTCAAGTTAGGTGGGGTGCGCAGCTTACTAGTGGAACACAGTATAGTTAATAAGATGAATATTTCAAAATAACTTTTTCTGACCTATTGCATTGTGAAATCGCAGTTACGTAGAACAGGACTTGTGCTGCAGCAGCCGTAGTCGAATGATGGCGCCTCATATAAACCCATTGCAACGATTGATACAGCCCAGTATTCACCCAATTCGTAACTCGTGCACAAAATCCAGTCATCAACTTTTTATCATTTCTTCGTCGAACATTCCGTTCCCATGATGGACTACTTAGCCAAATACATTGGATTTGCTGGTCTAAGCCCGGGTATATTGCATCCCACTCCACCACACACGCGAACATTTTAGTAGAAGAAACCGAGAATCTTGCCAGCAACGTGCTTTCTGCGGGCCTCCTCGTGGTCCATGATGCCAGCAGACGTGGTCAGGACAATGAAACCGAATTGACGAGAGGGCAGCAGCTTGACGACCCACTTCTCCATATCGCGGAGCTGGACGTTGTAGCGGGGAGAGATGACACCAGTCTTGTTGATGCGGCCAATGAGCTGGATGACAATCTTGCCGTTGCGGTGGTCGTCAACCTCCTCGAACTCGCCAATGTAGCCTAAAGGGTAAAAGTCAGTGAATGTTGCGGAGAAATAAACATCAGACGTCATGAAAAGGGTTCCGAAGACGTGTAAGTCCGCCGCAGTTAATATATCGGACACTTAAAGGTCAATGATCGTAGGAATCGAAATCATTAACTAGTTATCAGCCCGAAGAGCGGTGTAGGGATGCGGATGCGGATGCGAGTGTGCGGTTGCGAGACTCGAGCGTCGTTGGGCGTGTGAGGGGTGTTGTTTGTTCGGAGAAGAGCGCGTCTACAGAGAAATTGAACATACCGTGCTTCTGCATGACGCGGAGGAACTTGACAATGACCTTGGAGGAAGGGCGGATCAGGACCTGGCGCTTGCCAGCCTTCTCGGCGTTGTTGATGGCGTTGAGCGCATCGTTGAGGACAGAGGTCTTGACCATTTTTGCGGTTTGTGGAGATTCTCGGTGGCGGCGACGGCGGGCGACTGAGGTATCTACGCGCAGAGTTGGTGGTTAGCCTCCAGATGCCAGAGCGTGGAGAGTGCCCTCAGACTGCAAGCATGAGGGTTCTTCAGCTCTTGTCGCAGAGGAGACGCAGTGTCGCCGCCCTTCATCCTTGCGGAAGACGGCGATTGCATCCCCGGGCTCTGAAGGGCACTCGGGTTGACAAAGACATACCTCGGCTGGTGCGGGTGGTGAACGGTAGAGAGAGTTTGCGGAGATGCAAAAGTTCGAGTTTGACCTGGGAAATTGGTGTGGTGGACCGTGCGCTCGCTAACGCGACGGTGCTTGGCAGAACCAGGCCCTGGCGGTGCTTGGCTGGGGGTCCGACCGACGTGTACGCCAAACTTCAACAGACACTACATGCCATGGCCTCCAGAACTCTTTGGTTGGGGTTACCAAGTTCTGTTTAGGCGCATGTATTACATGCGTGACCGCAGAACCCAAAATTGTAGGCATAGCATCGATGTCGCGCCTTCACGGGCCGACGCGATCACTAACCGCTTTAGTCATGACGTAGCATCTCTACTTTGCCTCCCAGTGCCTCTCTATCTTCAAACGACGTATCTAGCAACTCACACTTCATCTAGACACCTACTATCTTGCCACAACCATGTCTGAAGCCTGCTGTACCTGCGCTGCGCTCCTCACCTCCATACCGCCAACATACGACGAGAAGACGGAGAAGCCGTCGCAGTTCGAACGTAGACTTGACTGCTGCGGCCGCGCCATATGTGCTCGTTGCCTGACGGACAACCCCAGATTCCAAAACTACTGTCCCTACTGCCAGATAGCGACCGGACCGTCTGCATTACCACCCCAAGGCCTACGCGACCCGCCTACATATTCGCCACCACCCGATGAGCAGCACATGGATGACGAGTTACCACCCTACTCAGCACACAACTCGCTGCTGACACCGCCGCCGGAGAAGGCCAAGAAGAAGGGCGAGGACGCACCCGATGTGCTGCATTTTGTCGACCAGAACAACGACTCGATACTCTCGTTATCACTGCGCTACGGAGTCCCCGCCGACGCCCTCCGTCGAACGAACAATCTGTTTGCCGATCATCTGCTAGCGGCGCGTAGAACGGTTCTGATACCAGGAGAATACTACAAAGGCGGCGTCAGCCTGAGTCCGCGGCCACTCGAAGGCGAGGAGGAGGAGATCAAGAAGACCAAACTGCGCAAGTTCATGGTCAAGTGCAAGGTTGCAGAGTAAGCACCCTGGGCGGTGGCTTGGACGGCTGAGACTGCAATACTGATTTTGAGTGACAGGTACGATGTTGCGCTTTTGTACCTCGAACAGGCCAGCTGCAACCTCGAGCAAGCGATTACTGCGTTCAAGGCGGACGAGGAGTGGGAAAAAGAGCACTCTCTGGAAGCAGCAAAGAAGGGTAAGTCGAGGGCTTCACAGAGTCTAGGACGTCGGAAATGGGGGTTCGGAGGCCTTACGGGTCAAGCCTCGTAGCGCAACAAAGTGTTTCTTCTGGTCAAAACTTTTGCGCAGTGCATGCGTTGCCGCTGTGGCTCGCCGCGATAACCGTCAAGGCTGGCCGTTCGCACGGTGACAGCGGTAGTATCCGCACATGCGGGTCATCAACCTCTGGCGCTATGGAGAATCGTCCGAGCAGGACAGGCAGGCAACCCATGCTTCGGTGATTACGCATGTATGCATGTTTCTACCATCGGCTAATACGGCTCTCAACATATCCAAATACAAGACGGCACTTTTGTTCCATTGGAAACTCCACTATTTCGGTATGTCGTGTGCAATGGTACACCACCGGGTTATTGGCCATGCCGATCGAACCGTGTATCTTTCAAGTACTGTGGCTTGTCGTTGGTTCTTCGGCTCGAGGCGAGCCATCAGAGTCAGACGTCGAGCGGCTGCATCCAGCACGCTTTTGACAGCATCGAATGAAAGCCGCCAGCGACGCCCAAATGCAGCTTGAGCAAAAGTGTGAAACGTAAATGCAAGCGTGGGCGCTTCCAAGGGCTGCACACTCGCTGCTTTGGGAGACAAGTCTCGGCGCTTACAGCGCGCGCTGTGGCGCTTCTGCGCGCTGATTCGCCGGATGATTATCACAGCAGGGGTGTGCAGAGAAGCTGTATACCCCACAACCGAAGCGGTATGTGTTGCTAAATGTACACATGCAGTAAGGTAGCACAAGGGCTAATGCGGGCTAATAGTGCTATTCTCGGCCTGGCCTTGCATGCTACGCGCCTGGGAAGAGCAGCTTGGGTATGGCCATGAATCGAGCAGGCCTGGCGCTGCCGAACTAGAGCCTATTGCTGGTAGTCGCAGCGGCAAGACAGATTGGCTATTCTCTTCTCTGCGTGTGTACGTCTATTTCCGGGGTGCGAGGCTTGTCGAGGGCTGCAGGGGAGCGGAGCGGTTGCAACGATGGGTTCTGTGGGCTTGAAACCACTTTGGTGACCAAGTCGTTTTAAAAAGCATGTGCCACCCCCAGGAGTGGTGTTGTTGTTCCCAACCCAGCCCAGGCAATAGTTCTCTCCAAGCCTCAGGACGGTATATCAGGCCCTCTTTCTTCGCCTGTTGGTCGTTCCCTTGTCTTGTTGTCGGCCCTTCTTTTATTTTGCAAACGACAATAGGTGCTCCTGGTTGACACCTGTTTGACGATACGATCTTTATACCTTTTGTTTCTAAACGTGCGAATAATACGGCGACGTCAGTCTTGAACCAACAGTAGTCAAGATGAAGATCAACCCCGCTCCTTTCCACTTGGCCCAGGCCGTCATCACGGGGCTCGTCGTTGTGCTCAGCATCGCTATTCTCGGTACTTCGGCGTGGACTCTCGATGTCTTCAACAAGCAACATCTTTCCAACCCGTGGTGGGTACCCATGTGGCCACAGCATTTTGACGTGCAGGGAACCAAGGCGCTGGTTGCATCGGCGGTTGTAACTCTGGTTCTCTGCGGTGCTTTCTTGATCGCATCGTTTGTCCCTCAGGTGAGTGTGGCTTTTACCTACGCTGGTACTTTGCAAGAGCCACGCGACTAACCAGCGACAGTTGGCTCTTCGTCAAAAATACACTCTTCGCGCTCTCCTTTCTCTGGCAACCCTGCTCCCTACTTTTCTTCTCACTCTTATTACCACTGTCTGGGCACATATACTCAATGGCAACGCGCCTGATGTCGACACGATCCAGACGTGGACATGCAGGATGGCAAACTCGCATCCAGTGGAGCAGGACTTGCCGTCCAAGATTGCTGTGCCGGCAGGCATGGGCAACGGCGACTTCAAGACACTTTGCCAGTCGAGCAAGTTTGCTCTGTGGGGCACACTGATCGTCTTCTTGCTGGTGGGGGCTAGCATGGGCGTCACCATTGTCACGTGGATAGCGGACAAGTGGGCGGCGCGGCAGCACAGGAAGGAGGTTGAGATGGGCAACATTCCGGCCAACCTGCCCTAGATGGTGGGCGAGCGGTGTGCTATCTGAGACGGGTGTTTATGTAAGAGCTAGTTTGGTTGGGTCAGAAGCAAGTTTGGATGTTTGGTATATCCCAGGGCGCATCTTCATGGGCGAGAGACAGGGGGCTGGAGGTTCTCTATCAGGCGTACCGGCGTCTTATTGGCGCGACAAGTCCCTTTAGGGCCGACGACGGGCAGGATGCGTGTTTGTCGATTGTACTTTTATTCCGCATACCGCAACAAATGGAAGAGGCCGGATGGCGCTGGAGCTCGTGCTGCTGTGCTCATGTCAGTGATTGTGCGTCGCGGGCGGCGTGGAGGAGCTATTATTAGAGGCCATGATGGAGTATGGCGCAGGGGAAAGGCAGTGGTGGAATGGGAAATAGGACGGGTGCCAAGCAAGGGGCGGAGATTGGGCCTGGCAGGGTTGCATGGGGAAGGCGCGCTGGGGGGGGAGGCAGGCACAGGCAGGCACAGGCACAGGCACAGGCACAGGGAAGGAGCCACGGGCGGCGTGTCTGGGCTGGGCAACCGTTTGTGGCCGGGCAAGAGCAACCCACGGCAAACGCGCGCTGCAAAATGTCTTTTGCACGGCCAAGAGGCGCGGCGGCCTTGAGACAGCGAGCCTTGTCAGTTTCAGCGGAGCGAGGCGGTATGCAGTCAAGACCAAAGTCTCAGTGTCGGTCGCAGACGGGCAGGCGACAATGCATTGAGTGTCGCTGGCTGGCGGGCTGTTGCATCCATCGTGCCCTCGGCGTCGAGGGCGTGGATGAGTAGGCCGGCGGCCAGCGGCGGGTTTGGCGCGTCACACGCACGAAACATATGTGAGTAAGTAGGCCACAAAGGACGTGGGCGACCTACTCCCACTTGGCCTCTCTCTTGCACGCAGCCGCCAGCACGCAGCCGCTGCCTCGCCTCGCCGCGCCCGCCGCGCCAGTGCCGAGTCGGGTCGTCGAGCTGCTATTCTGTGCATTTGCCCGTGGGCGGTAGCAAGCCGATTGCATCGATCACCCGTCCCGCCATCCCAGATCCCGGTCCGCCTTCAGCCACCCCAGCGAGGGCTCGAGCGTGCATCCAAGCGGCATCAGAAAGATCACCCCTCTCCACCGCGGCATAGAGGCCGCATAATCCTCTGCCCGGCTGCGGCCGCCCTCTTTTCTCCCTCCTGCCCGCACCTTAGCCCCGTTCCTGGCATCGCCATGCCCCTTCGCTGCACGCCCGCCCACACCCACGCCCGCACCACGACGCTCCGCCCCAGCATCACGCCCTGTTTTGACCCTCACGGCACCTCGTCCGCCTCCGACACCCTCTCCACCACCTCGCACACCTGCGGGGCCTGCACCCGACTATCCGACCGCAGCCACGCCTCGCCCCCAACGTCCCCAACGCCCCCGGCTCCCGACACCCACACGTACTCGCCGTGGGAATGAGGCCCCGAAAGAGCGTGTCCGAAGGCTACAAGACGCACAAGATGTCGTCTTCACGCTCGGAGCGCATCGCCATGGCGAGACCTCGCCTCGACGTCAAGCCCCCGCGCGAAGCCGTGCCCGACGACTACCAGCACGAGCGCGAATTGCTTCCCTTCTGCGGCCTGCACAAGATTGGCGGCTTTGCAGAACAGCCCACCACAAACCCGCACCTCTACAGCCCTTCCAAAGGCCCCAGACCCGCCCATACATTTCCCCTGACCGCCGAAGACTTTACCCAACCCTTCTCAAGCCACTCCTCCATTGGCAGCGACTACTACTCAGCCACATCCCCCTCATCGCAACGCCTGCACAATCCCTCGAAGCGTTCGTGGCACGACGAAGACGAAGTCAGGCCACTAAACACAAACTTCCTCTTCGACCCAGCCTCCAACAGGTCCATGAGTATGAGCGTCGACTTTGACGACGTCCCCGTCAGTCCCATGAGCGAGACTCCCCCGCAAGGCTCCAACATGCTGCCTCCCACACGCCAATACGCCCAACCCCGGTCGAGACGTACAGCCCGCCGAACCATTAGCGACGACGATATTGACGTGGATTTTGAAAACGGCGCGCGCATCCAAGGCCGTGTGGGCGCTGGTACCGGCAGTGATTTTGAAGAGGCTGATTTTCTGAGCCAAGAGGTACCGATGAGTGGTATTTAGCCGCCCTCTCTCTCTCCTCTCCCATCCTCTGCTTCGCTTCTCTCTCGCATTTCAACAATATTTCCATTCTTTTCCCTCTTCATCGGGAGGGAAATCTATTTTCCCCACGATTTTCCTCTCTCTCTCTCTCTCCTCCCATCCACCTCTCCAAGCAACTCATTCGATAACATGGCGCTTAACGGTCGGCGATTATGAAGAAATGTTCATGTTGGCGCGTATACCCGGGAACGTTTCTTTTTTCTTCCTTTTTCTTCTTCTCTATTTCTTGTTGCCCTGTTTCCTCTTTTTCCTCTTCTTCTTCTTCTCCCCTTCTCCTATACACACACAATTCTACTTCGTCTCGCGTTTCGGGGCCTGTGTTTATATATATAACTGCATGATACGCCTTCTTCTTCTTCTTCTTCTTCCCCCTTCCTTGTCAAACAAGGGTAATGTAGTATTTGTGTCCTTTGTGTTGTGTGTTGTTATTCTTTCTCTTCTTCTTCTTCTTCTTCTTCTCTCTCAAACAGCTTCCAAACAAACCAAGTTGAACAAAAAAAATTAAATATCATAATTAGATTTAACTACACCGTTCTCTCTGGCCCGCGTTTTGTATTTCTCCTTTGCTTTTTTTTAACGGTAACATGCTCCATGTCGATTGCTCGATTCCCCGATTCGCCATGTCGATTTCGATCCGGTCAACTGGCAATTTGCCTGCTTTTTTTTCTTTTCTTTTTTCATGGCTGCCTTGCTTGCTACGTTTGCCGTTGCGCACACGCGGGTACTCCCGCTTTCATGCGGAAAAAAAAAGATTACCATGTCGCTTTGCCATTGTCCCCCTCTCTTCTACTTCTTGTTCTTCTCTTCCGCGCTTTTTTTTGCCTTTTCTTTTTTTTTCTGTTCTTTGAGGGAAGGGAAGTATCAGTCATGGCGATATCGTGTCCTTGGATACTGCCTTTCCAATAGTCTTTTTTTTCCTGCGCTCATTGTACCTATTCGTTCGTTTGTTCAGCTGGATTTTACTCCCTGAACATATGTGAGTATTATGAGATCTCTCTACTTGCTTGGTTCTATCCAGTTATCTGCGTAACCACATTGACTTCCTAGGCGCCCACTCCTCACGTATTTGGTCTATCTAGCTGCCATTGCAACTTACCCTGATTCCTACATCGGTACAAAAGACAGGCTACAGATATTCACCACGAGACTTGTGGTAAACTCACATTCTCATCATTGCATTGTGCCTGGAGCAATGAGCGAGTTTCACTCACTGCGAATACATTTGCTGGATCCTTGCGTCTTCACCTTCACTATGCCGCTATCGGTCTCTGTTTGTCAGCAACACTCGCGAAATGGGTAGGCGCGGTCGCCTTCACCTCGTTGGCGCTAGAACCTTCTCGGCGTAGGTATACGGTACGCACTTGCCTTGCTACTTCTCTCTTTCTCTCCTTACCCGCTCTCTCTCTTGCCTCCCACATACATACACACTTATATTTGGTGCGATTCATCTGCAATCCTCACAATGTCCGATGCAAGTACGAATGGCAAGCGCCGTCGCAAGGACTGCGATGACGAAGCTCGCAAAAAGTTGCGTTGTTTAACAGGCGCTGGAACGCCGTTAGTACACTCTACATTCTACTTCTCCAATACTGATCATCATTAGCGTTGAATCAAAACCAGTCACAGTCATTGTCGGAAGCAACAAAGTCGAATTCTTCGTGCATGAGTCGCATCTTCGTGCAAGCTCAGATTTCTTCGACACACTCATGGATGGGCCCTGGAAAGACAGTGCAACAAGGACTATCAGTCTACTTAATCTTCATCACCAGCCTTTTAGGATTTATGCCAAGTGGCTTTATAGTGGTCGATTTTATGTAAAACATACCTTTGACGACGACGATGACGACGACGAAGAGATGAATGCGTTCACCATCACTGAGGTCGACATGCTTCGAGAATGCTACGAGCTAGCCGGTTTCATTCAAGACAGCGATTTCAGAGATGCGCTGCTCGACGCCTTCATTCAACACATGATTACGCAGAATTGTGATTCATGCCTGCTTGGAGGAACGATCTATGATAACTGTGCTGCATCATCGCCCCATCGGCAGTTTATTGTCGACTTCACCATTAAGTTTTGGCATGGTACAGATTTGGAGGACCTCTCCAACGAGGGACTTTTTCCACGTGAATTTGTCAATGACTTGCTTATGGAAATGTTCTCACGCCTTAGGCGCAGGGAGCATTGGACATCTATCAGGACGTACTTCAAGGATCTCGACATTTGCAAGTACCACGAGCACTCCATGAAGAATGAGCCCTGCTACAAGACGAAGCAAAAGGGCCTTTTCTGAGCCAGCCAACAGGCACTGTATGTACCCGTCTGCCCATTTTCGTCATCTCAGCTAATTCTTTATAGACACACTAAAGATATCGACGGTATTACATACAATCAGTAGAAACGGTGGAAATCTCTAAATGATGGCATTCAGGCAGCCCGGTAGACACACATTGGCCAAGGGCGATTTCTCTCCTGGCATTCTGTAGAATAGGCTTCCAAGACTCTGAAGAATGATATGAAAATTTGCGATTCACAATATGTATTTCTTCATGGTGACGACGTGAACCTTTTTCCTGCATTCCGATACGAGAAAACCACCGCATTATGCCCGTGTCGTCCGGACCAAACAAACGCCAACGCTATGCATCTATATTCTAGCAAATACTGGCAAAACCACACTCTACAGCCACGTGCCATTTCGCGCTCAGAGAGAAAAGGTCTAAGACGACGACTTTGTGAGCAGAAACCCCACATTACACTCTGGCTGCCTCAAGACATCAAGGAAGACATCGTCATCAACAGCGACGGCCATATCATCCACGGCCTCATCCTCGCCACTCTCCTCACGCTCCTCGCTCTTCGCCATGCCCTTGAGAATGCTCGTGTCAATATGGCGGTATTCCATCAGCATCCTCAACTTGGGTAGCTTAGCAGCGCGTCTAGCCTGAATCCTCGCCTCCTGCTCCTCGATATTGACCCGACTTGCTTTCTGCAGCGTTGGCAGTTTATCTTCATCGTCATCATCATCATCCTCATCTTCGTTACCAGCATTTTCATCTTCAAGCTTGGGTTCAAGCGAGCCCCGGCCCTCACACGTACAACCCAGCAAGTCGTGCGTCTGGCATCCCTCACGCTCATCGAGGCGGAACAAGTCGCGCAGCTCGTCCTGCGAAAACGACGACGCAGACGCCTTGTTATCCACGACGGCATTCGCAAGCCCCATCTTCATGACTTGGCGCTGATAAATCTTCTCGTCGAGGCCGCCCTGCACGAGGAACCGGTATACTTTGCACGGCAGTTTCTGGCCGTCGCGGTGGATGCGCGCCATGGCCTGCAGGTCCGTCGCAGGGTTCCAGTCGATGTCGAAGAGCACGATGCGGGATGCGCCGATGAGATTGAGACCCACACCCCCGGATTTTGCCGAGAGGAGAAACGCAAACGAAGATGTCTTGGGGGACTTGTTGAATTTTTCGACGAGCGCTTGGCGTTTCGAGGCGGGCGTGCTGCCGTCGAGCCGGAGGTACGTGTATGAGATGGAGACCAGGAGGCGTTCGATCATGTCTAGCGTGGTCGTGTAGTTTGAGACAATGACGATTTTTTCGTCCGTCGTCGTGTAGATGGAATGCACGAGGCTGTCGAGCAGTCTCAGCTTTGCACTGGAAGCGCTCGAGTTGAGGATTTTGCTGGGGATAAGTGGAAGGAGGGATTGCAGCATGTCGGATGGCGTGTCTTCATTGTCCTTGGATGACTTGAGCAGAGAGGGGCTGTTGCAAACCTTCTTGAGTACGTTGATGAGCTGTAGAGCGATGTCTGTACTGCCTAGTGCAAGCCGGAATGTCGGTGAATCCAGGATGGCGCGGTAGGCTTCTGCTTGTCCTTTGGTAGGTCTGCAAAAGACGATGTGCTCGGTTTTGGGTGGCAGGTATTTCGAAAGGACTTCTGCTGTTCGCCGGATCATGAACTGGCTAGTCAAAGACACGAGTTCTTTCCACCGAGCTTCACCCTTTTCAAGTTCTGACTCGCTCGCATCAGGCTGACGACTGCGCATGATGGGCAATTCAAACGATCGCTTGAAGGCTGATCGTTGGCCCAGGAGTCCGGGATTGACAAAATCGATAGCAGTGTAGAATTCTCCGAGATCATTTTGTAGCGGAGTACCAGATAGGATAATGCGTCGTTCCGTGTTCAGAGACTGGATAGCAAGCATCGCTTTGTTGTTGGCTGTCTTTAGTCTGTGACCCTCGTCTGCAATGACAATGTCGATACTGCCCTTCTTCAGATCCTCTTGCACAATACGCAACATCTCGTATCCGACAATCATGATGTTGTAAGACTTGCCCATTGTGAAATTGGCAATCTTCTTGTTCTTTGCATCTAGGACGAATACACCAACTCTTTCATTGCCGAGCCACTTACGGAACTCACGTTTCCAGTTGTCGACCAGTCCAGCGGGACAGACGATGAGGGCTTTCTTTATGACTGGAGAAGACTCGTGTATTGGGTTTTGCTTGAGCAGTGTCCAGAGAAGCGTGATGGTCTGCAGTGTTTTACCCAAGCCCATTTCGTCGGCCATGATTGCGCCCTCGCCCTCGCATCGCATACCCATGACACACTCGTAGAGGAACTGTACACCCTCGCGCTGATGGTCGCGGAGATGCTTGCTGAGGACTGGGTCAACAACTACATCAACGATTTGTTTTCCCTTGGGGCAAGAGTCGGGTCTCTTCATAATGAGGGCGTTGGGCGCATTCGGATCATGGCGCGGCTGTGGAATCGACGGGTTGCGTTGTGGCATTACGGTATTGGATAGCAAAGGTGCCTTGAATTGTTGCTTGCGTTGGGCAGAAGGCTGGTACTCTGGTACTGTCTCCCCACTATCGGTGGCTTCGGCTTTCTTATTCGATTTTGGTTTGACCGAAGACAGAGGCTTGTATCCTGGTTCAGGACGCTTTCGTTTTTCTACCGGGGCAGCTGCCGCCGTGCCCAGAAACATGCGTCCAGCAAGATAATCTGCCTTGTCCATAGAACCTTCAACCTCGAGCTCTTTGCCACCAATCGAAAGCGTAGAGCCGGGAAGTAGAGGTCGACTGCACCCTCCCTTTCCCAGCTCCTTTCCTGTCTCGCTATCTGTGAGAGTCGCATAACCGCCCACCACGGCAAGTACGCCGTCACCATCCCATGTCTTGTTCTTTTTGGCTGTGAATTTCCGCCATAACACCGTATAGTAGTTTCCTTCGAGGCCTGGGGGTAAGAATTGCGCCGGCGCGGGATTGTTCAGTGTGTTGAGTGGCTGGCGATTGCCTGAGAGCGCATTGGACGAGATCCTTCGCTTCTTGTTTGGCGGCTCACTACCGTCGATACGGGGGCGCGAGAGGGTAAGAGGCCGGAAAGGCTTCATGGTAAGAGGATTTGGTTAGTCAGGGCATCTCGCAAACCGAGATGGTTGTTTTGGTGGCGTTGGGAGTTGAGGCGAAGAGTGGAGAACGCGACGCGCCAAGCAAAACGCGGTCGTGCGTTATCACGTGATGTTATCTACCCATGATGTTGCTTGACTGGTACTGATAGCTGCTCCGTGAATCTTACACATATATGGAAATGACTTTGAGTGCATTCTCACGCACGATAGAGGCAAGACGTCCGCAAGCATATCATTTCTTCTCAATATTTCATATCTTGGATCTGATGACCCACGTCTTGTACCCTAGAGCCGATGTTGGACGTATGGTGATTCATAGACGATATTATAAATTTTGTAGCTTCACTTGGGACGGTTTCATAGTCAATTCTCTGGTACAAGTCATCAGAGGTGCATGGACGAGATCAAATTTCTGGATCGTCCAGTGAGCCCGGCCTTGCAGTCCACTCCGTCGTGGCTTTGCCGTGGCATCTCTTGATATTCCCATTTACCAATTGACCCCGTTTTGGTTGTTTCACATCTATCACCTCCTCTTGTGGCAGCTTTCAAATCTCGCCTTGTTGGGCGAAGGGTGTGCATGTCATCAGCCACCGAGGTCTTAAATTGATTGCATATTGTCTGCGTACGTCCGGTAGACGAGAACATCCTCCTTCAGTTTTTTAGAAGCATATCAAGAAAGCAGGGCTTGATGAGCTAGAAAGTATTCTTCCTTGCCCACAACCGGCGCATGCTCGTCAGCCAATCAATACCACCAACAATGATGGGAGCATTTCAAATGCATAATCCGAATAGACCGATATAAAGAGCAGCATGCACAGAGCTATGTGGCCCGATACCGATTGTAGATAGTATTCGTGTATCCGCATGCTAAAGTAGCTAGGTTCAAACCACGAAAGCATGGTTGAAATACTGGTAAAAGCAATGTCGCAAATGGCCGCCATCAGTCCTGGGCAGCACTCGAAAACTCCCCTTTGTAGTACTACGACTATTAGCTAATATTAATATGCGCCACAGATATGGGGTCAGACTTTCAAAAAGGCCGCACTTACCTCGGACACATTCTTGGCCAGCTTTGGATCCCTCAACTTGGATTTTGCGGTCGGTATGGTCCAGTTGTTGACGCCCCACCACCATTTCCGTATCTGCGCGCCTGCACTTTGTCCACTGAATTTTGTTGACCGGTTCCAATGCCGCCAGCCGTTGAGTACGAGGGTCCAAAGTACGCCCTGAGCAAAACACATTATGACCTATTATCGTCAGCATGCGTGTCGCCCTGCTGATAACAGGCCCATGGTACCTGGTCCCGCAGTGTAATCCACAAAACACCTTTCCATCCCTGTGCATGCTCAATGCTCTTCAGATAACTTTGCTCGAAGCGCAGGTCTGGCAGCGGGGGCATGGCCTTTCGTCGCGGCAACGGGTCCAGTATGCTGAGGGGAATCTCATCTTCGCCAACGTCCGAAGCATCGGGGTCGGGGTGCTGATTGAGCTTGACAGGCTGCCTCTCGGAGGCGGCGGTCGATGGGTTCACGTCGTGGTGCGGCGATGGATGGCGGTTGATGGACGCGCCCTGCAGCACGGAGCCGATTTCTGCGGGTATGTCCGAGTCCATGGCCGTCTGAATGTGCGAGGTGTGGAAATGGACGTGCAAGGCAAAGCAATGGTGTAGTGAAGATGGAGGCTTGGCAGTTGACGTCGGGCGTGCCTGCGTCTAGCGCAATGGACCCTTGGTGGCGGCGGGACGTCGAAGTCGCAGCATTGGCATTGGCACGGCGAGACACCCAAGCAACCCCACAACGACCGGGACACGACCACACCTCCCTACTCACCGACCACACACCGCATCCCGCCGCCCACCACTCGCCAAAATGGGTAACCAACAGTCAGGGCTGCTCGACAACATAGCCTCGGGCTCGAATTGTACGCAGCCGCCCCAAAAGAAGGTTTGTCTGTGAGACAGGAAACGCCTGCTGACAGCATGCAGTCGACCGCGAGGAGGTTGACCGCCTCAGGAAGCGATTCATGAAGCTTGACAAAGTGCGCCCCCGGCATCGCACCCACCGCCCGCGCCACCAAGGCTAACATGGCTCCAGGACAACTCGGGAACCATTGAGCGCGACGAATTCCTGGCCCTCCCCCAGATCTCCTCGAACCCCCTCGCAACGCGCATGATTGCCATCTTCGACGAGGATGGCGGCGGTGACGTCGACTTCCAGGAGTTTGTCTCTGGCCTCTCGGCCTTCAGCAGCAAGGGCAACAAGGAGGAGAAGCTGCGCTTCGCATTCCGCGTGTACGACATTGATCGCGACGGCTACATCAGCAACGGCGAGCTCTTCATAGTACTGAAAATGATGGTTGGAAGCAACCTGAAGGACCAGCAGCTACAGCAGGTGCGTATGCGCGCAAAGGACGAGCGCAACACGCTCTAGGACGGTACTGATCCATCGCAGATTGTCGACAAGACCATCATGGAGGCCGACCTGGACCGCGACGGCAAGATCAGCTTCGAGGAGTTTACCAAGATGGTCGAGAACACGGATGTCTCTATGAGCATGACCCTGGATCAGTTCTAAGCGCTGTTTCTCTTCACAAATGCAACAACATTCCTGATACGAGGATTTTCTTGGCGAGGCGTTCACGGTTCTGCAGGCACACTTGGGAACAGGCTTGAAAGTATTTGATATTCATCAATCCAGGGCTTTGACCCTGAACATGAGCAAGACGTATTTGGGTGCTGACCTTAACACGAGGCATCTGTGCAGCTCATTGAGTGTATGTATCACTATGGAAGAGACCAAAGCGACCCCTCCACAACACAAGAGATACCCCCCTCGACCTTTGCTTTAGCCATCAAACTATAAATGCGATTGTCTCTGTCATTGCCGATGGGCAATTTTTGAGGTCTTGGACCATACACAATTCTTTCCCCAATACCATGTCGTAAAATCCAAATTCATCTAGCATTCCACGAGCTTTTGGCCTCCAGTGTCAGGACCGAAACTGCGAAGAAAACGAGCAAAACCATTGGCCTTTGGCACAAGACTTTGAATTACGCGAGATTTATGGCAGCCGTTACAATATCCATTGGCTGACCTGGTGAGTATTCTAGTAGCTTGTACAATGCTCAGTCTGACACGCTCCCTGAGCGTCACTTTACAAAATCAAAACCACACCACGCTCCATGTCGAACGCGAGCTAGCAGCGCAGTTGCTTTACATAATATCCGCAAGGACATTCAGCAAGACTTTGTTCTCGATACGACAGCCTTCAGTTGGCGTGGCACCGTGTCTATATCTTACGCGAAGTCTAAAATCCAAGTCTTTAGCAGTGTACCCTTTTGGGTTACTCTTGAGAATGAGCGAAAAAGCCCATGAACAGAGTGTCGTCGTGCTTGACACATTTTCCTCTGTGACTGGATTGCTGAATGCCTGTGCCATCAAAGAATCCATAGTCAGCTGATTCAAGGGCTCGATGCAGATAGCCTCCTCAACTGGCTCTAAGGCCGATATTGGGGCCCCAGGGAAGTCAAAGTACTCCCATGGCGGAGATGCATGTTCCCGAGTGGAAGCTAGATGTGTCTGTTGTGAACCTGAGGCAATTGGCACTGGGCAAATTGTATGATTGGCCGCGTCCTCGCAGGATGTAATCTTTGCCGATTGCAGCTTCTCGAAGTCAGACCACAGCACAAAACATAGCATTATGGGATTTGAATACCTGAATCGCTGGCAGAGTAGGAACATTGTTGAGCCATTCATTTAGCTGAGCACCTTGATCATTACCGAGCGCCGGCCAGGACATGTTTGGGGCAGCAACCGCCGCATTACAATAAGCCTCGAGAAATTCATCGCGCAACCCCAGAGACTACAGAAGCCGCTTCAGCAGCCTGTTTTCCGTGGTGAGCGACTCAATTTGCTGATTGGCTCTGTGTTCGATGCCAACGTCTTCATATTGACGGATCTGGTCCTCGAGCCTTGCAATGTATTCCTTTTGTCGCGCGCGACACCGCCGTTGGTTGTTGCGGACGCGCTCAAGATCTACAGCCTGTTCTTTACGATCTACATCTCAGCAGCACCATGCGTTGCCAGAGCCTACGTACCTTTCCTTTCCGAGCCGCTCTGTGGTTACTGGTCCTTGTTCTCGGCTTCGGCGATGCAGGCGATGGTTGTTTGAATGACATACTGACGAGTGTCTACGTACTGCCCACTCTTATTTCCAGTGAAAAAGAAGGATGAATATTTGTTCAGAGAGTTGAGACGAGGGACGTTTCGCACATGATGAATGTCATGAAGCCGTGTCGTATCGTCGCTTGTCAAGGTGCCAAGATCAACCCAACTTGGGTTGTCTAGCTCCAGCCCTCGTGACCTAGATAACGAAACTTGATTTATCAATCAGGGGAGTACACTGGAATTTCTGATGCTGCTTTAGAGCTTTTTAGGGTAAATCAAATGTTTCGACATCACTGTGCTGTCTATGTCGTACACAATAGCATGACTATATTGTCGAAAAGACGCACCATAAACATGTTTACTAAGTTGCATTGATCAGATAGAACAAGCGGGATGAGTTTTTAACATGGTTCAGGATAATATTCCATTTTTGGATCTGGTTGGGATACGAATTCACTCACGATATCTCCCCGGCCAAAGTATACCTTTCTCAAGGCTGTATAGTCAGTGATCTTGCCTATGGTCTTCACATTCTCGGAAGAACTGGACCTAATCTAGTCCAGTGGCACAGTACTTCGTTTATATATTCTTCAAGTCAATAATATAAACCATGAAGCGAATGGGTTTATATTTGGAGATACTAAGTCAAGTCATTTCGTGATAGGCGATTCTTCACTCGGCGCAGTTGAAACATGAACCCACTCGCAATTACATATGCAAGTCCAGCAAATATTTGAGTGTGAAGATATTGACGAGAGGAAGAAGGTTGTCGAAGTGATAATGCGACGCCCTCAGAGACTACCCATTGCTGTTAGCTGGGAGATTACAAGCGAGTTTAGTATCCCAATCGTGGCCTACCAGTAGTGGGAACTATAACTGATGCCCAAGACAGAGATAGCAGCGATTGCAAGTTTGTTATCCCAGCAACCTCGACGCAGAGCGGGCCTATAGTCTTCACAAGGCGGTATCAGTACAGGTGCTGTGCAAACATGAGATGAAAAAGGCCAACGTACCATCCAGAAGACCCCAACGATATCCCCATATATGATCGCAAAGAACACAGTAAGTGCGAACGACGTAGCCGGCAGCCAAAAGCCAAAGCATGCAAGACCACATAACAGTGTCAGAACACCTGCTAGATTGATACGGCCCCATCGGTCACTAAATATACCAATAAATGGTCGTCCGACTGCCGTGCCTACATTTAACAACCCTATCACGCTGGTAGCCTGGGCCCTAGTGAGGCCTATAGATAAAGCAAAATCGGATAAGGAAAAGAGAAGGACAATATACCCTAGCATGCTAATGAAGGCCCAAGCAAGCAGTAGCAGCACATCATGACGTCTGAGGAGCTTGGTGTCAAACCCCAGCTGAGAAGGTTGGATGATGTGGTTTCGGTCCCGTATTACAGTTACCGCAGCGAGATTGGCAACAAATGCAATGACTCCGGTGATGCGTAGTGCCCAAGCGACAGTGAAACGCTGAATGATAGCCTCAGTGCCCCACGCAAAGGCAGCTCCGCCGACCCCAGAACCTGCAGCGCTAACTCCATTGGCTAAGCTGCGTTTTTCAAGGAACCATTGTGAGATAATGGGAAGGCTGGGGACATATAAGAAGCTGATGCCACAGCCAATAAGAATGCCCTGGCAGATGTGCAGCTGCCATACCTGAGTTGCAAAAGAGGCCGCGATGAAGCCGCTGCTTTGGAAGACTAAGCCGAATATCATCGTCATGTGTATTCCAAGATTCCGGGCAAGGATAGTAACGCCCGGTGCGATAAGCATGGCTATGGAGAAGTTGAAGCCGCCAATGAAGGCGTAGTCCCAGGTAGATGCATCTGGGAAGATGTCTTCGACTGGGTAATGCGAGAGATAGATGCCGTATGCCTAGATAAATCAAGCTGTAAGACTACTGATTGCGAAAGTAGATTCCGCGGTCGAAACACATGCAGGATTCAACCTGAAGACATCGAAGAAGACGCTTTTCAAGACTGTAGACTTACTGAAACCGTGCCCCACGTAAAGCAATTAATCGTGAAGCAGGCACCTACACATACCCAGCCGTATCCACCATCTGGAGGGACGTCTTCTCTTCGACCGTCATCCTCGCTCATCTCACTGAACTCGTTTGTGGTCGCGCATGGTGGATAAGCGGCTTGAGAGGCCATTTGACTTACCCAAATGAATTGAGAAGGGAAGCAGAATCAAGCATTCTGTTGTTCTTGAGACGTTAAAGTAGTCTTTGTTTACAATTTGTCACTCGCTCGACGTAGCATGTCGCTTTTGCAGCATGCGTGACGTAGTATGCGGCTGGCTTGGCAGGTACTTTGCATAGCGGGGGTGGCTGTGTACGAGAGGAAAACCTTTATGCGCGAGTTCTTTCAATGTTTAATTTCACACATGAGGAAATTATTCGATGGGGGCTGTCGGCGCATCGAAAAACACTGCCTGGTGTTCGAGCACGAGCGAATACTCCCAACTGATTACATATTGCTCAGGGATATTTGCTTGTTCGTCTCTGGCAACGTCGATTTCTCGTTCTCAATCCTCTTTCCATCCCTCTCGCTGTATCAATCACCGAAAAAATCAGAGTATGGCCGCAATCTTACCGTGTAATTGACGAATTCGTGTCTGCAATCAATCAATTTGTCCCTGTTGCTGCTCGGCATGAGCCTACTGCCCCCTTTATCTACATTCTCATCTGTGAATTGTGTACAGGCCATCGGGCTTGAGCTTTGAATTGGAGTGGTGAAGATATATCTCCATCGTCCCAGAATACGCAGCGAATTTACTGTATTGAAAGACTGAAATCCGCCGCAGACTTGCGCGATTACTAAGGCACAACCTTGAGTTGGCCAAACAGAAACGGTATCCAGTCAATTACATTCTTAAAAACGGCAGTCTACACAGCAAAAACTTGGTAGGCAAGCGCAAAGCACAGAAGAGGAGTCACTGTAGATGATGAGATATCGAAAAGTTTTCCATGCTGTTCGGGACTTATCCAGACGGGGTCATCGCTCCACTTGCTAAGGTCCCGTGATTCTTGTACATTGGGGTGCAAATGCTGCACGATGCCTTTTACAGGTAGTCCTGTAGAGTCATAGACGCGAAAATCGCAACCGAGCCGGAAGAGTATCCGAATAGCTTCGAATGCCAGCAGACGTGAATAGAACCTGCACTTGATCAGCCCCATTCACAAGCAGCTCGTTCACTATCTACTGTTTTCGACTGTTGCCATATAAGACAAGCACCTTCAACCTGCCGCCTCTAATCTAAATCATGATATGAATATTGAGCATCTAGCAGGAAGTGTCGATACGTTTTGCGAACCGCGACATCGTCTCAGGCAGCAGAGATCGCAAACGAGACGTTGCGGCAGGCTGGATCTATCGCAATTGCGGCTCGAAACATGCTCCACTGCTCTATTGTTCCAATCTCCATTCACTATTGTGCTCTTCGAACAAAAGAATCATTGAGAGACATTTGCGTTACTAGATTAATCTGCTCTTCGAACCGATCAATCTATAGGTATATGGATTTTTTGCACAGCTGAGAGAACAGACCATCAATATAGAAGACGTATATGATACCTATTTCGAGTACCGCTGCAACGATCCATGTCCAGAGGGGCGGTTCAGAAACCCATGCATGTCGATGCCAAGCCGGCAGTATGTCACTGGATGCATATCATTCGTTGGACGAGTGGCTGAGTACTTAAGCCGTGCGTCGCTAGCGGCTTGCGAAGGGCCAAGCAAGCATCGCTGTTGATACTTCACTCTGGCCGACTCTTCTCCAAGTCCTTGTCTCCATCAGAAGGCTGGCGATACGAAATATGTACATGCATCATCAGATGGGCTTTTCAATGCATTCCGCGATTGGCTATAAAACACCAAACCAATGTCGCTCCTGGTATACAGTTTACAAACTGCCAACCTAATTGATCCAAGAACTCATGTAATGCGATTTGTTTTTGTTTTCATCATTGATTACGCATTTGGAAATGGCGGCACTCTGATCTAGTATAACATTGCTGCTAAACGAGCTGAACTTTCACAACCAAACTTGGGCATTGTATTCAACCATGCACTTAATATACTCATCACCCGCCGTTGCCCATCCTTTGACGCCCTCGAGAAGGACAAGGCTCTTCATATGATCGTCGTTTTGGTCTGCAATGTAGTCGGCAAACCACCCAGCGGCACGAGTGCCACGACCCTTGGAAGAGGCTTGATTATGCAAAACACTTGTCAGTCTTACAGACACAATGGAGAAGAAGCACTGGCTACAGGCAAGCTTGCTGCCAGCTGGCGGGAGAGAACATACAGCAATACCAAATTATCTTACAAAGACCTGAATCCTTGAACAGCTTGTATGCAATCGGTAGGGTAGGGTATAAGCTTTCAGCGGGAAGGTTGATCGAGTGCTGGATAGTGCCACCCTGTTTTATTCAGCCTTTTGAACCGAGCCTGAAAGTAGTAGTTCACACTACATACCTGGCAGTCATTGCGACGCAAATCGACGAGAATATAGTCTTTGCTGGTAGTCTCTGTGCTCCGTTTCATCATGTCGAGGACCTCTTCCCGACAAATAGAGGCAGGGCTGGTTTTGGGTGCTGGGTAGGCAACATGCCATAGAGGTGTATTGCTTGTAGTAGCCATGGTGTGTTGAAACCTGCAGAATCTACGAGATGCGAAAAAAGGAGTCGTGCGAATTGCGCTTGGAAGCATTGTGACTATTTGTAAGAGCAGGTACCTGTATATATTTGGACTAAGTTTGTTACAATATGTCACTGCTAGACGATCATTGGCTGGGGTTTTGGCTTGTGATGTAACGTGCGTACGCACTGTCTTCAGTTGTACGGTAAAACTGAATATAAAATGAGACTATCGTTGGATATACCGATACTCAGACAGGCCATTGCAACAATTCAGCCTTTCGCAACAACAGGTTCCCAACGACGCTCTTCAGTAAACATTAAGTATGGCCTTACCTACCGTGGAAGAATCACACTTTGCCCAGAACGAACCGGTCGCCTCCAACAGGGATGGTGCCCCTGGGCAACGTCTGCTCGAAGAGCAAGTAGCTGTCGAGAAGGGCTCCGTAATCAAAGGACTAGGATTGCTTGATCGATTTCTCGCCGTGTGGATCCTACTTGCTATGATTGTCGGAATACTGCTAGGAAATTTTGTTGAAGAGACAGGTCCAGCACTCCAAAAGGGCAAGTTTGTCGGCGTTTCCGCACCCATCGCTCTAGGGCTACTCGTTATGATGTATCCTATTCTTTGCAAAGTTCGCTACGAGACGTTGCATCATTTATTTCGAAGCCGCGCTCTCTGGATCCAAATCGGATTCAGCATCCTTATGAATTGGATCGTCGCCCCACTCTTCATGGTACGTACCCAGCCAATTTTACTCTAGCTTCTACTTACTTACATGATATAGCTCGGTCTTGCTTGGGCCTTCTTACCTGATGAAAGCGACCTTCGTACAGGACTGGTATTGGTCGGACTAGCGAGATGTATCGCCATGGTATGTTTATTGAACGCTGTTGCTTGCATACAACGAGGCTCACGCTCATCGTCAGGTTCTGATCTGGAACGGGCTGTCCGGAGGCGATAATGAGTATTGTGCCATCCTGGTAGCTGTGAACTCTATCCTCCAGATGATACTCTATGCCCCACTTGCCATTCTTTTCATCCGGGTTATCGGCCATGAAAGTGGCGCTGTTGCCGTATCTTACGAGATGGTTGCAACAAGCGTTGCAGTTTTCCTTGGAATACCTTTAGGTGCTGCTATCCTGACACGATTTGTACTACGGATGTTGGTCAGCCCGGAATGGTATGAACAGACATTTCTGAAGTGGCTAGGCCCGTGGTCACTCATCGGCCTCTTGTATACCATTCTCGTTCTCTTCGCCTCCCAGGGTCGCCAAGTTGTCCACCAAATCGTCTCCGTCGTTTGGGTTGCCGCGCCGCTCATCGTTTACTTTGTTGTCATATTCTTCTTCACATTGTTTGTGTGTAACCAGCTTGGGTATGGATACAAGTTAGGGGTAACACAAAGTTTCACAGCTGCAAGTAATAACTTTGAGCTCGCCATCGCCGTCGCCGTCGCCACATATGGTCCTAACAGTGATCAAGCACTTGCTGCTACGGTGGGTCCGCTTATAGAGGTACCTGTACTTATAGGACTTGTCTATCTTGTGCGATGGATGGGCAGCAGATGGGCTTGAAAGAAGAACTAGCTTATGAATAGTACATGGCGATTGAGAATAAGCAGAGGATCAGGAAGAAAGGAATATCTTGCAAATATGGATCTTGAAATGATTTTTTTCCTAGTTGAGTTGAATTGAATTGAACGCGTGAGTGAAGTCCATCTCCAATACGATGACTGACATCCATGTGAACCCTTCTCCTAGCTACTATCGAAAAGCGGTGACATCGTCATGTGTTCGCGTCTATCCCTTCAAGGCCCGCTTCGAAATAATATTTCCGCCAAACCTTGCCTTCATAGCTAGCCACGTCCCCGGCTCCTTATGAAGACGCGTCAGAAAACCCTCCACATCCCTCTTGATGAAACGCAGACTTCCAAGCATTGCATCCGCGCTCTGAGACATACTCTTCAGCTCGTCACGGATATGTTCCTCGGCCATACCGCCATCATAGGAAAAGATCTCATGCATTTCGTGGTACGCATGTATGTCTTGACCGGCACCCTCCATGAGTGCATCCAGGTCCTGCGGCAGACTACCGACGCCACTCACACAGGGGTCCGACAGTTTCTGAAACAGATTCTGGTAAATCTGCAGCATTTGGAATGCGCGGCCGAAGAAGCGATTCAGCGGCGAGATTTCGCTCGCAACGACATTGTACAAGAGCTCCATTTTGCGCAACAGCACGCCCTTGTCGTTGAGCAGGGACGCCGCTGTCGTGTTTTCGCATTCCAATTTTTCAACGAGGTTGGAGAAGACTTCGCTGAAGGCTTCGCTTTCGGTTTCAACCACAGATGCGTGCGATTCCAACTCTGCGAGCCTGGCCTCGATGGCGGCCATAGCTTTTACATCTTCAGCTCGGAGACTGGCGAAGATTTCAGCCGCGCGTTGGTTCTCGTCCTGCAGCTGACGAATGGTGGATTCTTGGTTCATCAGCTCGCGTTGTAGATGCTCGTTTTTGGCTAACAGCTGGTCATTCTTGGCTGATAGTTCGCTGGCTGTAACTTGATTCTTTGTCGCTAGGGCGAGACTGCTTTGGTAGCGCTCTGCGCGACGCCGAGAGTCTTGTGAAAGCTCTTGGTAGTAGTTGATTTGGTGCCGGGCCTGATTGAGGTCGACTTCGCAGTTCTCGATATCGTTAATTTTGGCAGCTAGTATTTCTTCGCTGGCTTTCAGTGACGTTTGCAAGGCTGCGTTCGTGGCTTGCAGGTCTTTCTCGCGAGCCTCTAATTGTTCAATCAACTCTTGCGCTTCCTTGAGCTCATTTGTCGCCCGGAAATGAATCTGCACCTCCTTTGGGACAATCTGTTCCATCTCGTGGCCTTGGGCTCTCGCATCGGAAATGAGTTGGGCGATTTGCCGTTGCAAATTCTCCTGGTAAGTCATGGTAGACGTAGAAGCAGTCATGCTGAGTCTTTTCAAGTTGGATGCAACCCGGATCTGACAAGAAGGAGGAAAAGAGATATATTAGATATATCTTACAAGTACACATCGCTTGACATTGTGCAAAAAGTAGCGCGTGGCTGCCTACAGTCTCTACAAACAATGTGTGTAGGGGCGTTTTCACACATGGTTGGTTGTGAAACCCAATAGGTAGTCTGTGAAGGTTGCTGCATTGTAAGTTCATGTTGGATTGACTATGTCTCAGACAGTGATTGCCACGTGATCTCGAAATGATCAACTGGGATGCTTGCTCTGAATAACAACACCTAAGCCCAATCTGCAAGTTGCATACTATACACATCCTAGATTTTCGACTACCTCGAGATAACCAAGGGCTCCATTCATTGAGATTGGATCAACTAAGTAACTATATTCTGGTAGCGCTGTGTTGTAACGCTGATTATGGAGAAACGTTCAGCAACACACGATAAACTTGCATTTTTTATTTTGCAAATTTCAGCCTTCGATAACACATCCAAAAAAAAGATATCTTGAGCAAAAGGTTAGTACATTACGAGGGAGAGAGATGATAGGTCACACTAGCACAAGCTTTCCTGCGTACTACCGGGATTCATGGGGACAAGGGCGACAGGCGGGCCCAGGTAAACTCCACTTCCTAGTTTACACATGCTCAATAAACCTTAACAGCTTCCCCTTGGCATGAAGTAAGCTGTTTGAATAGTCTGTTCTAAAATCCTACCCACTCACATAAATTTGCTGTGCGTTTGTTAGATACACAGCAGCATGTCAAGATACCAGTGACGTCACGCTCCCCCCACCCTTGTTCAGCCAAGCATTGTATGCTTCGACGACATCCCAACATGGCATCGCCATGTCTTCCCGAGCGCCATACAACTCCGATTGCCCTCAGACCTAGTGCAGAAAGCTAAATCGGCTATGTCTCGATAATTGAGATATCTGTCGCCCATATCCTTTTGTGCACCTGACAACCGACGAGGAAGTACGGCTCCTCCAGCAGCGTGGGAGACAAAAGTACTCAGAACACCCAATTAGTACCGATATGAGGACATCCAATTTCAGCATCCTCGCTCTCTGTGCAGTTTTAACGACAGCATGCGATGTGGCGCATAACAACACCTACGTCCTGGACGTCAGCGCGCTCCAGCAACCGTTTCCATTCTTTTTCCCGCCCCAGGAGGCAGTAGACACAAGCGCCCTGTTCCCCATGCCTAAGTGCAAAGGCTTGACGCTGGAAGAAGCCAGCATCGACCAGATCCAAGGGTATCTAAGCAGCGGCATGCTGACGTCAGTCGAGCTGCTGAAATGCTACCACGATAGGATATTGCAGGTAGACGAGTACATCAACTCCATCATGGAGCTGAACCCAGACGCCGGGGCCATCGCAGCTGCGCTCGACGCAGAGCGTGCAAAGGGCCGTGTACGCGGTCCTCTCCACGGCATACCGTTCCTCGTCAAAGACAACATTGCCACCAAAGACCGCATGCAAACGACGGCGGGCAGCTGGATGCTGTTGGGAAGCGTGGTGCCCCGTGATGCGCATGTTGTGGCCAAGTTACGCGAAGCCGGTGCGCTTCTCATGGGCAAAGCCACACTCTCTGAATGGGCCGATATGCGTTCGAATAACTATTCTGAGGGCTACTCTGCAAGAGGCGGACAGGCCAGGAGTCCGTACAATTTGACTGTCAATCCTGGTGGAAGCAGCACGGGCAGCGCAACAGCCGTGGCAGCGAATATCGTGCCGTTTTCCCTAGGCAAGGTGGCTGTGTGACTGCTTCTAGGTGTCTGGTTCTAACAGTGCATAGGCACCGAGACCGACGGCAGTGTCATCAATCCCGCCGAACGCAACGCTCTGGTAGGCATAAAACCCACAGTGGGCCTCACATCGCGAGCAGGCGTCATCCCAGAGAGCATCCACCAAGACACAGTCGGCACGTTTGGACGAACCGTCCGCGACGCTGCCTACGCCTTCAATGCCATCTACGGCGTCGACGCACGCGACAACTACACGCTCGCCCAGCAAGGCCACACACCCACCGGCGGCTACATGCGCTTTCTCACCGACCAATCCTCGCTGAAAAACACTACTTTCGGCCTCCCCTGGCACAGCTTCTGGGTGCACGCCGACGCCGCCCAGCAAGCCCACCTGCTCTCTCTCATCTCCTTTCTGGAAACCGCCGGCGCCACCATCCTCAACAACACCGAACTGCCCAACTACAAAACCATTGTCTCGCCCTCGGGCTGGGACTGGGACTACGGCACCACCCGCGGCCACCCCAACGAATCCGAATACACAGTCGTCAAAACAGACTTCTACAACAACATCCAGACGTACCTGTCTGGCCTCGAGAACACCAGTATCCGCTCCCTGGAAGACATGGTCGCGTACAACTACGCCAACGACGGCACCGAAGCAGGATATTCCTGGCCGCGCGGCCATCCGGCTTTTTACTCTGGCCAAGACGGGTTTCTGGCTTCGCTACGCACAAAGGGCGTTATGGATGCGACGTATCATGCTGCGCTGGCGTTTACACGGCACAGTGCGCGCGAAGCGGGGATTGATGCTGCGCTGGCGAATGAAGGGGGTCCGAGGCTGGATGCGCTGCTTGTGCCGCCCGATGTAGGACAGTCGTACCAGATTGCTGCGCAGGCTGGGTATCCCGTGGTTACGCTGCCGGCGGGCGTGCATGCGAGTACCGGGATGCCGTTTGGGCTTGCGCTCATGGGGACGGCGTGGAGTGAGGCGGTGCTGCTGAGGTGCGCGAGCGCTATTGAAGATGTCGTCGTACGCAGTGGGCATGGGAGCACTGGCAAGATGGGACGCTCGCTGCCGAAATGGCATGGCTACCTCGAAAGGAATGTACCAGTCAGAAATATATGAGTAAGAATAAAGGGGGAATCTCAGTTGTGAAAACCAAAAAATAATAAAGGGTTATAATTATCTCTATATGTATCTTTTCAGAAAACACCTCTTATTATACGACGGCGTAGGCTTAGTGTGTGCATGACATTTTTCTAAACCTAGAAGATATCCTCCAACCCAGCATCGGCCCACGCCATCTCGCCCTTTGCCACACGGTCACGAATCTTCCAGTATTCGTGGTTGAAAATCCAGTACTCCTCGCCCGTGATGTCGCACCTTCCCTTTGAAAACCATCTTGGCGTGAATTCTTTGCCCTCGGCCTCGCGCTGCCGCCTGGTAGCACGCTGCTTCTCCTCGACGCGGTTCTTTTCCGTGGCAGCAAATTCGTACTCACCGTCTTCCATGGCACGCTGATCGGGCCGGAGTCGCGTGTCTGTTGGTGCAACAATCGGGCGCAGTTTGTCGGGAATGGCATTGAGGGTCACCACAAAAGGCGTCAGATTGAAGGGGATGTTGTTCGGGCGGTCGTTGGCTTGCCAGACAAGGAAGGCTTTGTTATCGTCATGTTTGGACGCCTTGCCACCTTGGTCGATGTTGGCATCCTCAAAGCCAGGAGTGAACCTGGCGTAGATCTTGTCATTCCATCGTCCACCGATGCTCCAGCGGACCCTGTTTTCTGCATCCAAGACCTTGCCAACTACCTGGTATGCAGAAGAGGCCTTCCAGCCACGGGGCTTGAAGTCGAGTATGCATTTCTCGCCCGTCGTCCAGTTGGTGATTTCCATGGGACCATAGTTGTCGATGACAGGGTTGCCAGTAATGATGCCAATGACGGACGAGGTCACCTTCTTCCAGGTATACATCTCCTCCTTTCCGCCAGTCGCGGTAGGCCGTAACCGCAGGAACCAGGTACCAAGTGGGTTAATGTCAAAAGATTTGCCGTAGAACTTTGACTTTACCGCAGATTCGCCCTGATAATTGTCAGATGGTGCTGTGATGTCTGTTTTCGACACTTACGTAGTAGTCCCACTGCTTCGACTCGGCAAAGGCAGCACCAATTGGTGGATGGTGGCTGACCTGCTCAATGAAAAAGCGGTAGCCCTTGTCCGGCCTAGCATACTCATATGTCTCAGCAAGCAGAGGGTTGAAAGGCTTTGCAACACGTCCAATAGTCGATGCGTATTCTGAAGCGGCAAATGCAGCAATATAGAGCAGACGCTCGGTCGAGTCGGCTCGTTGAGCAGCGGTGTCGAGGAGGTCGGTGTATTCCATGTCCTCCGCCACACGTTGAAGCAGCGAGGTTGGCTCGTTGAAGGATACTGGCAGAGTCATCTTGGTCATGTCCTTGCCAATCATAGACTTGAGAATGCCCTGACCAGCCGTTAGTATTGCACAAAGTAGCTGTCAAATCAACATACCCAAAGTGAAACCTTTGGTCTATCGTCTGCATCCATAGTCAGGCGTTTTCGTGGACCGTCCTCGTATCCTGCCCATGCTGTGGCTATATCCAAAGACCTCTTCTCAAATAGATCGTCAGCAGAGACTGGGACGTCCACTTGCTCGGTGTGAGAGGTGCTGGGCCGGGGCATCTCCACAACCTCGACTTCTCCGGCACCAACAGCATCAAAGAACTCATCATCCTCTGACTCTGTGTCGGAGATGTCGGCTGCGATGTCAGCAAAAGTGGCCTTTCTCCTGACCTGCTGAGCTTTGGCAGCTGCTCCCGGGGGCGCCAACAACTCGTTTTGCTGTGCAGCATTCTCAGCAGCATCAGCAAACTCATCCTTCTCTTCCTTGGCTGGCGTGCCAGGCTCGCTCTTTTCATAGTCTTGCAGCGCTTCTCGTAAGGCCTTTTTCTGCTTTCGGCGCTTTTCCTCCGACTCGCCGTACCTATTCTCAAGCTCTTCCTGCTCCTTGGCGACCTTGGCCATGCTCTCTTCCCACATGCGACGCACGTTAGCCTCACGATCCAGCCGGTACTGCCAGTAAGCGTCGCGGTCCCTAGAGATTCTGAGTAAATCACCGATAAGGCCTTTGAGGTTACCAATGGCTGATTCGTACGAGGCCACCGCTTGCACCATGATGGGATCGGAAATCTGCATGTTTGGTGATCGCTCCTTTTCTTTTTGCAGCGCTACAGAAACCGAAGTTAACAAATCCAGCTGCAGCTTTGCCGACTGTGCTGTGATGTTGAAGGCATCCTTGCTCTGAGGCTTCATCTCGTGACTACTCGTATCGTCCCCATAATCGTCGTCATCGTCATCGTCGCCACCAGCGGTAGCTGGACCCATTTGGCTGACCATTCTGTCCAGGCCCTGGCTGTGCATGCTAGGCTCGTAGGTGCTTCCAGGGTCCTCCGTGACACTGACCGCAGTACGAGAGGATGTGGCATCAAGGCTGGAGAATGGGACACTCAGAGTCGTTGGCGCTGCAAAGGTAAGTATGCGGAAATTGAGTGCTTCTGGGGCGACTTACAAGAAAGATGTTTCGCGCTGTTGGCTAGTTTGGAGCTACCGAGACTGGAAGAGTCTCCTTCGCCCTTGATCTGCTCGATCTTGGCCTGCTTCAGTATCTCTTGGTCCTGCGTCGCTCGCTTCTCTTCTTCCCGCGCTTCGTCCTTGGCCCACTGGATCGCGTTGTTCAGTGCCCAGTACCATCGCTTGGCCTCGACTTGATGATTTGCTTTGAGGTGGTACTTTACAGACGATTTTCCCTGAATCTCAAAGCGCTGCTTGTCCTGGGGATCCATGTACAATTTGGCTATCCGCATGTTGATAGCGCCACGGCATGCAGATCCCGTGTCGTCCTGGTGCTTGTAGTAGCTCAGCACGCCGTCCTCGAGGACAAACCAACGCAACTTGTATCCCGATGTGTAGTTTGTCCACTTCTTCAGGTATCCCTTCATCTCACGCGATTCCTTGGCACCCATTCCAGTTTCTGCCGCCGCCTGTCCTACTGGCGCACCGGCGAGAATGGTCTTTTCCTGTATTCCTCTCTGTGCGGCAGCAGCAGCTGGCGATCGCTTGAGGATGGCGCGGGTACGGTCGTCTTTGGTGTAGTCTTGAGGAAGCTTGCCTTTGCGGTCGCGGCGGAATGGATCGGCACCGTTCAACAGGAGCAGCTGGGCAAGCTTGACGTCCTTTTTCTTTGCAGCTTCGTGCAGGAGCGTGCCTCCAGCATCCATGACGACCGGATCGGTCGCGAGCTCGCCGCCATTGACGTCGAGGGTGCTCTTTATCCGGGCGTCTTGCAGTATCTTCTCTAGTGCATCCATGTCCCCCGAAGCCACCATCTGCTGTATCTTCTTCACGTTTGTGTCGATGAAAATGGAGCGTGACAGCTGCAGAAGCTGGAAGATTTCGGGGGTGCGGGCGAGGTCGAGCGGTGTCTGCCCACTGTAGTTGGTGACCGAGTCGTTGATACCCGGCTGGTCGAGCAGCACGCGCACGACAGCAGTGCGGCCGAGGGTGGCGGCGAGGTGCAGCGGCGTGTTGCCATCGCGGTCGCGGCCATTGATGTCAATGGGCGAATCCGGAGCTGAAGTGGCATTGGACAGGACAAACTCGATGACGGGCAGCTCAGCACACTGAATAGCGAGGTGGAGGATCGACGTTCCCTCTGTGCGAGCGGTGGGCAGCTGCATTATCGAGGCCCTGTTGTTGGTCTCGCCATCGGCGGTGGGGTTTGACTGCTCGCGGATGGCGCGTGAGATTGCTACCGTATCGCCATTGCGCAGGGACTCGAAGACTCGAAACAGCTTGACCGACTGTTCGATGGATGTCGACTTTGTGGGTGACGTGGGCGACGTTGGGGCGGCGACAGCGGCGGCGGAGGCGGAGGCGGAGGGGGGATTGAGGCCATCCTGGCTCGCACCGGCATTCGACATGCTGGCAGAGAGATGGGGGTGCTTCTTGGACAGGCTGCGGCCGTGGCCGTGGCCGGGGTTGGTGCTGTGTCCCTTGATTACGGCGGCGTGCTGCGATGTGGTCGAGGTAGCTGAGCCCGGCGGCGAATTGTCGCTGGGACTGGGGTCGAGCGAGTCGGCGTCGGTCCTGGAGGAGACGCGAGACAGCAGGTTCTTGACGCTGGCCGACTTGGAGCGCTTGTGCCTGCGTGGGCGGTCAAAAGTCGTCCCGGCGTCATCCACAGCCGTGTCAACGCCTCTCCCCGCCATGACGACGGCGAAAGGCTTGGGGCCGAGCACTTACCCTTCCATAGCTACGTGATTGGCCGGCCAGCCAAGCAATGCGGGCCTCAGCCAGACGAGGGCGGAGATGAGGGGTTCGGCAGGCTCGACGGGGGCGGACTGGCGTCAGATGCAGAGGGGCAGAGAGAGCCGCCGACGGTGGTTCCAGGAGGGAGTTGGGTGTATGTGTATGTGTGTATGTGGGCGTATGTCTGCGCGACTGGTACGGCGGCGGGGCTCTCCCAGGCTTTTGGGGGGCGGAGGGGGGAATTTCGTCAGGGGCGCCGCCCTCCCTCCAGCGCTGCCGCCCTTGCAGCCAATCACACGCGGCCTTGGGCGCGACCGTGCTCGACATAGTTGTTTACTGATTATCGCAACATGGGCTGCTTTATTGCCTTGATTATGTGATGGGGTCCAAGCAGCATACACGCACATGCACACAAGAGACCGGCTGTCTACAAGTCCGCTCTTGGGTTCCGGGTGCTCCATTATACAGCCAACCCAGCCTCCTCTAGCGTCGTTTTGGCGTGTACCATAGTGCAGACACTGCCCATTGAAGGAAAAACCAACACCAGCGGTTCCAGGCCTTCCGCCGGATGCTGACGGTCCGGTCCGATTGTAACAGCCCTGGAATAGCCCATGGCAATTTGCCCAGAGTCAAAATAGGAACTGTTTATGCCATTCGTCACCTCGGCAACTTGACTTGATTGGCGGGCAAGACGAATGGCAGACGAAGTACATAGGGGGACGAAGACCAAGGTGAGCACTAAGTATCATTCTTGACAAGGCGATCTGGAAGGCTGTGTGCCCCTGAGACTCCATGACTTGTGGCATGCTGCTATGTTTAACATGGCCATGCGTGTACTGTAGCTTGGCGTGTATACGGACATGGGTACGGAGGTGCCTCACAAAAGTTTTGTCCTGCCAAGAATAATTTAGCCGAAATCTGGCCGCTCTCCTACACAACGCCTATCTCTCCCCTCTATATACTCATTACCACCTTGTAGCTCAATTATCTTTGGAATATGTATAAGAATACGCTCAATCCAAGCTTGGATCTTAGCTTGTGGGAGATCTCTCCAGCAATTTAGCCAGATTCTAGTTGCCTCCGTTCTTGACTGTGGAGCTCCTTTCTTTGTAGTCTCTCTCTTCATGTAGAACCAGCATGGCTCAATACAGTTACAGTCTGGAGAGTTGCCAGGCCAAAGTAGTCTCTCGACGTTGGATAGACTATAGACAACGTTCTGATACTGGTGGGCGTGCCCAGGTGCCTTATCCTCCATAACTACGGTCTGAGGCCTATCTTGGAGGCACTCTTTGGCGAAAGGAATCAGCTTTGGGATCAGAACGCAGCTCTGATATCTCCACCAGTCTATACCGCCTTTGGACGAACGCACTAGCTTGCCTGTCTGCTCTGTCCATCTCCATTGAGGCTTCCTGCCAGGCTTATTACGTAGTCCTGTCCTTCTCATAGATGTGGACAGCTCCCACTCCTCTCGCTGGAGAGGCTCGAGCTCAGCGTTAAGCTGCTCAATCTTCCGATCAGCGTCTTTTTCTCCACGTTTGTCTCTGGCTGATAAATATGGCATGGACCCTTTGTCATACGAGAAACAGC